TCACTACACCCACCACACCACACACCCCACACACCACACACCCACACACCACCATCACACACCACCACCACACCCACCATCACACTCTCACCATCACCACACACCCACCACCATCACACCCCACCACACACACCCACCACCACTACACCCACCACCACAACACCCCACCACCATCACTCACACCACCACCACTACACCCACCACCACAACACCACCACCATCACCACACCCACCACCATCACCACACCCCACCACACCCACCACCATCACTACACCCACCACCACCACACCCACCATCACTACACACCCACCACCACCACCACACCCACCACCATCACTACACCCACCACCATCACTACACCCACCATCACACCCACCAACACCACCCACCACACCACAACACCCACCACCATCACACCCACCACCACATCACTACACCCACCATCACTACACCCACCACCACCACAATCTACCACCACAACACCCACTCACCATCACTCACACCCACCACCACCACACCACCACCACAACATTCCACCACCATCACTACACCCACCACCACCACACCCACCACCACCACACCCACCACCATCACTACACCCACCACCATCACTACACCCACCACCACCACACCCTCCCACCACCACTACACTCCACCACCATCACACCCACCACCACCACACCTCCCCATCACCACTCACACCTACCACCAACACTACACCCACCACCACCATTAATCTACCACCACCACACACCCACCACCATCACTACACTCACCACCAACACCACACTTCCCCATCACCACTAAGGCCCACCACAATTACTACACTACCACCACCAATAATCCACCACCATCATTAATCACATCATTCACTAAATACCCACCACCACCATCACTACACCCACCACCACCACACCCACCACTACTGCACTCAGCTTATTATCTTCACCAACAGTTATGGAAATGTAAGGATTCGTAAAATTCAACTTTGTGTTTTAATTACGATTTTAGTGTACCTGATCAACCGTATTAACATATAAATGACTTTTCTACACCTTCAGCGTATGAGATATGCTGTTCCCCATGTAGAATGAGGCTATGTATGCTGTTCTGTATACTGAGGCTGTGTATGCTGTTCCTGTGTATACTGAGGCTGTGTATGCTGTTCCCGTGTATACTGAGGCTGTGTATGTTGTTCTCCGTGTATACTGAGGCTGTGTATGCTGTTCTGTATACTGAGGCTGTGTATGCTGTGGCTGTGTACGTTAAGGCCGGGGGGGGGGGAAATGATACCCACGACGAGGATGGAGGGTATTGTAATCGTTGTGTATGTGTGTCAGTGTGTTAGTCTGGAACCACTAGATCAAGGTCCTACAACTCGGTCCCAAGTGTGTGGGTATACAGTGTACCATTGTTAGGGGGCAGACAATGGTATATATTGTACCATTGTTAAGGGGGACAAGGGTATATATTGTACCATTGTTAAGGGCGGACAAGGGTATATATTGTACCATTGTTAAGGGCGGACAAGGGTATATATTGTACCATTGTTAAGGGGGACAAGGGTATATATTGTACCATTGTTAAGGGGGACAAGGGTATATATTGTACTATTGTTAAGGGCAGACACGGGTATATATTGTACCATTGTTAAGGCGGACAAGGGTATATATTGTACCATTGTTAAGGGGGACAAGGGTATATATTGTACCATTGTTAAGGGGGACAAGGGTATATATTATACCATTGTTAAGGGCAGACACGGGTATATATTGTACCAGTGTTAAGGGCAGATAAGTGTATATATTGTACCACTGTTCTTGTTGACCCAATGGGTAATAAGCCAATTTTTTTCTGTGTGGCTTTCCCGTTTTTCTGATTGTATTTCTCGTCTGACTGTATTATATTAAGTTAATGATGATTCGCTATGTACTTGAAGTGCCGCAAGCACCTTACAGTGTTTCCCTTACTGGGAACTTTAACTAACAAAAAACGTAGAAACCCATTTATACGCCACACTGATCTTCATTGCGAAATCCTTGTTCATATTAATCATCATTCCTCCGACAATATACCAGTAAATTACCCCATGACCTAGAAGCTCCTGTCTGTGTTACTCTAGATGTCATCAGTGTGCTGGTGACACACCAGCCATGTAAACATCTTCCCAGTCTTATCTCTTATATTTGTTACGAACCACGCCACGAATTGTCATGATCTACCTACCCAGCACCACGAGCAACGCCATCTAGGGACGAAACACGAGTATGACTAGTCTTAGTTACCACTCCGGGGTTTCCCTTCTCCATATCCTGGTTGTTGCGTCACCTCCTACAAGTCTTCTTCATCAGCTCCAGTTTGATGAGAGTTCAGTTCACTCTGGGAATTGACCACAGGATCATCTATCCTGGAACCTACGGCACAGTGACTACCTACCGTCTTCTACAATACTCAGCCTTACTCGTCAGCCATCTCAGCTCCGCACTTAAGTATTTGTAATCTTATATTGCCTCTCACCTCCACCTTGCTTCACGATTGTTTTATGTTGTATAAATATGTATATACTGTTAATGTTTAGGTTAAGTATGGTTAAGGGTAAATTATAGAAAGCTGAATAAACTTAACCAGATTTAACCTAACACCATGTAGCTTTATGGAGTTCAATCATCAGGTAAAATAAGCTGGGGGCTAATCTTCAATGATCCATTTTTGTTTTGTTTTTGTTTCAACTGCCAGATTATTAAACAGCAAACTCAAGGTTTTGGTTTCTGTAAAACATATAATTTTAAGAATTTCAAAAAGTCTGCCCAGTTGTAGGAAACGGTTCATAGTAAATACACAAATGCAGTTTGAAAACATTTATTCTCATATTACAAACACAATTTGATGTATAATAGATATATGTTGTTGCTGTTATAATGTTATTACTGCGCTTCAACAAGGAAGGTCTTCAAGGGTGTAACAAAGTCAGTAATACACTAGTCCAACAGCAATACAAAATAATGAGAACTCACCTCTAGATATGACATCATAAACTGTATTTTTGTATTATTTTATAGCATCTACAACTACCTTTATAAAATTATGTGCTTTGTGAAAATTAAATGAATTCAAAAAATGTACGACAATGTTTATTATTAAAATTGACAGATATCATAAACAAAATAGTTTTATTATCTAATTAATTTGTACTCGTACGTCCAAACTAGGTACGATATACCCCTGTATACTGTACTTATATTTTACTATTGTGTATATTTTCAGGACCGGGTCATTATCATTTTCATTAATTTACAGCAATAATATTTAAAAACTTTCCTAAGCGCAAGATAACTTTTGTGATGTGCTGATTTGTGAAATTGATTTGCGAAATTTTAGTGATGTGGGAGGCTGTGTTGATGTGCGAGGCTGTGTTGGTGATGGGATGGTAATGTGTGAGACTGTTGGTGAGAGAGCATTTGACGAGATCTACAACGAACTAACCTTAAAAAAGAATGCCAATACGGTTTTAAACGTGAACGCCCCTACTTGACTCAGTTACTTAAGATACTGGCTGTGTAGAAGGAATCCGGAGCGCGGTGGCAGTTTTAATATATACTGTACCTAGACTGCCAAGGCATTCTCATGAAAGGCTGAAAGTTAAACTGGAAGGTTAACAGACTCTGGGGGAACGTTCTATAGCGTGAACTTTCTTACTCACGACCACAAGGAGTGTGTGGCGGTTAATTGCGTGAAATCGTCTTATGTACATTGCGAAGCCGTGGCTGATAAATTTTCAGGTGATGCTCTCTCCGCCCTCTTGTATATTATACTTCTCAGCTGATTGGGTGGTGAGGCCGTCTTGAGGGACAATCACACGTGTGCGTTTTTCCTCCAATCACTGGTTAAACGGAGGTTTCCTCTAACCCCCAGCTTGTTTTCTGAGGGTTGGAGAACGCTTGATAACTCTTGCCTTTAACTTGGTATAATTGGTAAGTAGTAAAGACTTTGGTGAGTATTAACTGCTTAATTACTATTTACCTGAAGATTAATAAACTCATTTGATTCCAGTTTACCCTCTTCATTACATATCGCTAAGTCTGCCATGTTTGTTGGTTTGGCTTAAGGTTGGAGATGGACACACACAAGGTGTGCGTGTTTATGTGATTGTGCAAGACTGTGTGGTAATGTGCAAGGCTGTGTGGTGATGTGCGAGGCTGTTGGTAATGTAATGTGAGGAGCAGTATTTTCAATGTGCGAGGCTGTTGGTGATATGCGAGGCTGTGTTGGTGATGTGCGAAGCTGTGGCAGTGATGTGCATGGTAATATTAATGCTGTGAGAACTTAGGCGTTTACTTACCGGATTTATTTTAAGTTTGTTTATTATAATTGGCACGTAAGAGTTTCACAGTGTACCGTTCTTATAGGTCCCAACTTAACCTAGCCAGTAGGATTAGGGCCCAGTAATATTGATAGCCATTTTTAATCTGCTCCAATAATAACGGTAGCAAGTAACTTAGATCAGGTTAGGTTGGGCTGTAAATGACTGGTGGCCCATTTGACCTACGACTGGTGTGACAACATTGTGAATGTTAGGAAACAATACAATATTTACTATGATTTAGGAGTTTGCAGTACGTTTGCTAAACAACAAGAAGTATTAAAATTTTAAGTCGAAATTCAGGGGAGCCCTATATATATATATATATATATATATATATATATATATATATATATATATATATATATATATATATATATTTTATATATATATATATATATATATATATATATATATATATATATGTATATATATATATATGTATATATAAATTATATATATATATATATATATATATATATATATATGTATATATATCCGTACACCAAAATGGTTTAAATTGGTTTAAGATATTCTCTTTTTAATTAATTAGAGAAAAGGTCAGATGTAGCCACAGCAGAAAGTCTGACCTCTTCTTTGTATAGTAGCATCATGTATAAACTTGTAAATATTCGAAAATCATTGCCATACAAGTTTTAATATACATTTCCTTTGTGGTACAACGTAAAGCATCCAGGGGAAGAGGCTTAGACGTCTAAGAGGCTTTGACTCCAGCCTTTCTGGTGATGCAGAGTTCCAGACTGAAGGTGAGGAGTGCCAGCAGGTTTCCCCCCACAAGCAGCACGAACATCCCCTGACGACCAAAATAAAGGGTAAACAAAATTACTATGAACTTACCGAATATTAGTGAGCTGCAGGGGTGAGTTAATTACTGTATCTCAGCAGTGATAGCGGTTTGGTTAGGTTAGGTTAGGTTCATACGGAGACTGTACAGTACATGAGTTACTGTGTATACAAAAGTGTTAATAAGGAATATAACAAGGACGACAAATGCTGTTAACCTGTTTTAAACCTGTTGTGAAACTACAATAAATCTGTAAAACTTACTTTCGACCTGCGGTAAACCTGCTTTAAGCCTGATTACTTACACTGCTCAAGAAATATAACAAAAACACAGGGTCTGTAAACTTGTTATAAACATGGTATAGACCTGCTTTAAACTTGATGTGAATCTGCTGTAAACCTGATAACTTGCACAACTTGTGTCCTCCACCCCCGAAAATACACTGGCCGATTTTCTCAAATAATAACATAACAACTTAAGAGTCTGTAAGACACCATGTATTAATGTGTGTGTGTGTGTGTGTGTGTGTGTGTGTGTGAGGTAATATTACTACTCACCCACAGGTTGGTGAGGGCCAGGGGTTCCACCACAGTGATCTTGGAGGGTGAGCGGCGGCAGTTTTCTATAAAGGGGATGTTGCTCATAAGCCAGTACTCATACAAGCCAGACTCCACCAGCGCGCGGATCCTGAACCACAAACTTTCTTAGGTAACTCTATATGGAATCCCTGGTCAATAGTCAACTCATAATTGTAATTGTTATTGGAATATATTTTCCATCCAGTGTTATGAATTCAGTTTCTGTGCTTCAACTACCAAGGATTTTAAACATGGACTCTAAATAGCTCCATACACTACACAGTTATTACAGAAAAGCTTTAAGAAAAAAATTGCCAGACACTTGAGGGAAGCAGAGAACAATTTTAACAGATATTAATGTAAAATTCGATGTTTTAATGATATTTTTTTTGCACATTTTATAAACAGTCATGAAAGAAGTGATAGCCGGTCCACCTTGGTTATAACTCACCTGTGACTAATGGCAGGAACTATGGGGTTTCCCTTCTGGCCAACCATACACTGGAAGACGTGGATCAAATTCTCGCGAACAATATAAAAGTCACATCGACCTGCGGTAACAATAAATAACATACCTTAAGAATATTGCCAAGCAGTTTTACAAATTACATTACAAATTATACATGAATATTTTTTAATAGAAGTAACTTTTGTTAACCGAAGAGTTTGATTTGTGTTTTCGGTCACTTTTTTTTATTATCTTCGTCAATTGAACAGATCTGATTTAAGATCTCGGCAACTGTGCTTGCCTGTCTTCCTGGAGAGTTCTGATATAAACTTGATCAAGCTGATCTTGATGGTGGCAAGGGTGTGATCACCGTCACGAACCAGAGTGTCCACAACGTGAGTATTTCACTTTACCGAGTTTATTAATTTCCTTCTTAAATTACACTATAGATTTCACATTTATCTGTTTTTCTTTGCTATAATTTGGTAATAAAGATATTACTAAAATTCGACGACCAAATTTCATTATATTGTTCGTCTTAATTTCTCAACCAAGTAATATTTTGCTGTTTTGTTTCAACCAAAGAATACATGATTTGTTAACTGAACTATTTTTTGTTTACAATAGCTTGCTAACTGAAATACATTTTTACTATAATTCTTCAACCAAAGTATCTACGCTGTATTTTACAAGCCGAAGAATTAACCTTACACTACTACAATATAGCTATTAATTAATTTTTTACCGGTTCTGGAGGAGAGTTCAGAGATAAACTTGATCAAGCCGATCTTGATGGTCACGAGGACGTGGTCACCGTCTCGTACCAGAGTGTCCACAGCGTCCAGTAGTGTAGAGGTGATGCGGTACTTCACACGTCCTATGTACATCAAGTCTCCCATCGCCCGCAGGTCCCCAGATTCAATGTTCTAGTGAGTGAGGAAATATAGTAGCAGTAGCAATAGTATTTTTAGAAGTAGTAGTCGTAGTACTTGGCCGGCACACACCATACTACAAAACTCAGGTATATCGATCGGAAAAATTGTAACAACAGTTATGTTGAACAGTATTTCTTACCTCGAGGAATGACGTCACGATAGTTTTTGGTTCGAGGATGACCTTCAGGTTGGGATCCTGCACTACGTCCCTCACCGTCTGGATGGGTTGAGGGATGTGTCGCACCGCCAGCAGGGAGACCAAGTTACCTGTGTAACTCCATGTCACCATCATGGCCACCACCAGCCACCCCCCCAACAACACCATCTCACTTCCACGCCTCACTCCTGACATGTCTGTATGAAACAAGATTAATTAAAATGAAACTATTAGTACAATATTGTTTTTTTGTTTTTTATTAATGAGGATGACATAGCACACTCTACTTTTTCCGGTGGCCAGCGTCTTCCAGCTTCACGGGACAGACAAACATCTGTATTATGGCGTCCTCGCCTTGTTAACATTTAACAGTGCTTGAAATAATAAATTTGATGGTGCACAAATGATACTCTAAAGACACATTGTGAGGTTTTCCTGTGAGTCTCAGAACCCAACACAGCCACAGAAGAATGTGCAAGGAATAGTTCTGCCACGAGAAGATTTCTTTGAGGCATCAACACCATTTTCACATTTCTCTATATTAATGGTTAGTTGTCTTACCCTGTCGAAGAATAATTCTCAGGTGTTGGAAAAAGAGGTCAGAAGCCCTGTTGACCTTCCTGGACCCATCGGGGTTGTGACCCAGCACCAGTATTGCCAACCAGGCCACCAGCAGTCCTGCTAATAGTGCCGCCCACACCTTGGGTTGTAGGGGGAACAGGAAGCCCCATGGGTCAATCTCCGGCAGACCTTTACTCTTTATCATGCTGGCGTAGTCGAAGATGTAGTGATGAGCGAAATCAACAGCCTGGTTCCTCTTCCACGATATTGCGAAGGGTCCCAGGGAGACGTCAGCCTCCTGTAGCCACAAGTACTATGATGTAGTGAAGTGTTAACCATCATACTTAAATGTTAAACCACATTAATCCATCATCCTATAGCCGCTAAACCTTCATTCTAAAGGTGTTCAAACGCTACCCTGTAAACCATTATTACAACAGATGAACAGTTAGAGTGTTCTTATAATGAAATGGTTTAATATCACTTTCAGTTTCATTAAGCTCCTGAACCTGTGACTTTATCAGAGGCGTGGACTGAACTCCTGTCGTGGTGAACATATTTACTGAACTGACAAGGTATGTTTACCCACCTTGTTGAGTAAGAGTTAGGGTGACCATGACTCAGGTAGACTCACCTTCCTCACCACCTGACCCATCATGCCTGACCATGACCCGTTAGCTGACTGAGTGCCGTAAGTGCCGTCAGGGGGCGTCACTATCTTGTACCTGATGGTGAACATGAAGGTGAATATGACGGTAACAGTGGAGACAACACACACACACACCCAGTAAATCCTACTTTTTGCACTGTCACTTTGTTGAAATGCCCCGTAGTTTGAGCTTTTCCCCACCTAGTTATTGTATATCTTATTTTTATCACTTATGTTTCTTGTATATTATTTGTAAATCGAAACCCATTCCCCAATTATGTAATTGTATATTTTCAGCCTTCCGGCTGCTATGCTCTTTCAATAAACCGTTAATTATTATTATTATTATTATTATTATTATTATTATTATTATTAATATTATTATTATTATTATTATTATTATTAATATTATTATTATTATTATTATTATTATTATTATTACACTGTACTCTACCCGTGTAAGCATAAAAAGATGGAGCAATATAATTTAATATAAATTTGAGTTGCTCTGTGTAATATTTTATTTTTCGCTAAGGTTCAACACGAGTCCAGATTTTACCTTGTTTCTTTAATCCCTTCCATCCATCAGTAAGATTGTTGTTGTGTCTCACCACAATAATAAAAAAGACCGATGAACTTCTTTACGTGATTCACCCAACCAACTTTTCCCTAAATTAACATTATAGTGACCGTCTACTTCAACGTCAAAGTCTACGTCCACGTCATAGTCAACGTCACTGTCAACATCAACATTAACGTCTTAACTTCATTATTCACATCAACAAATCAACAAGATACAAACAAAAAAGCATCAGCCATAAAATAACAACAATTATGGTGTTAAACTTACGTAAAGTTAAGCGAGTGAGCGACAGCGTCCATAAGGTTAGCCAGAGGACCTGTTATTGTCAGGCGGCCGTGATGATCTTTGAGGAGCTCTACGTGAGGCGGCCGATGTACAGTAGACACCATCATCACTGCCCCTTCCTTGAACCTGTGGTGATCAGTCTAATTTACAGGTATGCTAATCTTGACCCTAAACTACTTTATCATTAAATGCCTACATTATACTTAAATACCTACATTATCCTTAAATACCAACATTATCCTTAAATACCTACATTATCCTTAAATACCCACATTATCCTTAAATACCTACATTATCCTTAAATACCTACATTATCCTTAGATACCCACATTATCCTTAAATACCTACATTATCCTTAAATACCCACATTATCCTTAAATACTTACATTATCCTTAAATAACTACATTATCCTTAAATAATTACTTGATGTTCCCAATATTATTTACTTTTCTGGTGACGTAGGAACAATATTAATATTTTTAGGTTGAACGAGAGACACTATTAGCAAAGGAAATGAGGGACAGGCGAGAGTCTAGAGACAGACAGGTGAGATAGAACAGATGTGAGTGACAGATGAGACAGGTGAGTTAGATAGATGAGACAGGTGAGATAGTCAGATGTGAGAAACATATGAGAGACAGGTGTGATAGTCAGATGTGAGGGACATGAGACAGGAGAGACACAGGTTAGATACAAGTGTTACAGACAGTTGAGAGAGACAGGTGAGACAGGAGGAAGACCTACCTGAAGGAGTGAGGGTTGTTTTCTAGGTCTTGGTACACTTGTGGATCCTCCAGTATTTCCGACAGCGGCCGTGCCATCCTTCCCTCCACCAACACCACCACGGTCTACCTCTGTAAACTGTGTAAACCTGAGTCCTCACCACCACCATCAGTGTGTGTGTGTGTGTGTGTGTTACGCGACGTAGGAATAATTGTGAACTAACCTATTGTATATACCCCAAATACAGTACCTTACAATAGCTGTTGAAGTGCAGTAATAAATTGTAATAAGAAAATGTATAGATTTAACAGTTTTTATCGAGCGACAGGACCTTCTATTTATGGCTTTTAGCTCTTACATGACTGCTGGAACCCGGATATTGAGTGAAGAGTTAATGAGACACTTGTTAGTTTTAGCCAGAGAGAGAGAGAGAGAGAGAGAGATTACCTAAATAAAATATTGGACATTCGAAGTTTTCCTGGGCACATGGACATAAGTTAATCTCTCTGTTAATCTCTCTAGGTAAATCAGCCTCACAGTTATTATCTGATTTAACACGAAGACAAAATATAGCAGGTGAAATTAATTAAGACTGATAAAATTACATTACATTTACTGTGATTTAAGTTGGTTTTACGTGAAATAATCGACATAAGAGAAATGCTGTTGGAACCATTTCATACAGTACATGCCTTTGTTGTTGTAGCGTTGGGAAACACCTGGACTATATCAGGTGTTGGCAGCTCAGATGTTGGGTGTTGGAAGTTCAGATATCGGGTGTTGACAGCTCAATTATAAGGTGTTGACAGCTCAGATATCGGATAATGGCAGCTCAGATATAAGGTGTTGGAAGTTCAGATATCGGATGTTGGCAACTCAATTATAAGGTGTTGGCAGCTCAAATATCGGGTGTTGGCAGTTCAGATATCGGGTGCTGGTAGCTCAGATATCGGGTGTTAGCAGGTCAGATATCGGGTGTTAGTAGCTCAGATATCTACCATGATTCACCAACCTGTATACTGCATGTTGTCCGCCACCTCGCCCAGTATATACTGTATATATATACCTGGTGACTCGTCATGACCTGCGCCAGTGTGTCAGCCAGTGGTAGCGGTGGATCTCGGAGGAGGAGGAGCCTAGATAACCACATAGTTACGGACCCACATAATTACGGGCTCTCATAATTACGGACCCTCATAGTTACGGACTCATTATTACGGACGTTCATAGTTACGGAACCACATGATTAAGGGCCCTCATAATTACGGACTCATTATTACGGACCCTCATAGTTACGGACCCACATAATTACGGACCCTCATAGTTACGGACCCTCATAGTTACGGACCCTTATAGTTACGGACCTACATAATTACGGACCCTCATAGTTACGGACCCTCATAGTTACGGACCCTTATAGTTACGGACCTACATAATTACGGACCCTCATAGTTACGGACCTACATAATTACGGACCCTCATAGTTACGGACCCTCATAGTTACGGATCTTCATAGTTATAGATGCCTTTTTAAAAAGGCCAAGGATATAGGCCTGTTATTAATGACACTTAAGGACTGTGTCACACGTTTCTTACAAGTGTTACAGGTGTATTACAGATGTCACAGGTGTCAAAACACTAATAATTGAGTGCTAAACTGTGCATGGAGACGTACTTGAAAAATTGTGGAGATACACTCATCAATGACGACACACTTAACTATGAAGACACTTAAATATGGAGATATATATGTAGACACACTTAGGCAAGACAAAGCAGTTTTATCACAGAGTTAGACAGACAGCCCGAGAGACAGATAACCAGACAGACAGCCCGAGAGACAGTTAGACAGACAACCAGAAAGACAGACAGATAGCCAGAAAATTAGAAAAACTGTTATACAGACATACAGACAGTTTGAGAGACAGCTAGACAGACAGCCAGATAGTTAAACAAAACAGCTAAACAGACACTTATACAGACAGCTAAACAACCATAAAGACATTTAGACAGACAGTCAAATAGACAGTTAAACAGACAGCCCAGGAGTGCACAGTATATAAGCACTTAACACCCAGAGTGTATTAGGTTAGGTAAAATATCTATAATTTAATCCAGCAAAGATGGAGACACAAACATACTAAATGTAGTACAGTACTTTATTTTCTGTTGAATTATTTTATAGTACAAGTTCACCACAACCAAATATAGTGTACAAATTAGTGTACAAAGAAAATTTTTGCCAGTTTGAAATTGAAATATTTTATTTAGCCAGGATGAAATAAATGTAGATACAAAGTAAAGAAAAACCCACTTTGGAATTTAGACACACAGTGCCTCCTCGTGTAATGAAGACTAGTAGTGTACTATATTAACAATGTCCTCTATGCCCAATCAGTTTTTCCTATGTGTTATTTGTTGTGATTTAATATGTTATATGTTTATATAATCACGTATTGATATGGAGAGATCAAGCGAAACATCAGCGTGGCATTAGGTGATCAGCTTGACACAGCAGCGTCAACGGAATCGCTCACAGGATGAAACACTGTAAAAGGCATCAGTTTACCGCGGTGTTTGGGGATCCATTTAATAGTCAGCCTGAAGTGGTTTTACAGACACCATTAGTCGTGTAATTAGAAGATGTAATTAAACCATGAATATATTCACTTCAGGCAATCAGTGAAGTCTCTTAATGTTGAATTTCCAATCACCAGAAGAGGTGGAATAATGAATTTACTCTAATGAATGTTATAAAGTAGTCATGGCGCCCACCTGATGCTGACTGTCTAATTAACTGCAACTTGGGGCTTCTGGTGACTGTCTGTGCACCTTAGATTAACTAACTGTGAACACATGAACGATTATCACACTACTAACTTGTTGTGAGCAGCAAGGTCACCTGTTTATGAGTCTTGTGAGTACCAGATGTTAAAGAGACATCTATTTTTGAGTATTGTGAGTACCAGATGTTGAAGAGACACCTGTTTGTTTTTTTGAGTACCAGATGTTGTCAATTTAATGTTATTTACTTCACACGCACGTTTATCCGTTATTAAGTATCATCATCTTTCTTAATTTCTTCATATTTAGTTGTTGTCTTTTTATATTTTAATCTTCTATCTATATATTGCAAATTTGAGTAATTATAGTTACTATCTTTTCAAATTTTTATTATTCGTATGTTTATTTAGTATCATTCTTTCAATATTTAATTTCTATTGGTTTATTATTTTCCTTTATTTATTTTTAATTTTTTATTATTTTTGTGAATGTTTCGCGTCTTTTATTACTGTATTTTTTTTTTCATATTGTGATTTATTCTTATTTTATTTTTTGTCCATTGTTTAGTGTTTTGTCTTTTTTATTATGATATTTTAATTTTCATTATTTCTTATTTATATTTTTTACTTTATCTCATTTTCTTATATATTTGTTATTTTTGTGTGATTTTTTTATTCATTTACAGTATTTTATTTTCGTCTAGTAGTTATATTTCTGATTTTTATTTGTATCTATATTTCATTTTCTTTAATTGTTATTTTATTTTGTTGTGTTTATTTAGGTCTTATGTTTTATTATGTTATTTCATTCTAGCTAATTTATTTTATTCAATTATTAAGTTTATCTCATTATTTCTCCCATTTTATTTTACTCTTTTAATTCCTCCATGTTGACTCTATTCTATTTACCTCCATTTTCTTGTAATTTTTTCTTCTTCTCCTTTATAAGTTCTGTATCATAAACTGTATTGTTAATCACCAACTCAATATTTTCTTTAAAACTTGTAAACAATTACAGGCGTGTCAATTTTAATCCCTATCTTTTAATTTATATATTTTTCTAACCAGTTAATATGTTAAAAAGAAAAATTTATCATACGTGAATATGTATTTGGTGATGTTTATTATGTAGGTAATTTCTATCATTTTTGTTTACAAAGTTTCAGACAGATAGACAGATGTACAATATGTGGGTCTATGTATGGTATATGTATGTGTGTCTATATGTAGGCCTATATAATGCTAAATGTACTGTACAATAGTCTATATGTATATTTGGTAGATGTAATTTACCTGTGCTGTATGTATCAATATGTGTTGAGGTTACATGTTAGGAGAAATTCACCAAAGAACATCTGTAGGCTATTTACATTTTATTGATGACAGTCTGACTAATAGCTGGCATATAATACGTGACACATATGGCATAATGTTTGTGGTAGTCTGGTATATGACACGTGACACCTGGCATTATGATAACAAGGGGTCATATTTGATGACATTATATTTCTAGTGACTGGCATATGATAAGGACAGCATACAAAGGGGTCGGTCTTGTGAGTGATTCAAAATTGACACGACATTTTTGGGGGAAGTATGTGTGTTTTTCTTTATAGTGTGTCTGTTGGACTAACACACACACACACACACACACACACACACACACAGAAGAACACAAGTTATTTTAAAACTCCTGGAGAATTTTTTTATTTATATATTCAAATTTATCCTTCTTATGGCTTTTATTGTTATTTGTTTAGTCTTCTTTTGTTTGTGGTGTCTATATGTATATTTATTTAATTTATCATATGCATTTATAGCTTATCTTAATTCATATCTAGATTTTATTTTATTTTATTTATTTTTTATTATTTTTTTTTAATCTTCCCCAGCCAGGAGTCCGCCTTACTCAGGTGTTACAGCAGCTGAGTCATCTTAAGGTTAGTTCATCATCTTATATTTAAGTCTTAAGCATAAACAATCTCAGAGAGATTTCTCGTAACTTTTATCTTATCTTTACGATCTATTATCTAAGATATTTTTTCTCTCCTCTACTTTTACTTTGTCATGTACATCAACTTAAGACTAATGAATATATTATTTTTTATGTTACTATTTGTTCCTGTTTAAAATAAACTTAAAGCTACTGGCAGACAGGATGCTTTTTATATTTCTATTTTCTTTGCAGAATAAACTTAAAAGTACGAGTATACAACCTGCTTTAGTATCACATAAACTCACTGTAACAAAAACTAAAGTATATATTTCCTCCGGATCCAAGAAAATTCACATTGAATTTTAGGATAATCATCCGGATTCACTGAAATGCGCACATTAAATGGCCTCCCTTAACTAGTATTGTAAGAACACAAAAAAATGGCATTTAAGGCTAACGGCATAAAGCTAAAGGGCAAGATGGCGTCGGTACTGTACTGGGACTCGACTGAAACAAAATAATGTGTTAGTTGGGAGGAGAAATATGAAGATCCGGATTGATGACAGAGACACGGACAATGAAAGACAAAAGTCGTGTCGTGAAATTTGGTGAAAACATATGCCGAAGGACTAAACTTTTGGTGTGCTCTGTCTTGTGGTAGGGCTCTCATAATGTTTCACGAGTTATATTAAATCTTCTAATAAAACCGCGACACGACTTTTATCTTTGATTGTACATATAGGATAAAATGACGTCCACTGGGTCTATGAAACTACGAGCCATCAAGAGTTACGAGAGTCAATTATTGGTTAAGTTGCAAGTCAGGCAACCATGAAGTATGTATCAGTCAGTTAACATCTAAGAGTCAGTAATTAATAGCAATATCACTTAGTTAACTAAAATCAGTGAGTCAGTTTAAGGTTAGTTTATAATATGCTATTAAGCTTTACTGCTGTAATAAGTCTTATGATTAATAATTAATATCATCACAAAATGTTAAATAAGCAACTAATTTAACGATATATTGTTTCATAGTTAAAATAAATAAACAAATGAGGAAGTGTTCACCGCCTTCTCCTACAGCCCTTCTCCACCACCTCTCATTCCCCTGTTTCCTCATTCCTCCTCTTCTCCCTTCCCCCTCTCTTCCCACCTCCCCATCACTGATAGAGGGAGTGTTTCACCACCTTCTTCTCCTCCTTGGGCTTTTCTGCCGTCAGCTGGGCCATCACTTCCTTCGTATCTCTGTGTCCTGGGATATCCACCTTCTTCTTGGGTTGGTCGTCCTTCATGAAGCTCGGCTCGTCGCCCAGTTTGGGACAGTCCTCACCCATGCTGGGATCTTGAGCCACCTGTATAGTGTATTATGTTTTAGTATTAGGATCACCTGAAGATTTGCTCCACCCCTCTGTTTTTTTTCCACCTGAAGTTTAACTATCCCAAACCTAACCTAACTTAACCTAAGCTAAAGCTAATCTAACTTAACCCAACCTAATCTGAAATACTTTCATTTATCCTAGCCTAAAATAACCTAACCTAACCCAACCTTACCTAACCTAGCCTAACTTCACGCTAACCTTTGGCTCATGGCAACTCAGCGAATTTGCAAAAAAAAAAAAAAAAAAGACTGAACTCTGTGTGATTGTAGGAGCGAACCACTGAGCAATATACAGTACACAGATTTGGCTTTTTTCCTTCTTCTCCCTATACGAGGACATACCTACACCTAGTAACTTTGAGAAACTCTCCTTTCCACATTCATTCTCTCCCTCCCTCCCTTTCTTCCTTCCTCCCCACTTCTTCTTTCACTTTGCCTCCCTTCTTTCCTTCCTCCTTCCCCCCCTCTCTTCTCACAACTCACCAATTTAGCGAGAGCGTAGATACACCTGGTGACTCTGGGTATGTGTCTCAAGTGAAGGAGGTCCTCCAGGTGGAAGAGCTTGGCCTTAGCCACGCCATACGCCTCCGCCTGCTGCAGGAAGTTGCGTATGTTGATCTGTTTGCTACGGGCGCCTTCCCACGTGATAGTGTCTTCAGGGATACAGCCGGGCTTGATGCGGTTCATCAACCTGAAGGAAGGATGGAGGTGTTGTTTGGGACGTGTAGTAGTGTGCGTACAGGAGTTGGCTGAGTTAAGGGTTCTATCAGGGGTTCACAGGTGGCAGGATACTGTGTGTGTGTGTGTGTGTGGTTCAGGGGTCGTATCAGGGGTTCACAGGTGGCAACTGTTAATCTTTAAGGTGACCCCTAAATAATGTACAAAAGTTCGCATAGAATGGGACAATACATATATTTATAAAACACACACACACACACACATACGTCACTGTAAATTTTCACAGATTAATAACATGTTTCTTCCTCCTCTTTCTTCTCTTTACGTCACTTAATGCTTTTTTCGCGTGTGTCAAGTCGTGTTTTTTACCTGCGATGTTGGGTGATTTGTGTGTGTGTGTGTGGGGTTCAAGCATGCGTGTTTGCTGGGGTCAATGTGTGTGAATTATTATGTTTAATTAAAGTGTTTGTTTCGTTTTTTTGTCGAATTGTATAAATGTATAAAGAATAATAATTTATGTAATGGAATGTAATATTACATATGGATATTAATGAAACGACGGTAATATTCATTTTCCAGGGGCTTCATCTGATATTATAATAGCCACTAAATGATTAATCAACTCAAAAGGAGAAATTTCACAGGATAACATAAATGTTATAAAGAAAATTAATAAATATAATTATGTAAACTAAATTGATCATATGATTCTATATACAAGATAATGCAGTTGAATCCACCCAAGTCGAGGGAACCGAGCCAAGGGATTCTGGGAACGAAAATACCCGCGCCAAACATACTGTAGTAACATATACAGTATAACTTTGTTTACTACAAAAAACAGAGGCCACTTGTGAAGGTCGAACCGTGGTGTAAGCACCGGTATATATTTTCACTTAAAAAACAATATAATCTTTGTAATAACAGTAATAACAATAATAGTAATAACAATATGACGTATAGCTACGTATTTATTTTTGTACATGTTTTACTTTTATCCTCTTCCCCCTTGATCGGCCCGTTAACCGCTTAATGGGCGGTTGGTCACGTCTCTGTTACACACTGTTAGCAAGTACTGGGTATGTACCAGCTCCAGAATGTTACTGTACCTGAGCCAGTGTTGGTTAAGCTGGTCTTCAGTGAGCTCGCACTCGGTGCCGTCACAAGCTGAATTCTTATTTGGAGAGAAGGTGGAAACTTAAGGTCCGAATTTAAGCACAATGTAATGTGCTTTTTAATTTTTTCTCTCTCTCTGAGTTAGTGAGTTAAAGAGAGATATCGCGAGAAGTATACTTACTTGCAAAGGATACAGCCATCTTTCAGGAAAAACTCGAAGTCTACCCTAGCAGCCTCGTCGATCATATTGTAGATCCAGATCAGAATGTCATTTTCTTGGATGGAGTTTCGCTGTAAGAGAGAACGGGAAGGGTATTTTTAGCTGTGGAGATTGACTAGCAAAAGAATATTTATGAAAGTCATACCCTGTATGTGGGTATGTGGCGTTGCTTAACATAAACGTGTTATTTGCACGGTACTAAATAAGAGAATGGAAACGACAATGTACTGAACCAAACAGAACCTAACCTGCCTAGCCTTACTTAATTTCATAAATGGAGGGGAGGGGGGGTCCGCCTCCCCGGACCCCCAGCATATAAAGCAGAAGGAACTAACATAATATATATTGTGGTGGATCCAGGGCATTGATGGTCTCGAGGAAGTGTAATTTTACGCCTTCTGTGCACGTAAGAGTAAGACCATTTGTTAAACTGAAACAGGTAATTCTCACCGTAATGTAAATTCTTTCAAAATACAAAAACAAAGGTGGATTACAACTGGAACTCGCAAGGTAGTGGTGTGTGGCGAGACGGGGCGGGGCGGGCCAAGGGCGGGGCTGGGCTGGGTGGGGTGGGGTGGGAAGGTGGTGCTGGCAGGCCAACCTAAGCACGCCCAGCAACCAGCTGCATCATACTAGATTCTTCTCAATACACTCACATCACCACAAACTCGCCCTGCACTTTGAAAAATCTTAATTCGACCAAACATACATCAAATACACTTAATTCTTATACTGGGCAACAGCGACATGAATTTTGCTTCCACTGAACATTTGAAAATGAATAACAACTTTAGACAAATAAATGACTGGTTCGCTCTGCTTAACTGAAAATTTTCCGGATTACCTGAAGATTAGCCGCGCTCAGATTATTTCACGTGATAATAAAACACCTTGACTCTTCCTGGAGAGGGGTTAGGTAAGAATAAATAAAGTTAGGGTAGATTAAGTTATGTTTGATTAGGTCAGGTTGGATTAGGTTACGTTAGGGTACGTGTGGTTTGGTTAGGTTCGGGTGTTTAATCATGAAGTGATATAAGCTGGGGTGCCCAATCTTCAGGTGGTCGCACACACACACACACACACACACACACACACACACACACACACATACTCACACACACACACACACACATATTATATCATTATGTCTAAATCAAATGTAAGTCTGTATATTTTCAGCCACCGGCTGCAACTCTATTAATAAACCGTTTATTATTATTATTATTATTATTATTATTATTACACACACACGCAAAAGTAGGTGATTTTTTTAATCCAACATTAGTCCTTATTTACGAATATAATGTGACGAGTTTTACTGTTAAATTGCTCACGGTCTGGCAGTGAGTATAATAAGCGTTATCTGAAGTAAAAGGTAAGTTTTTCCTGCGGAAAAACATCGTTTGTCTTTTAATATCAGCCACTAATTAGGTATAAAATAGCCCTTTCCGGGTTATATAAAGAACTTGTTTTATGAAGTGAAGTTCATTGAACTTTTGTTCAAGTGTTTACTGTTATTATACCCAGAATGTTATACTGTAGAGCCATAAATTACCTTACTCATTTTAAAAGTTAATAATCTTAAATTTACCATTGATAGAACTTATTCGTTGCTCGACGTATAATAAAACCGACGTGTTCTATCTATAATGTTTTTGATGTTATTAGTTTTAAAATGAGTCATAATCCATGGACACCGTAGTACATTGCCACATGGTATATAGTCTATATATGTTTAAAAGTACCTATAATTATAGGCTTAAATTCTTTGTGAAACATTTAATGGTTCAAAGTTTGTATTTCGTTGTTTAAATGGCAAGAAGCTACATGTCACAACTAGTGTTTGAAGTCCAACATATATTTTTACGCTAAACTGAAAGTTCCTTTATGTCAGTACAAAAGAAAACTGTGGAAGTAGCAACAAATCTTGCCTAGGCTGCCGCCATCGCCCTGTTGACATAAGCATTGCCCACTGTACTGCGCACATCATTGTCATTCCTAAAAACCCCCTTTAATTCATATTACGCTACATAACATTCAAGTCCTCCGCGCTTGTAGAATCTCAGAGAACGGGAAACCTTGATAAAGGATAACTCACCTACTCAAAGATACTGAATCATGTGTTGTATTGTACCCAGGTACAGTAATATAATATTAATTGTATGTGTTCATAGCATTAAGGAGAACTCAAGGTATACATAAGATGATTAGGGAAGTCCAGTTGAGCAAGTGTGGATCGTGGTTTGAAGGTCATATTATTTACGTCTGTGAACGTGTAGCGAACATAACTTCCACAAATATCATATGAAAATACATGAAAACAATGATCTGGAAAAGGGGTAAATGTATCAGAACTATGTGAGAGGTTGGAGGTGACCCAGACACTATATTTGAAAGGAAATATCTTGTATGCATCGGTGTGAACTGAATATACCTCGTACCCTCGGATGACGTATACCCACGACATGTACAGTGATCAGAGAATCTTATGTCTGTGTTCAAATAGTGCCATGTGTGAGAGGAGGATCCCTAATTACAGTTTTAAGTGAAGTGGATATACCCACGCCATGAACATCGGCTTTTGTTTTAAGGTAGCGTCCTTTGTACCCGCCTCGAGTGTGCCACGTGGATATTATAACCCAATGAATTTACCCACGAACTAGCAAACCAGAACCTTACCTTAGTGTGTAATTTAGGATTAAAATATGTGTTTATAAGACATGAGGTTACAATATACAGGAAAGTGTTCATGTGAGAACTGTAAGAAATAAAAGTAAAAATGAAGATTGGAAACTGTAGGCCTATGCAGTGAGGAGCGGCTGGACACTGCCCCCAGTGTCCTCCGTTCTACCACCACCTCAGGTCAGTGTCCTCCATCTGGCTACATCCCGCCCTAAAAAAGGGCTTATATAGCAGTTATTAAAGTTCAAAACTTTGCTTGATGCATAAAGTGAAATAGGGATGTGTTGGGGTGGGTGTTAACAGCCCATCAGGCATTATTTCTCAGTGTCCTCCGTTCTACCACCACCTCAGGTCCCGGGGTCGGATTGCCTTGCTGGGCGGCGGCCATTATCCCTGTGAGCGTCCCACCATGTGAGGTGACTACTCCCAGCTATGCCAATCCACTGTGAACCTGTGGATTCCCAGCATACCACCCCAAATGAGTAGGAACAAATAAGGAAACGCTTGAGAAACTCCGCGGTTGTCACTTGGAGCGACATAATACCAGGCATAGAAACAATACTGGTATGTCTCTTGGTGTAGCCCTCGTCTCTACCCACCGAGGGCGGTGTGCGAACGAGGTATACCTAGAAATTACAAGGAGTCCCATACTTGCAGGTGTGGAATGTAACAGGTGTGTTGAGATGGTGCTACTATGTATGATAACCTACAGTGCTATATTCCATACAGGTGGAGCAGTCTGACGTGTTAAGGGGTAGTGTAAGAAGGAATGACCCAGGTAAGGAGGTCACGGATTGTTATGCAATAAGTATGTGGATGACACGCAATTAATGTAAGGCGTCTGGTGCCGAGCAGGCTAACCAACATCTTTTTTGTTCTTCTGAGGAAGGCCAACTCACTTGTATTGTTTTTACAGTATGTTTTATAAGGGATAAATTAGTTAAGACATGTTATGGTTTCACCCTTCTTTCCCCTTATCGAGCTGGTCAATGAAAAACCTAACTCAATGCCTAGTCCACTCTGCCCGCCACCTAACGAGCTACATACTGCCCAGAGGGGGTCTGGTGGCAGCAACCCTTAGAAATTAAGAATAGAGTTAAGTTATCCCCTTAGACTTAGTGACCCCAGATCTGACAGTATACCACAGCGGCACGTTCACCTTGCAACCACTGCAATTTTAGTGAGAATGTGCGTGCATTGCTCTCATTCGTGTGTGTGTGTGTGTGTGTGTGTGTGTGTGTGTGTGTGTGTGTGTGTGTGTGTGTGTGTGTGTGTGTGTATGTGTGTGTGTGTGTGTGTGTGTGTGTGTGTGTGTATGTGTGTGTGTATGTGTGTGTGTGTGTGTGTGTGTGTATGTGTGTGTGTGTGTGTGTGTGTGTGTGTGTGTGTGTGTGTGTGTGTGTGTGTGTGTGTGTGTGTGTGTAAATAATAATAATAATAATAATTAACGGTTTACTGAAAAAATTCTGCAGCCCGAAGGCTGAAAATATACATTGGACATAAATGACTATTACATACATTGGTGTGTGTGTGCGTGTTTACTTGTTGCTGCGGAATGTTGTACAACAATGACTACTAGCCAGAGACATGATACTCTCGTGTGCATTTATGTGCACTCCTGATTACCCAAGTTTATACGATTACGTGAGTGTACCTTTGAACTAATGCATATACGAATATCCTTTATACACTGACACGGAAGCACACGTGTACATATGCAATATAATAGAATAAGAGAGATGTACAGTATCTTTCCTAATTTTTAATAGTTGATGAATATGTAATTACTAAACTAGTTGCTCACATAAAGACCTTAGTTGTTGTAACAGTAATAATATACTATACCATCATCATCAATAATATCAATACAAATACAGCTGTAGAGTTTCAGCAGCAAGAAACACAATAGAAATAGGTTTCCGACAACATTCTCGGGTTTTATCTCTCATAACTTTTAAATACTGATTTCATAGTGTAATTACAAACCTTGTTACGAGCTTAAAGAGCTTAGTTGTTGAAGCGCAGTCATAACATTATAACAAAGCATTTCCGGTTATCTTTGGTTAAATCAAGTTATTGTTCCCATTGTGTGCACACCAACACTCTCGGTAATTATGAACTCATTTAGACTTTTATGGCGGTTTTAATTTTCCTACGGGGATAACAACAAAACAACAACCACAACAACAAGAATCATAACTGGAACATCGAAATATTTTAGTGTCGTTACATCAAAAGAAATTATCACTGAAGACGAATGTACTAAAGTAGTTAAGCAAACTATTGGATTCATTTAAGCAATCAATGATGGAGTTTGGGTTGTAATTTTGACAAGGTTGGCAAGTTTTAGCAGTTTCTCTGTGACTTTTGGGACGTTAGAGTTGGCAACAGTTTACGTGACGGAAGCGAATCTTATGAACCTGGTATTAGTGACTTCTGTACAGCCAAGCAGAACACCTCGAGTCCATAGCAAGCACATGTAATAATGGCTGAGCGGAACCTTACATACATTAGGACACAAACATTCAAACTTCTTCCGGGCAATTATATTGCAAATGTCGGAATCCGCATAGTTTCCTGGTTTCAGCACTTGAAATATGTTAAGGCAGTGATCGTGAGGTTGGAGTGTAATGGCCGTAGATTTTTGTGGAATTTTATGCGTGTATAAAATAGGATTTGCGAATAACTTAGTGGTGACAGCTGGTTGTAGCCCCTCACAGCTGCCTGTATCCCCTTAGTCCTCACACTCCTTTTATAAGAAGGTCGTAGTCAGGGTCATAAACGCACCACACAGTTCAGATGTTGTGAATCATGGTGGAGCTCCACCCAGCTACACTGATTCTTTAATGATACCAAGAACTACGTGGTTAGAATAGCCTCTTACTTGTGCCATAAAAGATCGCCAGAGCGAGCAGTCAACTTCTCTTGGTGTTCTGCTCCACCCCACAGTGATACACACGGGAAACTATCGTCAATAGTTTTACCTTATCTTACAGGTCGTGGTGTTCTCTGATACGTCTCTTACAGGTCGTGGTGTCCTCTGATACGTCTCTTTTAGGTCGTGGTGTTCTCTGATACGTCTCTTACTGGTCGTGGTGTTCTCTGATACGTCTCTTGTAGGTCGTGGTGTTCTCTGATACGTCTCTTACAGGTCGTGGTGTTCTCTGATACGTCTCTTACAGGTCGTGGTGTTCTCTGATACGTCTCTTACAGGTCGTGGTGTTCTCTGATACGTCTCTTACAGGTCGTGGTGTTCTCTGATACGTCTCTTGCTCGCTCGTACTTTAATGTGTATGGCTGAGAAGTGGATGTCCTCAACACCGTGCACTCTGATGCTAACACAACAGACGAGACAGCCGCTAAGACTCACGTACACACACACACAAAAAACCCCCCCCCTAAAACAGCAAAAATAAACACAATATTATCGTATGATCAACATAAGACTAGAGAGTGATGAGTCTTTTTGTTTTTTACCACAGTTACAGAGAGTCTCATAGACCTCCGATACACAAAGAGGTTTTGTAGACGGCGCTGCAGGTGACATTCACCGTTGGGTGGGTTGGAGGGGGTTACCAGCACGAAGCAGCAACCCCTATGACAGTAGTTGAGCACTATCGCTTTGGGTGCAAAAAAAAAAAGTAATACAAAAATAAAAATTAACCCCTCACTCAACTACCTGTGAAATAACCCTCCACTCACAGTCTATCCCGGAAATATCGTATCCACCAATCACAGTCCCTCTCTAATAATCTCGGGTCCACCAATCACAGTCCATCCCGGAAGTCCCGCATCTACCAATAGTATGACAGGTTTGTGAAGCGGGCCTCACTCAGGGTGAGGATGAGGGTGGTGCCTGCCGCGTTAAGAGTTAAATCCGGCATGTTTACATCGGAGGGAGAAGGGGCTGGGGGGTTATTACACCTGGTGCTGAGGGGGGGGGGTGTAGGGTAGGTAGAGAGATGGTATAAGGGGGGAAAGAGGAAGGGAGGGAGTAGGAGAATGATTAAAAAAGGGAGGAGGAATTAGTAGAAAATAGGTGAGAGGACATTTACATATGAGAGAGAGGAAATGAGATAATATACTGGTTGTCAGTCGGTGAGGAAATAAGGACAATTAGAAAGGAGGAAGTGAGGAAGAGTAAGGCTGAGGTGAGGGAGAGAAACAGACGAGGTAAAGCATAACGGAGGCAGGTAACTATGGTGTTATTTTATGACTGGCGACACTACTGTAGAAGGTTGTGCTGAGAGGCGGGTAACGTTTACCTCTCCGTCTGTTCTCTCGTCAACACTTCCGCCATCACGACTTTCAGTAAAAAACTATGACACAAATAGATGTTCCTTCCCTGACAACTGTTAAAGTACATCACGTTCCTTCCTCAAATGTTAAACACCAAAGTTATAATGACTTATTTTAATTGTTGTTGATGAGTATTAACGCTGTTTAATTGTCAGTGTAGTAGTTTCTGTAGGCAAGTCTGATACAGTAAACTTGTGTTGATGTGCGGCCAATCTCACACAGTCATATCAGTCTCCGTGGGCAGGAATTTTGTGACCTTGAAAATTTTGAATTCTGTGCTGAACGAATGACTCAGGGATAGTTATTTAAGTTTTCACCTTTTTGTTTGAAATGTCAGGTCGTTACACGTCAAAACCTTGGCTGTAGAGCGATGGTTCACACCCTCATACAGACGTGATCACACAACACGTGTTGACAAACCGCTACTGGAGCTCATCCATCATCTTCTTCTTGGCGTGGGAACAAACAGTTGAATGTTAAAGGTTACACAACTTACCTACATTTGGTATTTTACATAATTCTTTTGAGATTTGGGCCATACTTAAGTTGGTTCAGCAGCGTCGAGCCAACTTCTGAGTCCGTATTCTTTTCTATTGCGGCGACTACTATTACTATACATTAGTCTTGGGTACAAAACAAAATGGTGTTGGTTATGTCAGGAATCACAGCCATTGTAGAAAAGTTTTATCCTATCATGTTCGTTTAGTAGTTTCTGTGTGTGTCTCAGCCACCAGATACTGTGTTGTGGGTGACTGTCCCAGGAATGGCCAAGAATATACAGACACAAAGTCGTAGTTTATCATTTAAGGGTTGCCAGCAATTTATTTATGCCTCACGGGGTGGTAGTCAAGCCTTTGTTAGATTAGAAGCGTCACCGTCAACCTGGAAGATTCGTACAAGAGTGTAAATGTACAGTGATAGGTCGTACCCTCAAGATTAAGGTGTACGAGTATCTTGTTGTGTTGTTGTGAGGCAGGAGGTGAGGCAGGGGGGGGGTGGGGTGGGGGTGAATAAGGGGCGGTAAGATGGGTAGGACTCCAGCATGGCAGCGCCCAGAGTAAATATGTCAACACGTCGCTTTTTCTTTCTCTTCTTAGTGGGGTGAAGATGGAGGGGAGGGGGTACTGATTGGGGAGGGATGCAACACACCTGCCCCGTCAACCTCGACAACAGCGTGTGACACCTGGCAAGACAGCACCTTAATGGACTGTGTTATGGCGGCGACAAACACTCTACATTGTTTAGTAAGTTGAGTCTTGCGGGGAAACCTGAAGGTAAATTAAGGTAACTGATGGTAACTGAGGGTAAATGAAGGTAACTGATGGTAATTTAAGATAACTGAAGGTAACTTGGGGTAAATTAAGGTAAGTGAAGGTAAATTAAGGTAAGTGAAGGTAATTGAAAGGTAACTGAGGTTAAATTAAGGGAAGTGAAGGTAATTAAAGGTATCACTTGTAATGAAGACGATACTGCAACTCTCCGCCAACGCTCAATCAAACACCTAAATATCTACCTACTGCAGCAAAACTACCCATACACAAGAAGTCGAACACGCAATACATCCCCGAACCCCTTGAATCCATCCCCCGGGTTGATAGAAATGGATCAAACCTATATCTCATAGGAGGGATAGGGGGGGGGGGGAGTTCAATATCCATGGATCACATTCAACACAAGTCACATCACACCAAGCAGAGTCACACCACACACCGTGAACGAATTTACTGGGATAATGTTAGAATCTCGTATCAAAATATTCAATTCAGCATTATATATTACTATTCTCAAGATATTGTTTGAAATTTGACAAAAAATAATTAAAAATACGTACAGAAGAGAGAAAATATAAAAGAAGTTTAGTATATACCCTCTACTCGTATATAGGATGTCTTAGAAAAATGTCCCTACTTCCCTGCCTGCTCCCTGAGACACTGTGAATTGGAGGGAAGCAGGGAGCAGGCAGGAAGTGAGGGGGTTGGGGGGGGGGGCAGGGACATTTTTCTGGGACACTCTATATGTATTGGGAAGGTGGTGTTTTGTTGATGTTATAATTCATTCCTACGTTATCAACAACAACTATGGTCTTAAAAATATTGTCCAGGCTGGTGGTAATGATACTGTTTCCGTAACTTGTTTGTAAAGATGTTTATAGTATCATTTATATATGAATTAAGACCTTCTAGACAAATTAAAGATGTCCCGAAAATTAGGAATCTTCGCTTATTTCACCTAATGATTAAAACACCATAATGTTAAATGGGGGTTAGATTTGGTTAGGTTAGGTCAGGTTAGTTAAGTTTTGGTTTGGTCAGGTTAGGTTAGGTTAAGTTATTTAGATAATGTTAGGTCAGGGTAGATTAGCTTAGTATTAGGATGTTTAATCATCAAGTATTCTCGCGTAAAAAAACTTCCTGACGTACATATACAGGTAGGCCGTTGCTGAAGTTTGTCTGAGCTTCTAAAACAGGCGTGAAGAACTGTGAATTGTTTAATAGTGTTCCTGGGCAAGTACAGGTGCCACTGTAACCATGTGGATGTAGATTGAACACAATATGAATTGGAACACTCACCATGTGGGGTTGAAACACACTATATGGGTTTGGAACACAGTATATGAGGGTTGGAACACACTATGTGAGGTTGAAATACTCACCATGTGGGGTTGGAACACTCACCATGTGGGGTTGGAACACTCATCATGTGGGGTTGGAACACAATATGTGGGGTTGAAATAAAATGTGGGGTTGGAACACAATATGTGGGGTTGAAACACACTATATGGGTTTGGAACACAGTATATGAGGGTTGGAACACACTATGTGAGGTTGAAATACTCACCATGTGGGGTTGGAACACTCACCATGTGGGGTTGGAACACTAACCACGTGTGGTTGCAACACACTATGTGGGTTGGAACACTATGTGGGGTTGGAACACTCACCATGTGGGGTTCCAGAGTGTCAGGTTCTCCTGCACAGTTGAGGTTCAAATTTTCAGGCGCTGCGGCAAACCTTTTGTCGGGCATCTTGAGGTTGATGTGTCGACGTTTAGAACTTGATGTCAACGCCTGGAAATTTTTGTCGACGGGTGGAACTTTTTGTTGGGTGGAATTCTTAGTCGACAGATGGAACTTGTCGACGCAGAAGGAGCTGAGGGCAAGGTAGGGATGAAAGAGAGTTCACCGCCCCACCATAAACCCTGTAATCACACTTCCTAAAACAGTTTTTATATATATACCCAACAGTTACGTACAGTTTATTCTTCACCTCTTGGTTAATGTTACAGATCACTGAGCGTCAGAGAGCCACCGTGGGTCCCGCTCACAGCTATGTCAAGTCCGGGATGCTAACTGTTGGTGTGAGGAGTGACTGCGGGTGAGCAGGCTTCAGCTCCCCCCATACTGACGAATCCTCTTTAGTCCAGATGGTGTAACACGTGAAGTAAACATTATAAACAATGTAACTTCACTGTAAAAGACATACAAGACGTTTTTTGGTTTAATGAAGATTTAGATTGAACGGATTTTTTGTCAGGAAAAATTGGTATATAAATGATAATCAAGGGAATTTGGCAATCTAAAGCCAGCGACGAGAAAAGCCCCTCGCAGCTGGAGGAAGAGAGCGGGGAACCTACTTGGCACCAACTGATGTGTGCGATTGTTCAATACTGTATAATCATCATGACGTCACTTTGTATTTAGTTATGCCTGAAACTGTGAACAAATATTTGAAATCCTCACTGAATAAATCGTGTTATGTAATTATATTGCTGTACAGTATCTCTCATCTTGTCTCGTGGTCGCCATGGATGGATGGTGGTAATCTGATGATGTCGTGTTGTAATTAATGACATTAAACAGATTTTATAAAGTATCTGCCAATGACGGACTTAAATAGGTCTCGGTACATAACCTATCTATCGAAGTTTCCAGTTATCTATCTGATGTCTATCTGCCTGTCTATCTGTTTATATCTATGTGTCTACCTGTCTATCTGTATGTCTGTCTATATATTCATCTGCCTCTGTCTGTTTTATTTATCTATATCTGTTCCTTATTATTTGGGAAGGATCAGAAGCAGACACTTCCCTGACCTTCAATTACTTTCCTGATTGTTCAACTACTTTCCCTACCCTCCAGTTATTTCCCTGACCGTTTAACTACTTTCTCGACCCTCCAGTTACTTCACTAACCACTCAACTACTTCGCTGACCCTCGAATTGCGTTCCCAACCTTTCATGTTTTACCTAACCTAACCTCATTACACCCTGGATAGATATTATAACACAAGAACAACAGCATGCGTTATATTGAGGATATTATTAATGGTCTAGAGTCTGGGACAAATATAGTCTTCGATATTATAAGTTTTAAGCACTTGTGGCCACAGAGAGACAGATAAAGAGTAACAGACAGTAAGACAGAGAAACGGAGAGACAGAGACAGTCTGTTTCAGTTTCAATTTCAGATGGAAGGAAGACTTTTCGAACGTGATGTCATACCATCTCTTGCAATACACAGTTGTTGTTTTTGTTGTTATTAAACTTACCATGACGTCCTTTCGGGATACGTCACAAGCCAAACACGACCGCTGTGTGGATGTACAGTATTGTACATCGCCCCATCTCTCCTCTTCTCCATTCCGTCTCAAAGGCGGCGTCACGCTGGCTTTCTTTCGTCGATTTTTTATCAACTTTCAGAAAATCGTCGAACTTTTTGCTGTGCACCGTCACACATGAGTTTAGAACCAACTCGCCAGTTTCCCTCGTTCCACAACTGTCAACAAACAAGATGGATCCAACTGACGAAGAAAGCACAGCAATTTTACGCTTTGTCATGGCTGTTTCCACCAAGAACTCTTCGGAGAGGCGTGTCCACAATTGGGAAATTATATTATCTGTTGGCTCCGTCGTGTTGTTATTCCCCCGTGGTCAAAATGTAAACAACAAATGACATTTTCTTATCCCTTTAAAATCACGAAATTAAACCTATTAATAATTAATAATCTTGGGAAGAAAAGTGTTAATTACTTTATAATAATTTCAGCTTTATATTTTAATTAAAAACTAGTTTGTTTTTTATAACTTTGTAGTATCAATTATAGATCTTGAGTTGACGCCGGTAAGTTGTCGTAAGTTGTCAGTGCAGACTTGTCTGCACCGTTTGACAAAAATTCAACGACAACGTCGACGATTCGTGAAAAAAATTCGACGATTATTGGAAAAGTTGACAATAAAAATCTAGTGTGACGCCGCCTTAAATAAGTGTCGCACGAAGTGTGGCATCGCCGGGTATCAAAGGTGGTTACCGAAATGGGGTCAGTGATTGCACCGTTTGTTTTTTGTTTTGTTTTTACCCTTGCTTCGTTCATATTTTGTTTATTGACATGGCATGAGGGGCATTGTACGTACATTGTTCATGGCATGACATTGGGACGGTGTATATTGTTACATGGCATGGGATGTGGTGGTGTACATTGTTCAAGGCCTGGTATGGGGGGCGGTGTACGTTGTTCAAGGCCTGGTATGGGGGGCGGTGTACATTGTTCAAGGTTTGGTATGGGGGGCGGTGTACATTGCTCATGGCTTGGTATAGGGGGCGGTGTACATTGAACGTAACATTACTTTAGAATGACAAGATCAGTTGTTTCTGTACAAGATCACACGAAAGTTAGGAATGAATTCTACCGAGTGACAGAGTCATTGCTCGGAGAGAAATTCGAGTTTAATACTTCTGCTATCAGTTGGCAGCTAACCTGAATGGTTTTAATTAGACTTGCATTACTTGAATGATAATATGTTCGGTTTGTTCAGCCATTAAGATTTTACCCCCTTCAATTTTGCTTTATCATCATCCGCATTTAGGAGTTACGGTGTTAATAAGACTATAAACACAGTGGTGATGAGCACTTAAGACAAATCATTTACAGTAACATCATATTAGATCTGTGTCTTCGTTAATGTAGATAAATTTTTATTTTAAATTTGACAATGACAATATTTACAGGAAGTTGCAATAGGCGAGGCAATGCGCGCCGCATAGAGGCTCCGGGAGCTCTGCCAGAGGGATATTTTTGGTGGGAAATAGTGAGTCAGCCACTCGTGCTACCGTTGATAAACTCAAAGGGAAGAAAACTCATTCTCACGTGAAATGAGAATTTGAAAGAAAGATGACAAGTGTGTATGAAGAAATAATTCTTTTTATCTATATTGAAGGTTCTATCGTCTTTCTAGGGTTATCCCCGGCAGAATTTGTACGGTTTCAAAGCTAATATTACCCGAAAACCGTAGTTATATAAACATTTTACGTGCTGACACTAGCGTAAATACATTTCAGTAGTGGTGTGGTGGCTCAATGATAAAGTGGATGACGGAAGCCCCAGGTTCGACTCCCAGTCTGACTGAAAACGGGCTTAATAAGATGAGTCACAGGCAAGATTTTCCAAGGTTCGTAATTGATAATTCTCTTACCATAAATATTTACCCGCCATTGATGCAGGTGATAGGCTGGGTCTTTTACCAGAGTGAGGCTTGAGCGATCTCAACAGCCCATAGTTGATTCTCAACTTTTTCTACTCCCTCTAATTAGTCTTCTGATGAGAAAAGGTTTGGGGCATTAATTCACCACTAAATTCACCCCTTTCCCTTGAACAACCATGAACAAATGCAATAAACGATTTTCGGGGATTCCTGTTGGATCATCGTCACCTAAAGGTCTGCATTGACTCCCGTGCTTGTGGGCAATGTGCCAAAGACCGCTAGCAAGTACTCTCCGAGTAAATTATAGACTTGGGCATAAAGCACAACTACGGAAAGTTTAAGAATGAACAAGCGCAAAATCAAATTGGTACATGGAATGGAAAAACATTATATGAGGGCGTCGCGTTTTGGAAATACAGTTGGGGACTTTTCCGACTGGTACACAGCGTTATCAATCCACCCTCTCCGTGAGGTGTGAGCCTCGAGAGTATCGACTCCTAAATCCGAACCATCCACAAGTGAGGGGAAGAGGGAGGCTGGGGGACGACAGAGGCCGGTGTGTAAGGGAGTGGCAGGTTATGGGTGTTGAGGAGAGTTTTTGAGGGCTAGAGCGATAGGGGGCTTTAAGGAGTTTCTTGTGCAGTTATAACACAGTATCATTGCGTATTGAGCAAGGATATACCTGTAAATACATAGGGCAAAACAAAATTATGCTTAGAATGTGTTACCGCACATTAGAGTATTATTCTTAGCTTGTGCTACAGGTCTGAGCAATATATACATATTTATGCAGCTCTCACGTAATCTAGGGGTGATAGGGGATGGGCTAGAGTCTCAATATGGTGTCCTTTTATGACAGGGTAACTTTCATGGCTCAATAAATAACGGATGTATTTGATTCTATTTACATAAGCACCAGACTATTAATATAGTGTAATTTGCAATAAAAACATATCCAGGAAGGTAGGAAACTACCTTTATTATAAATATCATTAATATGTGAATGACAATGATAAGTCAGTCGGCAGCAGTTCCACCTGCTGCAAGCATTTCCTGTTTGGTTATAGGTCTAATGCAGTCTAACTGATGTGCCAGTATTATGGTTTTTATATTATGGTTTGTCATTTTACGCATCACTTACAAATAACTGGTCCCTACTTAGACACTAAGTGCAGTTCAATTATTGTCAGTTTTAGATAAAATATTGTTATTAACATAAAACAATGTCTGCCGTTTATGCCACTAATATGTATCACATTTTAGTGACGATAATAATTCATAACCCAATTGAACCCCACACGAGGACGGCTCTATAGACCCTATATGACCGTGCTTTAATAATAATAATAATAATAATAATAATAATAATAATAATAATAATAATAATAATAATAATAATAATAATAATAATAATAATAATAATAATAATAATAATAATAATAATAATAATAATAATAATAATAATAATAATTCAGTAAAATTGACTACAGATTTACAATTGACTAAGCATGTTTATAAACTAATCAGTAGGTGAATAATAATGGTAAACAGTAAGGCAACTTGACCAAGGGTAGCTGACAAAGCTGTCAGTTGCTTATTTCCAGGAGGGTCCTTTGCTTAGGCTTACGCTTGGTCTCTAATTAGTAATAGTATGTCTACATGAGTATTAGTGAACGTTTATGTGGCAGAATTCAACAAATCATGACTATTTCAAATAGCAATGTTGGAAATAAAAATTATGTTGGACTGAGTATATAACTTAAGATGGAAATGAAAGAACGTAATTTGGAGATTCTTCAGAATTTATTTCTTTTAAGATTACATCCAGTAAGTGATCGCCTCGGGAATCCAAACAAAATTGTGCCGCTACTCAACACACGCCAGTAAAACTAGTTTTGAACTCTTCTGAGGCTTCGTTAACCTCCCCATGCAATTTGCCACTGGCGACCAATCAATATTTTTTGTATTTTGGAGCTCTTCTTTATTTTGATTCTTCTTTGACCGCATCTTGATTACTTTGTCTTGTTTTGACTTACCCCTGACCGTTTTCCTGCTGTAGTAGGTGATAAAGTGGTCACTAAGGCCAACAGCCTCTAGGTCGTCTTGTATTTGTAGGTAATTTCACATATTTTGAAGGATTAGTTTATATAAGACTTTCTACCAGCCTTTTGGCCTGAATTTTGTCTCAGTATTAAGTGGTTAACTTCACTATAATGTGATGTGAGTAATGCTCTAGTGTTATAAGGCCATAACAAATTAGTTTCCCATTTACGCTTTTAACATTTTCTTATATATTGTCAATACAGAGGATTTGTAAGGGAGACTCACGCAATATGGTACAGAGATGCAAATTCTTTTAAGGTCTTATTTAAACGACAATTTGAATAATAATCATGAATAGTTTACTGTTAAGGCAAAGGAATTATTGCATGAATATAATTATCAGACAATACAGATAACTATTAAATGCTCAAACTTAAGAGGGAGAATAATAAATGGAGTTTAATGTGATGCAGTTGAAAATTATGTAAATTACAATGTTCTCCAAATAGTATAAAAACATTTAAATGGTGGAAATTAAAATAAATGAGCTTAAGTATTGTAATATAAATTCCTCGTCTCAGATGAGAGAATCTAATTAGTGTAGACTAGCTGACTGAGTTTGATGACTTAGTTTAGAATGTGATATTTCAATAAGAAACTTTAAATTACCAGCCATAAACAAAAGACTTTGCAAAGCGAAGTTTAGAGAGTGGTGGAGTTATCTCTTAATTAGAGTTTAAAGAGAATATAAATAATTATCTGGTAGGTAGATAAGTCTAAGTTTGGTATATATAGATTATAACGCCAGCAAATACTTTACTTTATCCTCATTAACCCCTTGGGCGATCGGTCATGTCTCTGTTACACTGTTGGCATGTACTGGGCATCATGTACCGGCTCCAGAATGTATTTGTACCTGCACCAGTGTTAGTCAAGTCTGGTCTTGAATGAACTCACACTCTGCTGTTACAACATTCCCTGACTGATTGTCCTGACAGGTATTTGAACATATGACTTCTTTAAGCTGTGACCCCTAGTGGGACAGGAATACACCATGCCCTCTGAGATGTTTATAGATGTCTAGTAATTTACCCCTTACTCACCTACAGTACTGTATGAGATAGGCATCTTCAGGCGTTCTAATCTCTCTGGGTACCTAAGATGCTGTAGTGCAGGCACCAATCTGGTGGGCCCTTCTTTGGACATTTTTAATCAACTGACAGTCTCTAATATATCTCTGGGACCAGGCAGGGTGATAGTACTCCAAACAGGGAAGTACTTCACTTTTAAAGAGCATTATGAGGAACTAAAGCAACTCTTAATTCGCAGGTAACACTATAGCAGTTTTTAAATCTAGGCTAATACCACTACAGCAGCTCTTAAATTGCATTTAGTTAAATTTTCATGAGCTTATATCAGTACTTTGATTAGCAAGCAACTACTACTCAGAGGATAACTGTACCAGACTTAATGAGTACGATTCCCAGTTAGTTTATTAAATGGAGTCACATAATAATCGTTAACACATAACATTGCAGATATTAATTCCACTATTAATTTCACTAAAACGTTCAATGGCATAATAACCTGGAGGAATTATACTCAAATATGTAACATTAACTTGCTCAATTCAACAAAATAGTCTCAGTTGTAGACATGAGGTTGTTTAGTTATGAACAATAAAAAAGTCTACGTCAACCTTACTCCTCATTTGACTACAATGTGTGTGGTGCTTCTTCATTAATTGTCTAAACAGATTTTCATGCATCTCGCACCCAACCTGTCTGTAGATCCCTCCACCAAACACATGGGCCTCCTCATATGTCTGATATGATCCTCAAAACGCCTATTTAACTGCTAAATTATCACTTTTAGCCTCGTTTTTTTCTGCCTGTCACTTTTCATCCCTGATTCATAAGACAATTCAAGTTTAGTAGTTTACTTGTTCTCCCTAAGTACATACCTACTACTATCAGTATGCAACCAGCCCCTGCCCATGCAAAGAATCGATACGTCAATCCTCAAGTTCTAGCCCACCCATGATTGTACGATTGTGGCTTATCTCCCAGACCAGAGCATGTTAGATTTGCTTAAGTTTTAGTTAAGTTAGTTTGTCATGGTAGATTAATTTAGGTGAGATAAGTAAAACTAAAGAGATACAGTATACTGAGGGAAGATTTGACTGACAGTGATGAGTAATAGTAAAGGTTGTGAAGCCAAATGTTAAGAAAAGACCATACTTGTCCACAACACTAATCAACACATTCAGTTACTATTGTAATCTTCGTTATTGTTTGTATATTTGATTCCAGATATGCCACAATTCCGGATGATTTAAAAAATAAAAAGTAATAGTCATAGCTAATACAGATATCATAAAGCTTGTGAAAATTCAGGGTTTAGGTCACCTGAAAATTTTTTAAGGTGACTTTTTTCTTTTGTTCTGGATGTACTAATGCAATTAACCACGATAATTTTCAATTCCGAGAGAAAATGTATTTTGGACCATAATCGCCGTTTTGTGAAAATTATGACAATTCTGATTTGGCTCAGTCTCCAAAAGGGTGATCCTTAACACGTTGGTTAAGGATTTGGGGTCAGAGAGTCAAAACTTTGTTAATTACTTGTCGTAATGACTGTTGGAATAACTTCATTCGTTTTCCAACCCTAATCAATGGTGCCATTTTTCGTTGTTGCTATTTGCCATTTTTTTATTATTCTAGATGTGGTAACTTATGGTGATAGTTATACATGTGTGTTGTATTATACTATTGTATAAGAGTCTGTTTAGTTTTCTATTATTCTGTCATTCTGTCCAACACGTTGAAGCACTGTCCCTTTGTTACCCAATATATATATATATATATATATATATATATATATATATATATATATATATATATATATATATATATATATATATATATATATATATATATATATATATATATATATATATATATATATATACAGAGAGAGAGAGAGAGGGAGTGTGTGTATATTTATATAGGCAGGTGAATGTGCTTCTACAGCTTCTCCTACAGTACAGAAACGCTAATGCTTGCTAGTCATCAATAGTTTGTATGGAGGAGAGCGGCAATACACGCAGGCCGTCGCCGCCGCCACTCTACCAGAGATAAAATCAATGCTCGTCTGGTGGCAGCAGTTGGCGCATGTGTTCTGCCCCCACACCGCTGACTTTCACAGCTGAGGCAACATGGCGACGACGTGGGCTGCGATCATCTCCTTAGGTAAGAAATTGTAGAATCTAGGTATTTAGTATCTTTAGTGCAAGATTGTCAGTGTCACTAGCCACGGTGGTGACTGTGGCACAGTTTGTGTTATGTGTGTCAGGTTAGGAGGCATTTCCTAACCCCTGGTGACGCGGCTATGTCGGTGCAGTTTTATCCATAAATCTATAAATACACGGAGAACATTTTGTTATAGTTTGAAGAAATATAACACAAATTACTATGGGACGACCTGTGGGCGGTCTAACTGTTGTGGGGCGTTGCTTCACGTCATAAGATTGTATGTTTATACATGTGATAAAAAAATGATTTACTATTGGCATAACGACCGCTGTCGTGACAACATGACCCCGGCACACTGTCACCGTCCACCTCACATAATGCCTTTAGTCTCCAGGCCAAGGTAACACCGCCGTCTGTGTGTTACAATGTACACCCAGTGGTAGTTCATGTACTGTTATATGTACACCCAGTGGTAGTTCATGTACTGTTATATGTACACCCAGTGGTAGTTCACATACTGTTATATGTACACCCAGTGGTAGTTCACATACTGTTATATGTACACCCAGTGGTAGTTCACATACTGTTATATGTACACCCAGTGGTAGTTCACATACTGTTATATGTACACCCAGTGGTAGTTCACATACTGTTATATGTACACCCAGTGGTAGTTCACATACTGTTATATGTACACCCAGTGGTAGTTCACATACTGTTATATGTACACCCAGTGGTAGTTCACATACTGTTATATGTACACCCAGTTCACATGTACACAGTATGTTATATGTACACCCAGTGGTAGTTCACATACTGTTATATGTACACCCAGTGGTAGTTCACATACTGTTATATGTACACCCAGTGGTAGTTCACACACTGTTATATGTACACCCAGTGGCAGTAAACACACTGTTATATGTACACCCAGTGGTAGTTCACATACTGTTATATGTACACCCAGTGGTAGTTCACATACTGTTATATGTACACCCAGTGGTAGTTCACATACTGTTATATGTACACCCAGTGGTAGTTCACACACTGTTATATGTACACCCAGTGGCAGTAAACATACTGTTATATGTACACCCAGTGGTAGTTCACATACTGTTATATGTACACCCAGTGGTAGTTCACATACTGTTATATGTACACCCAGTGGTAGTTCACATACTGTTATATGTACACCCAGTGGCAGTACTGTTATATGTACACCCACCACACTGTTATATGGTAGTTCACATACTGTTATATGTACACCCAGTGGTAGTTCATACTGTTATATGTACACCCAGTGGTAGTTCACATACTGTTATATGTACACCCAGTGGTAGTTCACATACTGTTATATGTACACCCAGTGGTAGTTCACATACTGTTATATGTACACCCAGTGGCAGTAAACACACTGTTATATGTACACCCAGTGGCAGTAAACACACTGTTATATGTACACCCAGTGGTAGTTCATGTACTGTTATATGTACACCCAGTGGTAGTTCACATACTGTTATATGTACACCCAGTGGCAGTAAACACACTGTTATATGTACACCCAGTGGCAGTAAACACACTGTTATATGTACACCCAGTGGTAGTTCATGTACTGTTATATGTACACCCAGTGGTAGTTCACCCAGCATAGAGCAAATGTGGATAGTGTGTTGTAAGTACACCCGTCAGTGGAGTAACCAGTAGTTTACATAAATGTTTGTATTTCTGCAACAAAACATTGTGCTACCGGGACCTGCAGTGCCTTGAGCAGGTTAGGGGGGTTAGGGGGCGTGGCAGTGTGACAGTAAAGACAAAATGTCTCCTTAAACTACCGAAGAATGTTTATTGATTTCAGTCACACGTTCAGTATGTACAAAGGGAATGTTGTGCGTCACGGTAGGTGGGAATAAAGTACAAGCTAGCCATCTTGTGTGTACATGCCAGCCACCATGTGTACATATCAGCCACCCTGTGTATACGTACAACCTATCTTTCCTTCAAGCACAACTGTGTACATTATTTCGCAAATTTTACCATGTGTTACCTGTTACTTGTAGATATAGGGTCGTGGTGTTTATGTTATGAGGTAAACCATTCACAGTGTCATTCATGAAAGTAAACCATCCGCACAGTGTGGTTCATGGAGGTAAACCTTCCACACAGTGTGGTTCATGGAGGCAAACCTTCCACACAGTGTGGTTCATGGAGGTAAACCTTCCACAGTGTGGTTCATGGAGGTAAACCTTCCACACAGTGTGGTTCATGGAGGTAAACCTTCCACAGTGTGGTTCATGGAGGTAAACCTTCCACAGTGTGGTTCATGGAGGCAAACCTTCCACACAGTGTGGCTCGTGGAGGTAAACCATCCACATAGTGTGGTTCATGGAGGTAAACCTTCCACAGTGTGGTTCATGGAGGTAAACCTTCCAGTGTGGTTCATGGAGGTAAACCTTCCACAGTGTGGTTCATGGAGGTAAACCTTCCACACAGTGTGGTTCATGGAGGTAAACCTTCACAGTGTGGTTCATAAACCATCCACATAGTGTGGTTCATGGTGGTTCATAAACCTTCCACACAGTGTGGCTCGTGGAGGTAAACCATCCACATAGTGTGGTTCATGGAGGTAAACCTTCCACAGTGTGGTTCTAAACCATCCACATAGTGTGGTTCATGGAGGTAAACCTTCCACAGTGTGGTTCATGGAGGTAAACCTTCTACAGTGTGGTTCATGGAGGTAAACCTTCTACAGTGTGGTTCATGGAGGTAAACCTTCTACAGTGTGGTTCATGGAGGTAAACCACCCACAGTGTGGTTCATGGAGGTAAACCACCCACAGTGTGGTTCATGGAGGTAAACCTTCCACAGTGTGGTTCATGGAGGTAAACTACCCACAGTGTGGTTCATGGAGGTAAACCTTCTACAGTGTGGTTCATGGAGGTAAACCACCCACAGTGTGGTTCATGGAGGTAAACCACCCACAGTGTGGTTCATGGAGGTAAACCTTCTACAGTGTGGTTCATGGAGGTAAACCATCCACAGTGTGGTTTATGAAGGTAAACCATCCACAGTGTGGTTCATGGAGGTAAACCACCCACAGTGTGGTTCATGGAGGTAAACCACCCACAGTGTGGTTCATGGAGGTAAACCATCCACAGTGTGGTTCATGGAGGTAAACCATCCACAGTGTGGTTCATAGAGGTAAACCATCCACAGTGTGGTTCATGGAGGTAAACCATCCACAGTGTGGTTCATGGAGGTAAACCATCCACAGTGTGGTTCATGGAGGTAAACCATCCACAGTGTGGTTCATGGAGGTAAACCTTCCACAGTGTGGTTCATGGAGGTAAACCATCCACAGTGTGGTTCATGAAGGTAAACCATCCACAGTGTGGTTCATGGAGGTAAACCATCCAACACTCAGGTTATGACAAATCTTCTCACACCTTGGCCACAACACTGTACCAGCTGAGCGTTGTGTTACGTCTAGTGGTGTCCAGTTGCTGAGTCATCGTTGTGTTAAGTCACTTGTCAAGTCACTCCGTACTAATGAATTGTGTTTCCTGGATCACACCTCCTTGTAGGGTATTTACTCTCGCCTCTCGACTCACTCCAGTAACCTCCTACACGTCTCTAAAGCAAACATTAACTTATTGTTACTGTCAGTATCTGTCATGACAATACAGAGAATCAGTACATATCCAGTACTTGTCCACAGCGTGTAACAGAGAACCAACCTCCACATGACTGGCTAGTTAGCTGACAAGTGACTTAGAAGAAACAGTAACTTAATTATACTTAAGTGTCTTATCATGTGTTGTCTCCTGACAGGTGTGGTGGCTGTGCTCGCGCCGGGGTCCTCAGCTGCCACTACAACACACGTCGCTCCTCCCACAACAACCCTCACCGCTCTCACCACCAAAAATGTTACAACCATATCAAATGTCAGTCAAGTAACATCCAACCAGTCACAACCAAAACCACAGGAAATTGTTCAACTGTCACGGTATAATGAAGAGAAGGTGGCAGAAGCGGAGGCGGTGAGGGGCGACGTGGAGGATGAACTTCGTACTAGAGAGGTGGTTGTCTACGCCACCACCCCGCCTACACTACACCATCCACTTGTTGTGAAGGAAGATGAAGCTGTTGAGGATGAAGGTGTTAATCCTGAAAGTGATAATGCTGAAAGTGATAATGAAGGCGACTATGACACGGAAGGAAATGTTGTTTATAAGAGAGGAGGAAGTGACCGGATGGAGTATGAGGAATTACCGGTACCCATGGCTCAAAAAGGTGAGGTTTTATCGCTGTTTTGACTTTTGGGAGATAGATGGATCTGTCGAAGGTTTATTAACAGTGACGAAGAAGAGACTGTAGTGAAGCCGTTTCCTGGTCTGAGCTAAAGATTAATCCCAACCCTAGCTTATTTATTTGATCAAGCACCTTAAAGCTATCTGGGGAGGTTAAATTAAGATAGGTTATGTTAGGTTTGATTTTAACACTAACTTCAAAGCTTTTAAAAAAATGGACCTCCCTGAATATTAGCCCTCCCAGCTTATTTCGCCTGATGATTAAGCACCCTAACTATATCTAGGGGATAAGGTGAGATTAGGTTTACGATTAGGTTAGATTAGGTTATATTATGTTAAGTAAGTATATGTTGTGTTGGGTTAGATTAACTTAGTGTTAGGGTGGTTAGTCTTCAGGTGAATATGCTGTGGGGGTTAATCTTGAAGTGATCCCAAATTTTGTCTACATGATTCCCAGCTGAGAGGATATTTTTTTACCAAGGAGCCAAGTTTCAAAGCAGAGAGAGAGAGAGAGAGTTGACAGCTGTGATAAGTGCTGTGTGTTGACTCTTGTGTTGTATCAGAACCAGCTGAAGATTAGGGTTTATGATGTGTAAGAAGAAATGTCTGCAGCAAACTACTCGTCACTGTTACTTGAGTTTTATAATGCAAAGCACACACACACACACACACATTCATGCACACACACGCACACACACACACACACATTCATGCACACACACACACACACACACATTCATACACACATACACACACACACACACACACACATTCATGCACACACACACACACACATCATGCACACACACGCACACACACATTCATGCACACACACACACATTCATGCACACACACACACATCATGCACACACACACACATCCATGCACACACACACACATTCATGCACACACACACACACACACACATCACACACACACACACATTCATGCCCACACACACACACACATTCATGCCCACACACACACATTCATACACACACACACACACACACACACATTCATGCACACACACACACACACACACATTCATACACATACACACACACACACACATTCATGCACACACACACACACACACATTCACACGCACACATTCATGCACACACACACACACACACACACATTCATGCACACACACACACACACACACACATTCATGCACACACACACACACACATTCATGCCCACACACACACACACACACACATGGAATGGGAGTCAAGTTCTCTTTTTGCATTTATGGCGTTCAGACTAAAAGTATTTCTGCATAATTGTTTTCCCTCTTTTAATGTTGGAGTTAATTTGGCTAACAGATTCGTCGTCAACTGTGGGTTACACTCGCTATGATGGGACTTACATCGTTAAGGACGAGTTTGGTGTTGGCTGCGTCATGGCCTACTTCAAGTCCAAGGCCACCGTTTACTACCTGGACACGAAGGGTGAATACAAGGTTGGTTGAGAAGCGTTTAGTTTACAGACAGTATATTAACCGAACCTACATTAAACAGACACTGACTGCATTGAGAGGTGGGAGGGTAACACAACTGCCATCAGTGGTTCGTAATAACCTACATTATCTCTGTGTGGTGCGGCGGACACGTGGATGCAGCATTATTGCAGCACTCGCCTTCTGTCATAAGGGGTCGGTAGTTCACACTGGGTGTACCCAGAGTCTGTTTAGTTGTAATTTAGTATCTACCCTAAGATGGGGAAGTGAAAAGTCAAGTGTAGTACCGGCCACATTGTGTATCAGTGGGTGAGTGTTCAGTGTACTGTATCCACAATGCCTCTATCACATTGTCAGCTGTTTGTAAACCATCTTCACTTTTCAGATTATTTCTGTCAACTATTATAGGAACATTAACGAAACATAATCAGGCAGCTTTATTAGTTTTTATATTAAATATTTAAAATTGTGAAGATAATTTGTAATCACATGGTATATTAATAATTACGGTACATACCTTCCACGTCACCACTGTCAGTAATTATGTCCTTTTAAGGTGGTAAATTATCGTTCACTATGACTTTCCTCGGCAGACTAATCAAGTGTCCCCTTCGGATGATGCCAGAGTGGGTGGCATCTGTGACCGTGTGGGCCAGGTGTCACAGGTGGACGTGTTGTGGTCCTCATACATCCTCTCACTCACCTTCGGTCTGGATGATATCACCGACTCGTGGTTCGTGTCAAGATTCAGCCTTACTTACAACCTCAGTAACCCAGACTTCGAGGATGCTGCCCCTGGTGAGTGTTGTGACATATAGATGGCACCTTGACTGCTTCACTAATTAAGAGTTTTATGCCCGTATTATTAAACAACATCTTCCCTTGAAGAGGGTCGTAGTGTTTCAACCCGAGTTTTAAACTAAATGAGTCCTGAGGGACACCGCAGTACTGTACTTAACGGGGTGGTGTGGCTGTAAAATTAACAAATTCCAATACTATAAATTAATTTTATTGGAATTAGTTAATTTTACCGCCACACCACCCCGTTAAGTACAGTACTGCGGTGTCCCTCAGGACTCATTTAGTTTAAAACTCGGGTTGAAACACGATGACCCTCTACAAAGGAAGATGTTTAATAATACGGGCGACAGTCTGAAGAGTACTAACCTCAGAGACTTAAACATATAAAACAGTGACGATTGTTGTTTTTTTACTCAATACCCTGTAGTATTATTTGTTAGAATCGAAATCGTTAAATAATTGCAATAGAGGGAGGATATCTATTTGTACATTACATGCTTTAGTGACATTCTGAAGTGGTTAAAAGTCTAAGGTAACAGCAATTATCTGAACACACTGATAGAAGTAGATTTATTTAATATTATATCTACCTGTTATCTCTGCCTCCATGTTCTCTCTCTCTTTTGTCCCTGATTACATCCCCCCCCCCTCTCTCTCTCTCTCTCTCTCAGACCAACACAAACACCATACTAAATGTACAGTGCCTCTTGTTGTGTGCCAGGTGGAGGTGAGGTGACGCTGGTGAGCAGGAAGGATCGCACCTACTGGCAGACTACCAACAGTAAGTCCTTCCGCTGCCTCCTACTACACGACGTCACCCTGAAAGACAGCTACAACAACTCCGCTACGCTGCACTTTGACGAGGTCCGCGTCCAGGCCTTTTGTGATAGTGAAATTTTCAGAACACGTGAGTATTTGTATTTATTTTTTCAGGTTGTAATTTTGTTTGTTAGATTTGAGTGCTGAAAAAACCTCTGATGATCTTTAGACACGTAGTTAATAAAGTTCAAGAATTCCAGATTCAAGACAAATTGGCTGGACAGACCTATGACGGACCAAGTGTAATGAGCAAAGTTCTTATGACTATATTATCCTCTGGCTGCTTTTACACACTGCTATGTACATGTGTTGAATTTAGTCTTACAGCAAAGCCTTTCTAACATCTGGGAGTGTATAATATTTTTTTCCAAACTCTAAATGGATTAGCAGAATATTTTTCTTAAGTCTTCAAAAAGAGTTCACTCTCTACATGAATTTATTAGTAAAAAGCTGCCGTCTGTAGCGCCTACTAGATGGAATTTTACATCTCGTTTATTGGATTTTTCCAGCATGTTAATGAAAATTCTGAAAATTAGGACTGATGCCACTGTGAAAATAATAGTTTTTTTTTTAGCTTCCTGTTCCTTTATTTTTTTTTCAAAACAATTTGGCTGTACTATAAAGTGAAACCTATGATGTATTATTACTGTTGTAAGAAAGTAAACGATGTTACACAGCAGCTTAAATACGACAGGGAATAGAGATTTGACGACTTGTGGGCTTCTGCTGTACCCACCAGAAATGATACGGATGATCAAAGGTATAAAAGGCTGAAAAGTCCAGCAGAGGATGAGGAAAAAGACTCTTACGTAACTTCAGTTATATTACAAAATTGCTGATAGCATATGCTTGTAGATTGAGTGTAGATATTTTTCACTTTCTAGACCAGAAAATTTCCACCTTTACCATGAAAAATACGAGCAGTACAGAGTGACATTTCCAGATAACTTAATAAACAAATAAAAGATTTTTGTGGATCACTTTTTATTATATTTGTCTTAAAAACTTATTTACAGCACACTTTGTTGTAATACTCACCATGCACCACTGGGATAAATTAGGATAGGTTAGATTAGGTTTGGTTAGATTTGTATAATTTATTGAGATCAGCTGATGATTACCCCCAGCTTTTTTCACCTTAAGATTAATCACGCTACCGCAAACCTAACCTAACCTAACCAAGCCAAACCTAACGCTAACTAACCTTAACCTATGTTGTTTATATATACATGTTGAATTGTATACCAGCATTGTCTGAACCAATTGTAAGCTTGTATGATGATTTTGCTGAATATATATCTACTGTACTTACCTACCAACCTACCTCCGTCCATCCATCTCTCCCTCCCTCCCTCCCATCATTAATCAAAGTCTTACTCTCCGGGCAGCCAAGCATTGCATCCACCGGGTACACCGAGACGAGATGGTGCCCGTGACTGTGGGAGCTGTACTGGCAGGCTCCACGCTACTCACCGTTATAGGCTACGGCATCTTCAGGTACTTTAAGGTGAAGAAGGTCCAGTATGACACCATGCAGTGATGGCTTCTTCCTCGACACCAGCGCCTCCTGCACGACCCTGCATCAATAGGACCTCCTCATGTGTTGGACTTCTGGAAAACTGACTAATACCACAGTAATAGGTATTGCTATGGTACCAAAAATGTATGTCCTAGACGAAGCCTTATCGAATGAATTTATTGTGTTTCTGAAGTACTGAATATATTTAACTCGTAAAATTTTATGTGAACGAGGAAGATAATTTTGTAACACTGAAGGATGATGACACTTGTGAATCTGTGGCTGAAGGCATGACACAAACTAGGACAACACCTCACTTAATCTAAACTAACCTGTACTAAGCTAAATTAACCTGTACTAACCAAGCCTAACTTAAACTACCCATGTAACGTTAGGGTGGTAAATCTTCAGTGAAATAAGCTGGGGTTAATTTCCGATGATGCAAAATTTGTTTTGGAAAACATACAGTCTTAGTGAATACAATACCTTAGGATTGTATTAAATGATCAGTGGTTATAAAGACTTTACCTATATGAGAATTTCTTTAACAACAGCAAAAAAGTAAGTGGGGTTAAGTTGCCCTCTCCCTTACGAACTGCCCCCCCGAGTCCCTCACGAACTGTCTCCCTCACGAGCTCTCTCCCTCAAGTGTTCTCTTCCTCACGAGATCTCTCCCCCAAGAGCTCTCTCCCTCAGGAGCTCTCTTCCTGACAAGTTCTCTCCCTCGCGAATTCTGCCAAACATCTGACCAGTATGGTGTTATCTTCTCAGTATGTGCTCTGTCAGCCTGTCATACACCTGAACCACAAAGTAGAGCTCTGACTGGCGTCATCTGTCACACTACCAGCAGCCCTGAGTTGTCATACTTCAGTGCTGTGTTCTCTGGAACATAGTCCTCGTCACGCAACACGATGTTTAGTACAAAACCCCCTAATGTTTATGTATTCCATCATTTTCGAAACATAACTGTGGTATTGTTCTTAGCCTTGTAGGTTGACTTCTGGAGAACATATTTTGAACGTTCAAGATATGTTCTTCACAATTCCACCTGCGAGGTTAAGCCTCGGTGAACATGGTGAAATATACGTATATAGTTAGGTTTAAAATGTGATGGATTATATAACAGTGTTCTTGATGTGTATCATCCTTAAGGATCTATGTAAACACAAACATCAAGGGATTTTGTAAACATCATGTATAATTGAGTGAGAGTCGCCCCGTCAGACTCAACCTTAGTCATTCTCCTGAATGAAGTTAACTATTGTTTATCTGTAACATTAGGTAAAGTGGAGGAATAATTTAGCATCGCACATAACTTTATACTGCTTTAAGTATTTTAAACTGAAGTATTAGCTAAGTATTGTACATGTAACAGAGATACGATAGAAAGAGAAACTTAAAAGAATATACGCTCATGGAGACTGATTTCGTTTTATATATTTATGCGATATCTAACATATCTTGGTAAATATTTGGAATCAAGAAATTATCACCCAGAAAGGTTTTCAAACTTTAGAATGATACAAAATATAATTATATAAGCAACAGCACTTGATAAAATACTATTTCAGAAATTTTTGTCCTGAAGATTTGAACTGGAGATCGAAACGAAGATTTTTGGCCCCAAAATCTACATAGTTTACATTACTTATCAAAATAATGTATTGTAATAATGATCATTTTTTTTTTTTTTTACTTTGCTTCGTGTTGATGAACATTGTGAATGTGGAAACTTGAAAACAGTTATTCTCAGTAGCAGCCCAGCTATCGCTCGAGCCCTTGTTTGTGTATAAATAACGCTGGAATATTCATAAGCTAACCTAACCTAACCCAACCCAACCCAACCTAACCAAATTTAACCTATCTTTACCCCACCTTCCTTAACGTAACGTAACATTGCCTTCCATAACCTAACCTAAAGTAAATCAACCTAATCTATAACCTTTTCTAGTTGACCTACCCTACCCTACCCTACCCTTACTAACCTAGCGTGACCTAGCCTAATCTAATTTAACCTACAGTAACCCTACCCTGACCTGGCCTAGACGTTACTTCAGCGTGTATTGGGGAAGGGAAGGGGGCTGTGTGTATGTTGGGGTTGTTGAAGCAATAACACAGTCTTGGTGTTGTATTAAACTGTGTCATCTAGACTCGCTCGCTGCATATCCGCCAACATATCAGTTTATGCCATCACATTTCAAAAGCCAAGTACAAACAAATATTAAAAGGCGAAAGTATTTATTTTCCTTAATTGTAAAGTTTGAAAAATTCTCTGGCAGCGTTCAGAGGACATTTACTGAATGACCCAAGGATTAAAAAGGTTTATTATTCAAGAAGCAACAGTTTGATATTTTCTTGTTGTATATTTGATTTGATGAATATTTATCATACAGTATAGCAATAATGAATCAACAACGGGGATGTATCTGACAGTGTAGCTTAAGTTAAGGAAAAATACAGTATAGCAATAACGAGCCTCAATGGTAAACTGGCTCTCTCTTGTCATACACTGTAAATGGACAACGGGTATATACTGACAGCAATGGCGGCGTGATTGGCAGATTCACTCATGTCGCACGAGTGAAAATTATCATTATCTGTGATAGAAAAACAAAATTCTACCAAAAATTTAAATCTTTTTCTCGTGTGTCATGAGGAAATCTGTCAATCAGATGCCGCCGTTCCAGTCAGTGGACACCCGTTGTCCACGTACAGTGTATGACAAGAGGAGACCAGTTCACCTCATCAGATAACGGTGTGCTCAGATAAGTGGTCGTTTATTAGTAAAACATAATCTAGAAATATGCTGATATGATATTTAGCCATTGAAGTTTTCAGACTTTACAGAATGTTAAACAAAGTGCTTGAGATCAGAAATGGTTTCCATCTTGCGTAGCAGAGAACAATGTTAGATTCTGGAGATAAAAATGTTGAATTTGCGTCATGTTGATGGTGACTGTAAATCAAAAGATGAACGATAATACAATTTATAAGCTTCACACCAAATGGGGTGCCACGATGTATCAAAATACTTATCTAGGCATGTGTCAAACGTACCAAAGTATTGATTTAGGCATGTGTAAAAATAGCTAAGGAGCTGTGGTACCCCTGCATCAAGGTTTTCAGTTTCATGGTATTATTATTAAATACAAGCCTATTCACTGTATTAGTTTAACATGCTAAGCTGAGCTGCCACATTTGTCTTATCCGGCAAATTACACACGTACAGGCATTTCAGGTATTCTTGTCTCCTGAATCCATCATCCATTTGAGAATGAAGGTTATACCTGTATAGCAAAAGTTTCACTGTGAAATAATGAAATATTAATATAAGTAAAACAAGAAAATACCAAGGACTTTTTTTATTGACTGTAGAAAGAAAATTACGATGAACCGACTGACCAGATTGTGTGTTTTGTATTGTACCTTCATCACCAAATGGGATGAATGACTCTCATGATCTGAGTTATGATGGCGCTATTTGACTCAGTGTTGCCAACCTAGCGAAAAGTCGCAACCAATAAGCTGATTTGAGTAATTTTAGTAAACTTTGGGTTTATTTGTAGTATAATTTCAGGGAATTTCAGGATGATATTACTGAATTTCATCGATTTCTGGATTAATGTTTAACAAATTCTACCCATTTAATATTGACTAATTAAGTTTAATGAGTTTGGACTTTTATCTTTGTGACTTTTATCTCTCATATTTTTTTAAGAGTTGTTGGACTAGTGGAATTACCAACCTTTGTTATGCACTTAAAGACCTTAGTTGTTGAAGCACAGTACTGTAATAACATTATAACAACAATCTTATGCGACTTTTTGGGTTGTAAGAGTTGGCAACAGTGCGCCATTACGTAAACTTCTGTAAACTGATGAGCTGCTACCCTCAACCCGCAAAAGACACAACTTGTAAAACATCATACATAGGGACACAACTTATAAAATATCTTTCATGCAAGTTGTAAAATACCATACATATAAGTTATGATATACTGTAGGCGAAGTGAATATTTTTGTTCTACGTCACTTTTGTTGAAAGTTGTGTTGATTTCAGTGCCATGTCCATTGGCTCTGAGAGGAGTTAGCTGGATCTAAGAGGAGAGCTGGCTCTGAGAGGAGACAGCTGGTTCTGAGAGGAGGCAGCTGGTTCTTAGAGGAGGCAGTTGGATCTGAGAAGAGGCAGCTAGCTCTGAGAAGAGGCAGCTGTCTCTGAAAGGAGACAGCTGGCTCTGAGATGATTCATCTGGCCCTGAGAGGAGGCAGCTCATCAGGTTCACTGTGTATGTTATGAGACTTATTGTGAAAAGCATCGACTACCAGCGGGGTAAAATATATTAGAAAAATGCCGCTATGTAGGACATTTTTTACTAATCACTACGCTATTCCACTGTAAGGGTTGTAAATGCTGTGAATTCACGATATGTTTTTCTAATCATTAAGAAGTGTATCAGAAAAAAAAAAAGAATTGTGAGTGTGTTACAATGTTGTACTGTTGTAGGTAGGCCGTAGCCGCCACCCCCAGAGCTCCTCCTGGTCACCAACAACCACAACCCGACCACCTCCCTTTTTCTGTCCCTCCTACTTCTTGCTCATTATCATCCTGACCTTCTTACTGCTTCCTCATCATCACCCTGTCCCTCTCACGACTTAACCCCTATGACGACTCACCACTTCGAGTATGACGACTTAACTGTTTGAATGTGACGATTTGACCCTTGAGTACTTCAACTTAATCTCTTGAGTACGACGATTTAACTCATTGAGTACAACTACTTAGCCCTTTTATTACAACACGTTAAATAGCGGAATACAAAGACTTAGCCCTTTGAGTGGCCTACTACGAATCAATTCCTTGAATAGGACGACCTAAATTATTGGCCTCGCAGCGTTAAAATATCTTTCTGAGGGGTTCATTTTACTCAAGGGGTTAAAGTCATTTATACCAGCTCAGCGTTTGTCTGTCATATTCCTGATCATACTTTATCTGTCACACACCTTCAACTATCAACACAAGAGGTGGTGCGTCTCTCACCTCCTGCTCGTAAGTTTGTTGTGTCCAGTTGGAGCTGTACCGAGTCTTCCATGAGGTGCCGTGTGACCTTGTGATATGCCCACTTGTGCCCCCTTGTGTTCACTCAGGTCCAGTGTGCAGGAAGGGTGGAGGATGTGCGGGTCGGGTACCACCACCTAGCTTAGGGATCATTAGTAGAGATCCTCGTGTTCCTTTCCATTTATGTCTTCCATGAATGTCAATTGTGATAGTCAACAGATTTCCATTATGCTTCTCTTTATAGTTTAGGCATAGTGATATACGGAATAATTTAGAATTCATTCGCTTTTTCAGTGGGCCAATAAATTACATTCAGATGTTGGAACATCCTATATGGAGGACATTAGCAGCGAGGCTAGTTGAGCAAGAGTCCCAGAGTGGTGGTGGTGTAACCCGGCCCTGCGTCGACAGTGGCTGTTGTTATTGTCTAATAATGGTAGATATCCATTTTTTACACTTTCAAGCACACTGCAACATTTTGTTTGAGCACTACACACTCAAGTGAGTTTGCATGTTTGCTGGTACCAATATTCTGTCAAGTGCCATTATTGTTTTCTTTTTCAGATAATCTGCATGAACCGTATAACATTAACTTAATCTGTGACGCGCATATCATTTATGTAACCACAGAGAGAACGTATAGAAGATTTTATATATAAGGGGTCATTTCTGGGGTTCAAAGATAGCAAGCAGCTCTCTTTAAAGCCTTTGTGGATATATTAGACATTTACAGTGTGTCTGTGTGACAACATATCACAAGTGTTATGTAGAAGGAGAACCTTTAAGGTAACCCTTAGATGATAAGAAAAAATAATTTATACTGGGAAGATGTACAGTATGTGTCCTAATTCCACGTGATTTGTGTATGTTAAGAAACTTAAGAGTCGCCACAAAGGTCCACAATTGATGTGAAATTAGTGATTCTTTGCTCCAGATACACTTTTAACGTCTCCTGTACATTATGTTATCTTTGAACTTTTGATATGACCTTTATGATCCTCTGCCTGTAGTTGGGGTGGAGCTCCGTGCAGCCTCAGACACATGGAGTCCTGTGGCAGCTGCAGGAGTCAGTTTACTGCTCCAGCTTTGCAGGTGGTTATAATTCCACCAAAACTTAGAATCTTTAAAACTAAAAGATATAATTTAAGTGATCAATGCAGACTGTTGTAGTGCACACTCTACGACTAATGAAAAATCAGATTAAATTGAGTTTACGTAATATAACCCATGAATGTAAATGTTATTTCAAAATACGGTTGATGAACATCCCAAAACTGTTGTTTATTGTGTTCCTGACATGTAATTTGGGTGTTGAGGATGAGGAGGAACCACAAAAAAGTGTGTAACGCAATGCTCGACATCTTCCTCTGTAACCTGCACTCTTATATTTCTGGGTTGTAATTAATTTGATGTTTTCTCCGCAATAAATAGTGGTAATATAAAATCTGGTCTTTAATTGTTCCCTTAACTTTTACAGAAGCGTAAGACTCTTGTAAACTGAACATCAGACAGAGTACCATTTCTGGTGTAGGCCTACTGTACTTCTGTTTATGTGTGCAGTACAGGAGACTGAGATACTACTACTACTACAACTACTGCTATTATTATTATTATTATTATTATTATTATTATTATTATTATTACCGAGACTGCGGGGCTGGGTATGGTTTTTGGTCCTGTGTGTGTGTGCCTGTCTGTCAGTGTGTCCCCAAAATAATTAACCTTGGTAGATTTGATCACCAAGTGAGAAGGTTTACACGATATACTTTTGGTACAGATCGTCCCAAATTTGACCAGTTGTTATCATGGTAACAGTTTAAATCAGAGGCGTTCCCTGGCAACTTCAGCATTTTTATATTCTTGTTGCAAATATTGGGACAGTTTTATTGAAGTGTGACTGGGAGCAAGGTCATGTTGATAATCATAAACCTTACATTTTTTTACAGCTCCTTCAGGGGGCCCGAAAGGAACGCAGAACCAATAACATTAATTTTCAGAATAGACATCTTCATTAATCTTAATTCAATAATGATATATGAATAATAATGCCCATGCTTAAAACAAAACTTTAATTACAAAAAAATAATATAATACGAAATGTACAACTGTAAAATAAAAATTAACCTTATGTTATGGGTACCGTGGCTGGGTACTCTCGTCCAAGGTATAAAGATACCTTGCTATTGTCAATGGACTTACAGACGTGACCGACCGCCCAAGTGGGTAATGATCCGATCAATGGCGATAATAAAGTACTGTACTGTACTGTAATTTACTGTACAACAAGGGCTCATGCCCACTAGTCATTAAAAAACAATATAACTATCTACCTGAGCTATAAACATACATATGAAAAATTTAAATAGATTATACAATGCACAACATGGAATATGGTAACTCAAAATAAGCTTTTGTCCAATAAGCAAGTGCAGCACTGCAGTATGCACCGTCTCTGACTGTGCAGGCAGTGGTCTGCAATTCCATATGTTTACACAGTAACACAGCAGTCACACCTCACCACTGTTACCTAGTTCAAGTTAAGGCCAGGCCAAGGTGCAAATATTACAAGGGAAATTACAACGGGATGAGGGAAGAGATGAGGGGTATATCCACTGGCCTGACTCATTAAGGTACAAGAACGCAGCTACTACACTGAATATCATAACTAGTAAAGTGACCCATTTGATCGATAAATATATACCCAAGACCAAACCCAGTGCCTCTAGGAATACGAGGGGATCCCTACACATGAACCATGCGGCGGTCGACAAAGTTAAGAAGAAAAACCAGAAATTCAAGACGTGGGTTGGGTCAAACGATGAGCAGGACAGGAGGATGTATGCAAGAGCCAGAAACCAAGCAAAAATAGAATGTAGAAGGGCTGAAAAGGAGTTCCAGAGCCTGGTTGCAAGCGAGGTCAAGTCAAACCCAAAGACGTTTTACAGCTATGCAAAGTCGAAATTAAAAACGCGAGTAGGAGTATCAGACCTGAGGGTTGAAGATGGTAGTTACGCAGATTCTGACCAGGATAAAGCTGAGGCATTGAACAGCTGCTTTTCCTCGGTGTTCACAAGAGAGGGTGCAATTAACCTTCCTGCGTTTGAAGACAGACGGTTCGACACAGCACTGACCCACATTGTGTTCACAGAAGAGGGTATTAGAAATAAACTGTCAAAGCTAAAGGTCCATAAGAGTCCCGGCCCTGACATGGTGCATCCTAGAGTGCTAAGAGAGTTGTGCAACGAGCTTGTCGAGCCCCTGAAGATCCTGTTTTGTAAATGCCTAGATGAACAAAAGGTCCCCAGTGAATGGAAAGTGGTTTATGTGAGTCCTATCTTCAAGAAGGGCGATCGTCACTCCACGAACAACTATAGACTGGTGAGCCTGACCAGCATATTATGTAAAGTACTTAAGAGTATTATCAGAGATGCCGCGATGGAACATCTACTACGAAACAACCTTGTAAAGGATTGCCAACACGGTTTTATGGCGGGGCGCTGCTGCTTAACACAATTGCTCAAGGTATGGATATTTGGACCCATATTCTGGAACGGGGTGGTAATATCGACAATATTTACTTGGATTTTGCCAAGGCTTTCGACAGTGTACCCCGCGAAAGGCTGAAAATCAAACTGGAAGGGTACGGAATTCGGGGAAATGTCCTAGCGTGGATAGAAGACTTTCTACATGACCGCAAGCAGTATGTGGCGATTAATGGCACGAAATCATCATCCGTACCTGTCACAAGCGGGGTACCACTGATCGGCTTGTTAGCCTCTTGGGCGTTCGTTTACGTCTCTGTTACGCACTGTTGGCAAGTACTAGGCATGCACTGGCTCCTGAATGTATCTGAACCTGCTCCAGTGTTGGTCAAGTCTGGTCTTGAAAGAGCTCACACTCGGTGCCGTCACCACACTCTCTGGCATATTGCTCCAGGAGGTCACACCTCTCACAGTTATCCGGACTTGCGGCTTCTTTAACCTTGAGCTGTGTCCCCTTGTGGGTCAAGCGTCCGCCAGCTCCAGGTAAGGACACTCGACTGAGTAGTGTCCTCGGAGATGCATGTACACCTCAATCAGACCTCCTCTTGCCCGTCTATAGTACAAGCTAGGCAAGTGCTCAAGGGTAGTTCGAACCGAGTCATAGTGCAGGTGCAGGGTGTCACTTGACCCCCTTCCTCTGACCCAGTTGGTCACCTGCTACCTGTGAGTATTCAGTATTATTTATTATCGTTTTTTGTTTATGACTCCAATGGTGATATTTGTGTTTTAAGGATGCCTTGTGTAATCTGTTTGTTAATTACTATGTATGTACAACTTAGTGTGTGTGAATTGTGCAAATATTATAGCATGTTGACAGTTACTAATAAAATAATTAGACAATATTCTAAATGTACTGTATTATTACAGCTTTTTATTCATGGTAACGTTTGTGTGAATTGCTGCACTCCTTGCCTTGTATGTCAGATCGCCAGCTAGGACACTGTCAGCCCTAGCCTCTGTGCTGTTCCTCCCGGGTCCATTATCAAGTACATGTGCCGGTTAGGAGGATAATTGCTCTTCCGTGAAGTTGTTGAGAAGAAGACACCAATATACCACCTGTGCCGTGTTGATATGCCAAAGGAAGGGTCCACTCCTGGTGCCAAATACTATAGAGTCTAGGTACGCTCCTGCATCAGCCATTACAGGCATAAATTAATTGTTTTACCCCATAACACTAGGTCATCATAGAAAAAAAGGATTAACAATTTGTTATATATACATATACATATGTATATCTTTCTACTTTGTTTTGATGTTATTGTAACTGTTTCATTTCATTTTGTTGATGCTGGATGATTGAATTCTTGTAGAATAAAGCCTAAGTTGAATTTTGTTTCTCTTATGAGCCTATGGGGTTTCGAGATGTTGTCTCACACTCAGGATGGGTTGGAGAAAGGAAACTCACAATGCGCTCTCTCAGGGCAGCTTGGTGCTGGTAAGGTGCAGCGTCGTTACAAGCGTGAAGTAGAGAGCTGGTTGGTGAGGAGCGTGCTCAGAGATGTTGCGTGCTGCGTGGCTGTAGGTAGAAGAAGGGCCGACCTTAGACCACGAGGCGTTGGCTGGGGAATTCGAAAAGGGGTCGGCTAGTCAGCAACAAACGGCAGTTGTAGTTGTAGGGGAAATATCCACTACAGGCCTACTACAGTAAACAATTGCCTACTACACAAATAAGGATCTTACGACTAAAATCAGCCTCCTTAGAGACGCAGGACAGCTGTGGTGTATAATGCAATCTTATATAAAAGAGTACAAATATGAAACTGTTTAAAATAAAATTAAATACTAATGTTCTTTGATTACATACAAAAAACAGTGGTAATGCGCGCATCTCTCACCGATATTAAGGGCTAAACCTATGGTATATACTGTAGTCTTTGATTAAGGGTTTGACCCCAACTCGTCACACGTGACATATTATCCAGTGTGACCCTTCCAAACAGCCCGAATGGACAGTAAGCTAAGTGGTTAAATGGATATTTATTAAAATATTTTTAATTTTTCGCATCGTGCTGTATAATTATGTTCTCACATCTTCATGCATATCTAATTAAAGTAGCCAATATGAGATAAGGACGGCTCAGGGCGCAAATACCAAGTGGTATCTGATCCTTCCAAATGATCATGAAATGCATGGTTAATGCAATTTGTGTTTTTTTTTTTTTACTTACTTTCATCCTCTTTACCACTCGTTAGCCGCTTGGGCTTAGATGTAAATATTGTATCTGCTATTTTCAAACAGTATATTTAATATTTTCACGAAGACTAAGGGGAAGAATTTAGAACGTACTCTTTGCTAAATTTCTATAAACAATGTCAAAAGTAGAACTTATATAAGTACTGCACGGCTTCATGAAATTCAGGTTTCATCACATAAAAATTCATGGGTCCGTCCTCTTCACCAGGGGTCGAGTATCCGTCAAAGCGACCCAAACATTGTCGTCGCTTACACTAGGGATGAAGCGTGAAGGTTCCCTGTACTCAGTAGTCAGTACACTCTTATTAAAGTTAGTACTACTGTGACTGTCTGTAATCCACCAGTAGTCATGGCACACCAAGTAGTGGGAGAGATGCAGGAAGTAGTAAGTATAAGCTTGGCGGTAAATATTTCGAAGTTGTCATCACTGATTCCTGTTCACGGATGTTACTTTGGAAAATAGGTTTTTATATTGTGTTTCATAAGGGTCCGACTAATTACCCAAATGTACCCGCAATGAAGTCAAATAATGGTCCTACATGAATAAATCGGGTTACCAATCACTTCTCGACTGGTTTTTTAGTCACGAAGTCACAAAAAATTGGTAAACTTAATTTAATCTGAGTTAATAGAAAGAGTGCATGTACCTAACCTAACCTAACACAACACAACTCGGATTAAATTAAGTTTACCAATTTTTTGTGACTATGACATCAAATAATAATCGAGAAGTGATTCACAGCCCGATTTACGCTCGTACGACCATCATTTGACTTCATTGCGGCTACATTTGGGTAATTAGTCGGACCGGTTTCATAATGTTTTATACAAAGTGGCGGTAAAAACTGAAGTTTCGTTCAATACGCCCAAAGCAATATGTTTTTCCTATGGTTTAGACAATTTTAAGACACTTCTATGACGTTTTTGTCACAAATGACCAAAAATTACCTAACCTAATGGATCCCCTGGTATATTTAAGTAATTTGGGAAGGAAACCATAGAAGAAAAGTACCATAAAATTATCCAAACCATCAGCAAAAGACATTACTCAATTCGAGATCCATATTGTCCGAAACTGCAGTTACACCAAAGTGACGTTTATTTACGTCGGAAATGAGTAGTTATCGGGATATGACCTCCATCCAATTACCAATAATATTGGTTACACAAGGTGGGCAGGGCTCTGAAGTAGAAAAGCAAAGGGTAAATATTCGTTCCATTGGCTGTTCTCAGGTTTGATACAAAATTAGGTTTTTTGTGTATTATGGTGTGTTTTATTCAAATCTGACCTTCATTTCTGGTGCTAATTAGTGATTTAAAAAAACAAAAACATTTTCATTTTTGTAACTGAAATCGCTAATTTGCACCAAAATGGCAGTCAGATTTGAGTAAAACATACCATAAAACACCAAAAACCTAACCAAACCTAACCATTTTTTGGAGCTTACCTGCTGCTGTGGTGGAGGATACAGCTGGACGATCTGGTATGCTTATGGTTACAGACAAAAGAATTTGTATTTTCTTAAAAGTAAACAATTTCCACGTGTAGGACACAGTCTTAGTGTTGTAGGACACTGTGATTTTTTAATATTTGGATTGCGTCACTATTGTTTTAATAAACTCGCTGAATAACAGCAAGATAAGGGAGAGAGCACTCTTCGTATGTCATCATGAGCATTCAAATGATTGGCCAGCCAAGTCACATGACACGATACTTGAAGATCATTGGTTGTCATATCACAAAAAGGAGGAGTGGATGAGAAAAGTGACTCTGGCAACATGGAGGGTGCAGAATTCTACGCCTAGAAATTTGTGAGATACACTCCGTTAATATTGATTTGCACCAGAAATGATATGAAGTCGTATGTTTGGTTTTTTATAATCTTTGTGTCTTTAATATTGAAAATTGGAAACCTGCAGACAGCCAGTGAACGAATATTAACCAAGTGAAGAAAAAACCTAATAAAACCTCCTAGCCAGAGAAACCAGAAGGGACCGTTCGGGCGGTTGGTCTATCCAGTGTTAGTACAGGAGGATTCTGGGAACCTGTGATGTTTGGTAGGGTCACACTGGAAAGCGCCTTTCTCTTGTATGTCTGGGCCAAGCAGGATTCAAACCCTTGACATATTGGTGAGGGAAATGCAAGTTACTGCTGTACCACCAACACCTCTTACTGTTGTACCACCAGCACCCCCCCCTACTGCTGTACCACCAGCACCCCTTACTGCTGTACCACCAGCACCCCTTACTGCTGTACCACCAGCCCCCCCCTACTGCTGTACCACCAGCACCCCGTACTGCTGTACCACCAACACCCCTTACTGCTGTACCACCAACACCCCTTACTGCTGTACCACCAACACCCCTTACTCTTAGGAAAATTGGCACAAACTAGAGTAACCTAACCTTGCCTACCTAACATATCTTACTAACTAGCGCATTGGGGGTGTGAGTGGCTGGCATGATGGGAAGTGAAACGAACATCGGCTATTGGTCATTTCCTACTTGCCATATGGTGGCTGGTCAACGACTGGGGGAATTTTTTTTCATCACATTTTAATTTTGTCATTTTCTCCAAAACAATGACTTTTCATAAATGTTGAAGGTTAGTTTTATCACAAGTGAAAACAGCAGAAAAAGCTTATTTATATCAGAAATGAGTAGGCAGTAATAATGAATAATAATTGTTACTTAATATGGCTAAACAACTATATATGGTGGGAGGTCCAGGGAAGTTAAATAAGGTTAGATAGGTTTGCTTATGTTAGGTCAGATTTTGTGCATTTTCATATAAATTTTCTTATTTAGAACCATGCAAATAACATCTCTAGAAATTTTGGTGCAATTCCATAAGTTCCTTTATGTTATACTGTAACTGTTTCCTCCACTTTACCCGGGTGTCACATATGCTGATAACAACACTGTAATATCAAGGCTTCCCATTTTTACAAGTAAAGTATACCTGTATCATTTACTGACACTGTGCTAATGAGTTAATGTACTAAAACCTGAAACATGATAATTTTATATTAATACTGTACATTTGAGTGATGTTCACACTCAGGCACTTGGGAAGGGGGGAAGTCAGTTGTCAGTAAGCTTCATGTAAATGTTTGAATTAATAACATTTCTGATGCTGTTTTTTGTCAGTAAATTTATATTTTGTGTATCTCTTTGTGTATGATTGCCATATGCTCTGTACTGTACTGTAATCAGGGATGTTGATGGTACAGCAGTGATGTACATATCTCTCACCAATATGTCAAGGGTTCAAGTCCTGCTTGGCACAGACACACATGAGAAGGGTGTTATCCAGTGTGACAAAACCAAACCTCACAGGTTTCCTGGACTCCGGTTTCCTCCTTTACAGTATTGTACTAACACTGGAGAGACCAATCACTCAAACAGCTAATAAGTGGTGAAAATTATTTAAAAGAAAATTATATATTTTAGACACCAAATAGTAAATACAGTACAATGGTAATATCACCATAATGAAGTGAATTCCTTGATTTCTGTTTTAAGTATAGTACTGTATTTGCATATAGCCACAGTAGCTATATTTAAAACATTAAACATTTTCATGATACAGTACTGTATAGAATATTTATTTTTACCTATACAGTATTTGTGCTTGGAAGTTTGGCGAGGGTTTTAAACTAAACCAGGCATTGATAGTATTTTGGATGACACAATATACATCATCCGTGCTCCAGAGCATTAATAGAGCCCCTTTTTTATTTACAGGATACATCTTATGTCTGTGGAGAATGCTTTCAACTCTTTCCTTCCATGGATTACTTTCAATATCATCAGTGCACCTCTGTAAAGGACAGTACATCTAGTGGATACCAGAATGTCACCTACATTGATGAGACTTTAACTTCTCTAGATGTGAAAGGTAGGAAGTGGCTATTGCGCCAGGTCACCTGGTAAAATAGCCTACAGTTGTATACAGCAGAGTTGTTTATTGTTTCTATTGTCGATATAGCTTACCTAACCTAACAAGCCAGGTCAGACAGTAAAATAGCTCAAGGGCTATTGAGTTGTGTCACCTGGTTCACACACACACACACAGGTGAGTGTCCTTACTGTAACTGTCCTCAAGTCAGGTCAATTCCTGACCTGACCCGACTCTATGTTAGGTTTGATTAAGTTAGGGTAGGTTAGTTTAAGTGTATTGTACAGTATATAAAAATAATAAGCAGCTCTGTTGTATACAACTGTAAGCTATTTTACCAGATGACCTGGCTCAATAGCCTTTGAGCTATTTTACTGTCTGACCCTGCTCAATAGCCGCTTCCGATGTATTAATATGCTGCATTATCTCTCAAAATCTTGTGAGATACTGTACATTATATTGTAAAGATGGAACACCAGGACCATAGACAAGGTACAGCTGCAAACTTTGTGTGAAAATCTAAACATGTCCTGTGTGGAATTGAAATATATATATACTACTGTATTCTTTATTGGGTTTTCAAGATTATTGAAAAATTATTAGAAAGGATCAGGTAAAAAATATACCATACTGTACAGATTTTACAAATCTGACATCCAAACTAATGTTCAGAATACTTTACTTCAGCGATATACTGTACATTTTTATTGTGTATTGAGGACTTGATTGGATCTTCCCTTTGGTCTTCGATTTTTAAATTTTATATATACAGTACGGTACAGTACTAACTCCCTTGAAGCAGCTTGATTATATTGTTATTAATTATAATACATCATGCAGGATATTTTTACAGGTTATGGAAGCACAGAGACCGAAGCTACCATGGAGGAGGCTGTGGCCAGCATTCTTGGAGAAAAAATGAAGCAACCAGAACCTCAGAGTAATACTTGTTCATTGACAACTTTTAGTGAAACTGCTGTCCAAGTTAACCTTGATCAGCAAAGAGACCCTTCAGTTAAACACATGCCTGTTGAAGACACTGTTATAGCTGTTCCAGGACTTTATCAGGCTGTAGAACCTCAAAGAGATGTTGCACCATATGAAGGAAATCAGATGCAGTCAGGTACTAGTCAGTACATACAACAGTCCATTGAACACTTGAGTATTGTGGATCAACCAGCAGAATCCATCATGGAGCACGTTGTGGAAAATGTGGAACCTAGTTTGAGCAATGTAGGGCATGCTATAGAAAATGTTGAATCTACTTTTGAAAATGTTGGGCATGTTGTCCAAAATACAGAACCTAATTTGAGAAATGTGGATTTATGTGTTTTGAAGGGGAATCAAAACATTGGTAATGTAGAGCAAATGCACATAGGGTCTGGAATTGTAGTAGAAAGTGTTGAAATTCCCTCATCTAACGTTTACATCTATGACAATCCAGTATATCTCAACCGCCTGATGAAGGACAACACGTGCGGTAGACGAGCGAGGCACGATGCTCCCTATACACATAGATTAGGTAAGCTGTTATTTATTAGTGTCTTGTGGTGTGATAATGGAGAAACTAGAATTTCTAAAGTCAAGAGCCAATATTTTGGTTCAGGTATTTTAAGAATTTAGTTTGGTTGCAATGAACATACTGTACCTCATGATAGTGAAAAGCCAAATTCCCCATATGGATTAGCTATCATTCATCTTATTATTACTGAGAGTTTTGGTATATAAACTGGTTCCTTATTCTTGATATACTTGTACTGTATTGTACTGTACATCAGCAACAGGCCTGATGGGCTGATTAAATTATACGTTGTGGGAGAAACAAAATGTACAGTACAGTATCTATAAATGAGCACATAGTTTTATTTCTTTTAATATTTATTGAAAGAAAAAATAAATGTATGTAGTATAATATTTCTCTTGTGTGTCTTTAGTTAGTGAATCAGCCAATCACACATTGTATCAGTACAGCAGGGACCTAGTGTATTGCTGTCTCCAGAATCTCTTAAGGAGAAAGTATATATTGTATGCTCAGTGACAGGCTGTTCTTTCTAATTTTTTATCATAACAACTTAGAACTTGTTTTACTTTATCATTTAATCTTTCACAGCTGTTCTTGGTTTTGAATTATAATGTAAAGTTCTTTGAGCCAGGTCATAAATCTTCTGTTCTTATATAAGCAGAGTGTTGTCAAAATGTATCATTTCAGGACCCTGGGATGACAAGTCTAGCCAACTACTAATTCAACTTCTCAAAGAATACCCCGAGGCATATTTTATTCTGGGCAAAGATTGTAAAAGAACAGAAGCCTGGGAATTAATACGGTACAAGCTTGGTGAATCTGGCTTCCAGTTTACTGTATTACAGGTAAAATATATGGAATCAACTTTATGTTTTTCATGTGGGATTTGATCAAGTACAGTACTTACTAACACTGATAGAATTGTTTAATTCCTATTTTGAGGGCTATCTCTATGTGTAATTTGTTATCATCATCATCGTCACTTTTTTATGGCCATTTCCTGCAGAATGTAAAGAGTCAGCATGGACAGTCAACCAAAGGTGCACTGACCCCACCCTGGTTCTCGTGCTCGCAATTTTACATGGCAATACTTTGTAAAATAAAGCTGTATGTAAAGGTGATTGTGATTAGTGGATCTATTTTCGGCTGTATCACTGTCAGGATAAATATTAAGCAAACCAAAAGTAACATTTTATAATAATAAGCTTTTCATCATTATTTAAGGTTACGAGAAGTTTCCAAATTTTTGTATACAGTGATCCCTCGGTTAACGAGCTCCTCTGTTAACGAATTACCTTCATTAAGATTCTTAACTTCGGTTAACGAGCATTCCCTCGCTTAACGAATTCCTTACGAGCGCCCCTCCACATGTTTACGCTTGCACACTAGCTGTCATATTAGTCCGCCAATACAGTAATCGGTTCTAGGGTTTAAATTCCTTACCATTTTAGTAAATGTCAAGAAGTTTGTACTATTCAATAATTTTAAAAGTCTTATATTAAATTTTTTAGTAATTTTAACAATTATTTAACATAATTTAAGTACAGTACAGGGAAACTAGTTTTTAGCGCGCTAAACAGCCTGTCAACACACCATACAGGCATCAGTCTCTGTGTCTTTTCATTGGAGGTAACATCTTGCTTCAGACTCTCTTCAACATAAATGCTTTTTTCTGTGTTTCCAGTCAAATTATTGGCCATTTTGAAATTTATTTTACATATTGACAATATATAATGCAGTGCAGTGTTGACTTAAAGAAAATAATCTTGAATTACACCAAGTGAACTAAAATTTTATGGGTGAAATGGCACCATGGGGTGACTTCTCTTCCACTCCAATGCCCTCCCTTCTCCTCCACCCCCATTCTAATTCCCATCATCATCATCATCATCATCCAGGAGCCTTCTACATACACACTTCAAAGTAAGTGTACTTTACTAACTTTTTTGTTGACATTAGGCAATTTTCTGTGAACTGGAACCAATTACCCAAAAACCCATTGAAACAATGGTTTCGGTTAAGGAATTTTTCGGTTAACGAACAACCTTCTAGAACGAATTGTGCTCGTTAACCGAGGGACCACTGTACTACTGTATTTGCATAAATAATGAAGAAAATTATATTAATGAATTGGCAACTCAACTACAATCACAGCTGCCACAAGATTCTCACATAAAACTCTCTTCATTATTTAAGTAAATATACGAATACTGGTTTTCAATAATTCTTGATATCTCAGTAACCACTTGACCTAGTAATTCCACTTAACATGCACTATTATTTACCATTACTGTACCACCACTTATCAGCTTATTAGCCATTCAGGCATTTGGTCTGAGCTTCATTCTGACCATCATTATCCAACATTAGTACAGGAGGAACCAGAGAACCCAGAGAAAACCTGCCAAGTAGGATCCCACTAGATAACACCCTTCTGACATCTGACCTGGTCCAGGGATTGAACCCAGGAAACAGTTGTGAGAGGCACTTACATTAACGCTGTACATTCATATGCCAGCTTGGCCAAGCAACAACCAAGAGGTAAAGTACAGTACTGTTATTCAGTCGGTTGATATTTTCCCCACATTTATACACTGTTGTTTGGTTCCTCCACTGCTCTTTACTCACTAATGCTATTTCAACAAGTATATTGTACTACTTGTGGTATGATTACCCTCAGTCTTTTAATTTTTTATTGGCAGCAGTGGATTGTATTGTAAATGTTTCAAATGATGTACAGAATTGCAGTGCAGTATTGTATTAGTTTGTTGATGGACAGGCACTTTTGTGTTTTTTAACAGATTCGTATGCGCTGGAGAGAAATTTGTAAGAGATATCGTAATGTTGTCAACCATAACGATCTGCATGATGAGAAACGAACCTGTCAGTATTTTGATGATCTTAACAACTTGTTTGGTAAGTATGTAAAGAATAAGATTACATTGGTGTACAAGGGGTCCCCGACTTATGAACGTCAGACTTACGAACGTCAGCCGATACGAATGGGGTTAAACTTGAAATTTACAATACTGTATTTTATTTACATGATGACTTATTTTTTACTTTCATTGACTGTAGTTTGTCATTCTATTTCTTCTTTTGTCTTGAATCAAGTGATTTTAGATGTATGTAAGGACTTATGCTATGATATGGTGGGATTTTAAACTTTGTTCTGTAAGTACGGTATGCACATAGCATGTATTCCGACTTACGTACAAATCCGACTTAAGAACATCCTCAGAATCTGAACCCTTTTCATAACCCAGGGACCCCCTATATAAAGAGTAAGGTCACATAAGTTTCTTTTTAAGTTATAGTGAGAAATTGGTGATAGCTTGTTGAATCATGCTACATTTATATCGGTAGATTTAGACAGTACAGTACACTTTTTATCATTGTAATGTATGATGTTTTGTGCGCATATTGTAAAAATGGATGTTGGAATTTTCTTACATCAGTTTTTTATACGTATGCACACACAGTAAAAAAAAAAGTATCACGCAGGGGGAGGGTCTGCTGACTTCCGTAATGATCCATACATCACCTGATGTGCCGCGAGGGTATATACATGTATACATGATCAAAAAAGTATTCTAAATGATCAGTACAGCTCGTGATGTCCTGGGAAGGTGCATACGGGTATAATGACAATATATACTATGGATAAAACAAAATTATTGCTTGCAAGTGATATATGGCATCCTCAAGCAAGCAGGGCTACCAGCTTGGCGTGGAACCAGTGGGCATTTTTCAATATCTGTTTTCTGTGGTGTCAGATTGTTTTGCATGAAATGTGCACAGATACTATTTTGATTGTGTGTACATGTAAGCTTTTTTATTATTCAGTACAGTAGAACGTTGATTTAAAGCATTTCAATTTAAGATTATTGATTTAAAGCGACACTCACAATTAAGGACAATGTTTTAATTTAAAGCGAATCTTTCCTATTTTGCGCGAGTCAATATGGCACATCATATTTTAAAATTTGCGCCTAATGTTTCTCTGGGCACGCTACACTGTCCTAAGGGCAAAGCTGTACCGTACATGTACTCAAAATAATGTACTAAATGATTACTAAAATTTTTGTCAAGTGCATGATTATATTCAAATTAATCACTATCTTATTAGAATTCCAGCAATGTAAATTATATTCTCCCCGGTCACTTCTGTGACATTTTATAAACAAAAAACAAAACTCAATCTAAAGGACATAAATAAACAAATAAATACTTCACTAGACCTTCGGCCCTAACTGTCAAACGTGTCACTATCACCCATCCCGCCCCCCCCATCTTCCCAGCCAGGGTTGGGTGGTTATAGGCTTATAGTTTTTATCTTATATAATATCACAGTCTAAAGTTAGGAGAATATAATTTGCATTGCTATAATCCTTGCAAGACAGCGAATAATTTGAATATAAATGTCATATATTTTGCACGAGATAAAATTTTTAGCCCTTTGTAATAAAATTAGTTAGAACTAAAATTTGTATGTCTAATGCGAACTATAGCATGTCCATATTCAAACTAATCACTATCTTATAAGAATTCCTGCAATGTTAACTATATTCTCCCAGGTCAGTTTAGTGACATTTTATAAGAGAAAACCTTAAAGTCACTCTTAAGGACAGATAAATAAATAAGTACCAGATCTTGGCATCAACTGTCAAACATATCACCTCACCTCCCCATCTTCCCATCTGCTGATCGCTAGTAAACAGACCATTTCACATCCCATAATTTTAGCTGTGTTGATTTATGAGTGTTTGTTTTAATATAATACTACAAAAAACAATGTTTTCTTTATTCTAGGAGATGGGCTGAGGTGCATCTGGGTTGGCTTTCAGTCTTTTTAGTATTTTGTGCTTCTCTCAAGTACCAAACTGAATTATTCCATTGAAAAACACTTTGATTTAGTGTGAATTCGGTTTATAGCGACCTCTCTTGGAACGTATCTCGTGTTATATCGACGTTCTACTGTATGAAGACTTGTTTATAAAACTGAGAAGATAAGAATTACGATATTTCCAAAGAGTGACCATTGTAAAATTTATTTTTGGAGAGAGGAACACAGTGGAGTCTCGATTAATCATGAAATACAAATTTGCATTCTTAAATTTGCTGGTACCTCTAATACTACCTCATTTTTAAATTTTGTGGCAGAGTACTGACTGCTGCAGTATCATTTCATTTCTCTAATTTGCCTTGGAAATAAAGAAAATATAATATAAATATCACTTCAGTGCTCCAATGTGACTTAGAAATAAAGAAAATATAATATGAAACTATAAAATAAGAAAAATGAAAAGTAGTAAGTGAATTGTTAGTGGGAGGCAGAATGGTTGGTTGGTGAGCTGAGGGTCCCCTCCCCACCTTTTCCCAAGTTGAGTGCATATCTCAGACCTCATTAATATAACATTATGCAATTTCACCATGATTCCCATATTACTGTACAGTATTAGTTAATTTGGGATCTGGTTAATCAAATATTATTGTAAAGTAATAAATTTTCACGAACAGAAAATCCAAAACTCAACCCCAGATGAGTTATTCTGTGGTATAGAATACCTAGTTCTTTGTTGACATAATGTGGTCACAGCTAGCCCAGCAAATGTCTGTCTCTATGTTGGTGTATTGGCATAATCCTTATGCACAAATGAGAAGAAAAGGAGCTGTACTTTTTATACAATATCTATGTTTTACTTTATTTTTATGTACAGTTTTATGTGGTGTTTAGTGTTTGTTAAAGCAGTTTTGGAATAGTTTATGGGTACAGTATTTCTTGGCCTCTTGAACCAAACTAATTATTTCCATTTAAATCAATTAAACTATAATTTCCAGTTTGATAATTCACGATGTCTGTTGGTACCTGGCCCGCGAATTATCTAGACTCCTCTGTATTAACTTTGGGGATGGTTATGCAAGTATATTTTTGGCACTCAGTGAAGAGGTGATAATAAAAGGGAGTTCTGTTGTGAAGCATTCATTGATATTTTTTTTTTTTTTAGGAATTTGGGATTCTCAGGCTACACAATTCCTGATTCAAAAAGTTGGAATATATTCTGCCAAACGACTCGGTCAGAATGGAGGTACCCGTATGAGGCACAAGGCTTGGCAACAGATGCAGGGAGCTCTAGCAAAAGAGGGATACGAGTGAGTATTCATCTAGTACTGTACCACTTTGATGGGGGAAGGAAGCTGGTGGCTCATTTAATCCCATTGTTGTTACTGATGAGATTGTCCTTCATTAATACCTCCAATGGGACTACAGTATTATATTACTAGTGCAGGAGGAATCTGGACTGCTCAGAGAAAACCTGCAATGTTCAGTAGTGTCACACTGGGCAGCATCCTTTTCACTTACCACCTGGGATGCATTGATGGGAGGCAAGTGCACTACCACTGTATCTCCAACATACCATCACAGTTAATTGTTTTTTGGTTGTATATTTTTTAATGTAAGTTATTTTAAATAATTTTAGTTGGTTAGTGGATGAGAAAATTATGTAAAAGATTTTGGTTTTATTTTTCTAACTTTTTATTTGTGTCTTTGAATAGCTTTTCTTTTTAACACAATATTAGTAGTGGCTGTGTATCAGATGAAAATGCTGACAGTAGATACATTTAGGTATTTTCATTTTATGCAGGTACACGGCAGATCAAGTTCATGGACGATGGAATGCCCTAGTGACACTTTATCAGAGGATGATGGAACACAACTCCAACCAGAGCAATGAACCTATGACTGTAGCATATCAAGATGCTATAGAATCTGTGTTCAAGTATGTACCAGAGAGGAAAACTAAGTTAGCCAAGATACGTGAAAAACAAGGCCAGTCAGCGAAGGTGCCGGTACTTCATAGTGAGTATCAGGTTCTGTCTTTTCTTGTGTTGTTGGTCTCAATACAGTACAGTATATTACACACTCACCATTGTTGAGTCACACATTAAGAGAAATGAGTATTTGATTTTTGGGTGAGTCATGGTATAAATATTTCATCCCAATTATTTGGGAGTGATGTAAGCCTCAGTGTTATCACTTTATGCTGACATTTATTATTTAAATATTTTTTGGGGGTATACTGTACTCCCTATCAGGTGGAACATTTACTTGCCCCGGGCAATTGACTTATGAAATTCACTTGCCTGGATATTTGGATATTTTTTTTACTTGCCCTGGCAAATTTTGGAGGAAACTTTTTTTTTAATGAGAAAAGTTAAATTAACAATATAAAGCATTCAGATTTATTGTTTATATCAATTCACAGATCACTTGTGTCCATCAAAATGTCTTTTACCCCTACCTGGTCTTTTTCTTTTTATTCCTATTCATATTGCTGTTTTCACCTTAATTTGTAGCATAAATATGGTTACACAGCTATCAGTGGGAGATTTTATACAGATTTTTAGGTCAGGTCATTATGAGAATAGACCAATAGAAATATGAGGGATGAGCTGTAACATCAGTGAGGCTGTAGTACTCACCTGGGGTTACTTAGGAGGATAGGAAAGTCATGGATTAACTCAGCTGTGATGTCATGATATGGATGACATGGCATCAGGTTAAGCACACACAAACAACCCACCCATCACCTCGCTGGTTTATATGGATCTCACTGGTTAAAAAAATATGAGGGCTATGTATCACCTTATTCCTGTTTGGGTATTTTTTCTTTCAAAATATTGACTTGTCTGCCTGGCAAGTGCTAGACATGAAAAACCACTTGTCTGATCTCTAGTCTGGGCATGTCTGGGCTGCTGGGCACTGTTAATCTGCAGAGCCTGTTGCTTATGTTAGGATATTTATAATTTGTGTGAATTTTCATTGTCTTGCAGAAAAGTGGTCTCTACTTGTTGAACGTCTCCTGCTCAGACTATACCTGGAGAGAAGTGAACTATTTATTAAAAATAAAAATAAAAAAGAAGTCTGGGAACAGATAGTAAAGGTTAGAAATTATTAGCATGTTTATTATAGAATATGACACCACATAGTAAAAGAAAAGTGAGGAGTATGTGTGTATTTGTAAATTGTGATTCACATATCTGTATATGAATTAAATGATTATAGAATGAAATTAAATTCTCACGGAAAATTAAAGATTGCTTCCATGACTGATATGTAATTTTACTGTTTCGCTTCAGTCATTGAAAGAGGAAGGAGGTTACCACACCACTGTAGAAAAAGTGAGGGCGCGGTTCTACGAGTTGTCTAAGCAGTATGAGGCCATGTTGCATCATAATTCCCAGCCCGGCACTCTTTATCGGGAGTCTAGACACCATGAGATGTTGGCTGATGTAAGTGTCATGCCACATTATCCTGCTGATGATTGAAATAACGTATTGTGCTAGGGTATGTAGCAAAACTTGGACCAAAGGAAGTTTAGGAATAGTCATACTGGTAGCAGTGATCAGTACTTAAAGATGGAAATCAGATGTTTCCACAGGTAATGTTTCATAATTTATATACCCTGTATTGTATATATCATTTTGCCACTTATCAGCTTGCTTACTGTTTGAGTGGTTGGTTTTTTCTTACTTTGTTACAGCCTATATTGTCCAGTGTTAATACAAGAGGAAATGGGAGTACCCAGAGAAAAACCTGTGATTGTTGGAAGGGTTAGACTGGACATCACCCTTCTTACATCTGTCCTTGGCTGGGGATTGAACCCAGGATGCAATATTGAGATACACACACATTACCACTGTACCACCAGCATAACTCGTCAACCTTAATAATTAAAAGAAACCACATAAGTATTAGGTATAGAACCCAGTGATTATGTAAATAGAATAGATTGCTATCATTGCTGGAGCTTTATATAATGTGTGGACATTATTGGCAAAATGCTTAATATCTTCAAAAACTTTATACAGTATACAGAACACACAGGAAGGAAGAAATTTATGAGGACTGAGGCATAAACATCTTATTTATTAATCAAGTGTAATAAAACTGGTGTGCTATGTCTAAAATATTTTTGAGTTTATCAAGTTTTATTATGGGTCAGATAATTTATGGACACCCATTACATAGATTCAAGATTATTATTTACTTTACAGATATACAGTCGTCATAACTCCTGGCCCCACGACGGCTCCACCGTGAAGTCTGACAATTCCAACTCCTTAAGAATGAGGCAAAGTGTGTACAGTATCTTTATTTTTTATAAATATTTGTAAGTCTGGAAAAATGTAAAGAGATTTTTTATTTCCTATTTTTTAAGTTCATCCAATAGCTTAGGATAATATTTAGTACAATGGAGTCTCGATAATTTACAGGTTAGGTACCAGAAGACATCGTGAATTATCAGATCACGAATTATATTTTAATGGATTTAAATGGAAATAATTAGTTTAGTTCCAGAGGGAAAAAAATAATCCAAAACTGCTTTCATAAACACTAAAAATTGTACACAATACATAAAAAAATAGAGTAACAGATATTGTACAAAAGGTAGTTTTCTACAATATTACATGAACAGCTCTTTCCCTTCTCATAAATTGGGCTGGGTTATGCCAATACACCATGAGGGTTGCTGGTTCAAGCCTGTGACTCCTCCAGTCCACCCAGTTGTAATAACTTGTGTTGAAGTTTTAGTACAGTATACAATACAATGTGCTATATCCAGATTGTCCCCCAATGGGCTGTCAGGCCTATAGAACCCACTTTCACTTTTCTCTTTATGCATGAACTTTTTAATTATTTCTTGAATCTTTATTAATGTAGAACACTATCTTAGTGAAGGCCCAGATGATGTGGAGTGATGAGGAGTCCCGGGTTGTCCTTACATTATATCCCCAAGTTCTTATTGAACACTTGAGGAATGGTTATCAACCACCTTTAGAGGAGCTCTGGGTCCAGCTGGCTAAGGACCTTTTTTCCACATATAACTTCTTAAAGCAGCCGTATGAGGTATGTGTAGTTCTCTTCCAGGTCACAGCCTAAATATTTCCCTATTGATTTTCTTGTGATCAAATAATGCAGGGTAATTCACTCACTGGTAACCTATTTAAAGGAAAGGTTGTAAATGAAATGGCTCACACCATTATGAGTTAAAGGTAAATATTCACTGGGAGGTTGAAGTCATTCACTTGATTATGAGAAAATTTGTCCTGGGTAAAAGAACGAATAAATATTTTTAGAACAAATGAAGAGAAATTTAGAAAATATGGTAATAGAAAAAAACTAGCTTGTTGAGCAAAGCAGTGAAATCATGAATTGTGGTACAATACTGTTTTGATGAAATGTTTTTATCTTTAATATTTTTTAAGTTATTAATTTTCAAAATGTGTCATATTATTTATGGACATCCTGTACAGTTTTATGGTGATTAACACTTTGTTTTTATATTTTCTTGCGTAGCTTTTTATGTGGTATTGAAATATTTTATTAAAATTAAATAAGATATGGTAATTTTTTTAATATTTCAGATAGAGGAACACATAGCATTACTACGACAAGGATATAGGAGTCAAAACCCTTTCCCCTTTAGACCAGAGATGGAACTACTGGAAGAAACTGAGCATACTTTGTGCTTTTCACCTGAATCCCCATCAAAAATCATTGCCCAGATGGTGCAGTATTGGAGCCATTCTGCTGCACATTGTTTACTTGACTTTGTCATACATTACTATCAGGAGGGCATCAAGCTACTTACTGAGAGTTTGTTTGATACAATCAGTGTTGACATGGAAAATCTTGGCTACAGGTAGAGTATTAATTTATAATTATCATGTCTGATGTGTTATTTCTTTTATATTTACAGTACAGCTCCTCCCTGACTTACGACCTACTCTACTTACGACCACCCGCACTTACGACCTGCCTCAGTCGTACCAAAATTCGGTCAAATTACGTATTTTCGAGTCCCAAAGTCATTACACAGACAAAATTATCTTTTGTAATTCACTTTAAAATGGCTGGCAAGATTAAAAGTGAGTGTTTTGTGGTGCTGAGAAGAAAAAAAGACAACCATTTTAGATTTTCTATGTATTATTTGTGCATTTCCGACTTACGACCATTTCGACTTACGACCTGGATTTGGGTCCCTAACCCCGTCGTAAGTCGGGGAGGAGCTGTATATGTAATTGAATTGAGACACGTTTTTATTACCTTGGAACTTTAAAACTTTTGTTTAGATTGATTAACTTTTTTATATACTGTAAATGCTGATACTAGAGGATAGTGGAAGTTTAATTGAGGTGCTTCGATTGATAGTGACGAATCAACCAATGGTGCCCTAGCCAGATGACAAATAAACCCTGTATTGGGTAGAGAAAGAGTCGGGCTTTCTGTTGAAACAAGAATCTAATTTGGGTGCCATTTGTTGATTCGTCACTATCAATGGGAGCGCCTCAATTATTCTAGTTGATTACTGTACTCTACAGGTAATCTCCCCATTAGCTGGAATCTCTGGTCCCCGGAACTCTCCAGCAGCCCTCCAGGAAATTTCAGGAAAACACTCCATTCCAGGCATTGGAACAAGTTTTCAAGGATAAAATCATGCACGTTTTCTGGAAAAATTCTGAGAAATCTCTCTGTTTCGGGCATGGGAACAAATTTTCCAGGAGTTCTGAGAAATTGCATCAGGCTCTGACGAGTCCGCACATTTTTCCACGTTCCAGCCGTGCTTAGTTCATATTCTGCTGCCTCGCTCACTGCCGTTTTGTGTACAATTTGTGTTGTGCAATACTGTACCAGAACACAATCAGCCAAGAATACAGTGTTAAAGCAGTGTTAAGACATAAAAAGTGATAACAGTTATATTACATTATACTGTATATTCAGCAAAGTGGATAGTGTATGCCTATTGTAGGCTCAAAGTGACAGTATCTGCTGGTGAGTACAGTACAGTTTGCGGATTTTTACTTCACGGTTCTCGGTTTTTCGCGGACGACACCCTGGATGTACCCAAGAATGTCTGTTGGTAGTTTTAAAGTTGCTGTCATTTTTGCGGCTGGGACAGGGAGTCATTCATTCTAGAGACAGTAATTTCCTTTACCTGTATTGTAAATATGTGTGTGTGTGTGTCTACACACACACACACACACACACACAAATAAATAATAATTGGAAAATACTCTCACAAATAATCAGTGAAATTTATTAAAAATGTGAGTCTACCCTCAAATCCGTTCTCTATTACAGTACTGTACTTTATTAATAGAGCAATGACTAGTGGGTAGACTGTCACATTTTTAATTAATTTTTTCTGATTATCATTTGTGAGAAGATTTTCCATTTACTGTATTATTTATTTGTATGTGTTTGGTGTGTGTGTCTACACACGTCACACACACACACACACACATACGGTATACAATACTACAGGTAAAAGAAATAATTGTCCTTAGAGCAAACACATAAAGGGAATGTTCATTTATTTGTATAGGTACACAAGTAAAAATGTACCCCCCCCCCACCTCCTGGTCCGCAAATGTTATTCACGGATTTGGCAATTTGCAGCCATTTTGAGAACTTAACCCCCACGAATTTGGGGGACCCCCTGTATATACAGTGGTCCCTCGGTTAACGAGCACAATCCGTTCCAGCAGGTTGCTCGTTAACCGAAACCATTGTTTCAATGGGTTTTTGGGTAATTGGTTCCAGCTCACCGAAAATTGCCTAAATTCAACAAAAAAGGTAGAAAAGTTCACTTACTTTGAGGTGTGTATGTAGAAGGCTCCTGGATGATGATGATGATGTGAATTTGAAGTGGGAGGTGGAGGAGGAGAAGGGAGAAGAGAAGGAAGTGGAGGTGGAGGAGAAGCATTTTACTACCTCTTGGAAGGTGAGTCACCTTCCATGAAAATGTCAGGAACCTCTGGATTGACAGATTCTCCACCATGAACATCCTCTCTCCTTCTTGAAGTGGAAGGCTGAGGGATGGCATCTTGTTCCCTCTGCCTTTTACTGAAGAAAGTGTCAATTGTGGTCTGTGGGGCATCTGTCCTCCTCACCATTAACTTATGTTTAAAGAAGGAGACCACTGAGTCCTCAACATGGCACAAAGTTAGTTCAGTTTTTTCCACTTCTGGGTGCTTTGAAGCCAGTTCCCTGAACTTCTCCCAGTGGTAAATCACATCTTTCAACTGTTTAGCTGACATATGGTCATCACTTTCAATTTCCTCCTCACCACTGTCAGCCTCTACTTGTAACATCTCATCCAGTTGCTGCAAGTCATCAGGAGTAAGTTCCTCCTCATGAGACATCACAAGCTCTTCCACATCCTCCTCCTCCGCTTCAAGGCCCAATGACTGACCAATGGACACAATCTCCTGGTCCAACTCTGTTTCTTCCTCAAATCCCTCAAAATCATGGACTACTGATGGCCACAGTGCTTTCCATGAAGAATTGAGGGATCTAGTGGAGACTTCTTGCCATGATGACACAATCAATTTTACAGCCTCCAGGATGTTGAATGTGTCTTCCCGAAATGTTTCAGTGTTAGTTCAGGATCATTGGAAGTTGCCTGATGACACCTCCTAAACCTTTTTGTTCATGTACAACTTCTTAAAGTTGCTGATCACATTCTGGTCCATTGGCTGTATGATTGATGTAGTGTTTGGAGGCAAAAACAACACTTTCACAAAGTCAAATTGATACTCCAAATTTCTGGCAAGGTCAGGGTCATGACCAGGAGCATTATCCATGAGGAGAAGAGCCTTTAAAGGGAGTTTATTGGTGGTTAGGTAGCTCTTGACAGAAGGGCAAAACACATCAACCGCCCATTCATTAAAGAGCTGTCTTGTCACCCATGCCTTACGGTTGGACTTCCAATAAACTCCAAGCTTTGTTCTTCCCACTTTCTGTTGCTTGAACACCCTGGGGTTTTCAGAGTGGTAGACAAGCATAGGCTTCAGTCGGAAATCCCCTGAAGCATTGGCACCAAGCAATAGAGTGAGATGGTCTTTCATGGGTTTATGCCCAGGTAAAGAGGCTTCATCTCTGGTGATGAATGTTCTTTTGGGCATCTTTTTCCAGAACAGCCCAGTTTCGTCCACATTGAACACTTGCTGTGGAAGATAATTTTCTTCTTCCATCAGTTTTTTAAATTCATCTAAAAACTTTGCTGCCCCTTCCTTATCAGCACTAGCAGCTTCACCATGCCTAACAACACTACAAATGTCACTTCTTTTCTTAAATTTTTCGAACCAGCCTTTGCTGGCCCGAAAATCTTCAAATTCTGTGCCTGAAGAACCAGGTTGATCTGTCTTTAAATGTTCATAAATCTCCCTGGCTCTTTCACAAATGAATTCAGTAGAAACTGAATCACCTTTCATCTGTTTTTCCCTAATCCAGATGATAAGTAACCTCTCAGTTTCTGCAATTAGGGATCTACTTTTAAACACTCTTGTAGATTTGTCTCTCACTTTCACTTCTTTAAATTTGTCTTTCTGTGCAAGAATTGTCGACACAGTTGATGTCGGCATGCCATATTCTTTGCATAGCGCATTTGTTCTAATGGCTTGTTCATGTTTTTTTATGATTTCCTGTTTGGTTTGGATTGAAATCGCTTTTCTTGATCTCTTAGGCCCCATGCTGGATTCAAACAATGTCAACACGTGCTTTTTAAAGTTAAACTTGTTGTAAATAAAGAATATTTTCTTTAAAATAATACTGCACTGCGCTATATATTGTCAATATGTAAAATAAATTTCAAAATGACCAATAATATGCTTGGAAACACAGAAAAAAAGCATTTAGTTGAAGAGAGTCTCAAGCAAGATGTTACCTCCAGTGAAAACAGAGAGAGACTAACGCCTGTTTGCTGTGTTAAGAGGCTGGATGCCGCGCATTAAACTAGTCACTTTACCTTCAATTATGTTAAATAATTGTTAAAATGACTAAAAAATTTAATATTAAACTTTTAAAATTATTGAATAGTATAAACTTCTTGATATTTACTAAAATAGTAAGGAATTTAAGCCCTAGAACCGATTAATGTATTGGCGGACTAATACTACAGCTGGTTGACCGCCCAGTGCAAGCCAAAACTTGTTGAGGTCGGCTCGTAAGAAACTCGTTAACCGAGGGGTTGCTCGTTAACCGAATTTAAGAATCTTATGGGAGGTAACTCGTTAACCGAGGCGCTCGTTAACTGAGGGACCACTGTATACAGTATGTACAGTAATAATACATACACATTATATTTACAGCATGTTTATTTAAACAGACTTTTTGGGTGAACTATTCAGGATTATTCTGGGAAAAAAATGGTGTTCCTATCTTAATTAGAACTGATTTCATAGACTGGTATAACATTTCTTATGTTTTTCATAAAAGAATTGAATCATTACATCATGTCAGAATATTTTAATTAAGGTCTTTTTTTTTAAAAACAATCTTATGGAGAACTTATTCGGGATCATTATGGTACCAAATTCATCTCTCAAAAAACATTTAGAATAGATTCTGTGAATAAAAGTTTGTACACTTTTTCGCTAGCTGTAAATATTTTTGCTCGTGACCTTGGCTTAAATGTAATGGGGGAGTATTTGGCCACCCGAGATGCATAGTTTAAAACTCTGAAAACTTTCCCCAGCTCCCAGACACATTCAGGGGATGCCCGATAGTGTCTGGCCATGCAAGATGTGTAGTTTAGACTCTCGGAACCCGGAAAATTCTGAGGATGTGCGATTTTTTCCGGGGTTAGAAATTCGTCTCAATACCTGAAAATCTCTCATTCTCAGAGGAGCTTACACCAATTATTCCAGCTAATGGGGATATAACAGTACAGTACATTATTTGTATTTTTTCTTTTGAGAACAAACATGGTGTTTGTATGATATGGACACGAAGTAGTACCTTAAGCTGTGTATTCTTATATTACTCTATTAATTATGTAAAGTAAAGTATTACAGAACATGTATTAATCCTATGTAATATTTCCATTTATTATGCTTCATGTTATGTATGTGAATTATCATATTTACATATTATGTATTCAGCTTGTGAATGCTGGCATCTGTACATGCCAGCGCGGAGTGATACAGAGAGTTGAGATCGCTAGTCCTTATGGTGTGGAAGCCCACAGTTTATTTGTTTCCTCTGTATATCTCCCGTACGAGAATAAGAACCTATTTTCAAGATAACAAATGTTTGCGTATACCCTCCGTAGTGTAGAACATTTTGGGGGTATCAAAGACAAACATAGAGTGTTGGTATCCTGTGTAGGTGAGAATGGAGTAAATTTGGTCAGCAGACTGAGAGACAACAATAAAAATATTGCTGTTCGGGAAATGAACCCGGTAAATGAATTATAAAATGATATTATGGAAACACAAAATAAGGATCTATTAGAAAGAATGAAATTATGAGACGGGTGTGAACTGACTATTATTGCTACAATTTACTTATGGTAAACACCTACCATGTTTGGTAGGGTCACACTGGCTAACATCCTTTATACTTTTGACCTGGGCTGGGGATTGAAGGCATTTTGATGTAAAAGAAGAAGACAAAGGTTTGCAGTCTTTTTCATAAGTGGTTATCATACACAGGTACACCAGTGAAGAATGCCGGCAATATTACCATCTATTGAACAAGAAGTATAAAAAAAAGATTGATGTGAAAAATGGCAAAGACATCGATAAGAAGTGTCCTTATATGAAGAAGATGGTGGAAATAAAGACTGTTATGTCTCAAACTGAAGTTCCTGGTGAGTTTTTATGAAATTACTGTATTTGCTTTTATAACTTGCTGTAATTAATTACTGTATTAATTTATTATTTGTGGTGATTGAAAATATTTGTGAATTCAGACTGGTTTATAAATTGAGCGAGCTCTTCACTAATTGGACTTCTTTCAACTGGGACTCTTCCATAATTGGATTTGGGAAAATCCTTCCTTTTTTTTCCCAGGGATTTTTTGTTGTTTCTGGTTATGTACTGTACTTGAAAAAAAAATCATATCTGCAAACACTTAATATCTGGCTTAAGGAACAAAAGCACCTCATTATCCTCTTTTCCACACAGCAACAGACGATGTATGTAACAAGATAATTTCAGCAGCTTCATCTGTTGTGAAGGAAATTAAGGGAACTGATAAGGAATCAAGAAGAGAATCACTGGAAAGGATGATTTTGAAACTTAAGATGCACCTAATGAATTGTACCTCTGTGCGTCCTCCACCATCTGTTAAGACTGTAAGTCACACACTGTTGGTATAGAGTACATACTGTATTTTAATTTTGGCCATGTACTAATTTCACCTTAATTTTTTTTTTACTGTTATTTAATATACCGATCCAAGCCTTTTATTGTTTCATTTGGGTGTTTTGAATTACACCTAGATACAAAATTTACTGTACAAAATAGTTTACTTGTCTTTGGTCAGTAATGAAAAGGCAGCTGTCAAAGTTGGATTATTTCTGTTTCTTCCTTTTACTGTGATCTGTGGCACCAATTCCTTGTTCCCACATTTCTGTATCTTTCTCTTTATTTTTCTCTGTCTTTGTGTAAGATTACTTTTGTTATTGACTGTTAGGTTTGTACAGTATAACTCTGAATTTAACTGAATTCAATATACAGTAACGGACTCTCGATTTAGTGGAAGGCAGTTTTTCGTTATTTTTCGCATGATTTAGTGAACTAGTTCGCTAAATTGAGATTAATTAAATTAATACGCTTATACCTAAGGAGACACCTCAGACACATGATACAGTAAAACCTTGCTCGGGCGGACTAATTGGGGGGAAGGGATGTCCGGGATAGGAGGTTGTCCGCCTTAGAGCCAATTTTCCGCAAAAGACCGCCATTAAAAAAAAAACGAGTATCAAATTTTTATGAAAGAAATGCATGTTTTTTAATTATAATTAAATTAAAAAGTAATGTACACAAAGTACTGTACACTTGCTTTTAGTTCACTGATGAGGTCTTAGGCTTAACCTGTCTTTGGCTTAACCATTTCACCACCCTTACAGACACCAAACCCTTTCTTAGGGGCCATGGTTATTGTTTAATTTTTCAATAATAATGCAAAAAATATGAATGCTACTTCAGCCTAAGGCGAATGTACTAAATGTATAAAAACAAATACATAATGATATAGAGAACACCATATAAGAGCACCCCTCATTTTAAAAGGGAGTATTTAGGAAAAAACTTTTGTGTGTATTTTCCTCTTATAGCCACAGTTTTCCTTAAATAATATATGAGTAAACAGTACCAGGAAATGTGAGGATTGAATAAAAACAATAATGTACCAACCAAAAATATTGTATTGCCAAATCTGTAAATAAAAGCCAAATGAAACTTCAACACAATCGCCATTTCCATGCACTCTCTGTTTCACTATAGTAATGAAGACCAGCTGGGACGCCGAATCCCTAGCAACGCTCCTCACCCCCTACACTCTCTCCTCCCTCACTGATTAAGCTAACTCATGTGTAAAGAAATATATATTCCCTTATGTGTTTGCCCTTAGGACAATTATTTATTTTACTTTTCTTCACAATGTGTATGTAGGATGGCATGTGCATATAACAGAAAAATAAATGAAAAAAGTTAGGTATATACAGTACTGTAATTCCCAAAAATACCAGTTGAAAAACAACCATAACACCTCACAGCTTGGCCCTGTAGCCTGGTGGTTAGTAATGAGTCTAACCTGGCTATAATGCCATGGTTAATCACTTTTAAGCACTATTATATCAGTAAACACGAATAATAGTAAATCCAGTGAAACATGGCAGGGAGAGAGGAGAGTTACAAGAGCAGATGATGCTCAACTAGCAGTCACTTGACCCACTCACTCCCCTTACTCACACCTGTTGCAAGGCGAATGATCGAAATACGTATGGTGGAAATACATATATTTTAGTCTAATTTGAAAATGGTGATGGGCACAGTGATAAACATATTATATAAACCATGCATTTACCTACAATAACATAATAAGAAACATTGTGAATTAAATAATATTCCCACTAATAACAATTGATAACTTGAGAAGTAGACCAAGAGGTAACAGTGAACAACACACGCGGTGGCGGCAGGACTGAGTGAGCGGATGTAAACAAACCCTATGCGCCAAATGACTTGTGGCGCGTTTGGTGCCGAATTTAACGGAATCACGCTCGATTTAGTGAATATGTTCGAGAAATCGAGAGAGCATAACGGAAAGGTTGATTTAGCGGAAATTTTGATTTATTGAACAAGGGTGGCTCGGGTTAGTTCGTTAAATTGAGAAAATACTGTACAGTTGGGTATGCTATAACGAATCTAATTGGTTCTAGAACCTTGTTCGTTATAGCATTCGTTTGTTATAGGGTTAATCCGTTCCAGGCCCCCAAATACAACCACTTAACACTGAAAAATATAATATAAAATTGTAAAAATTGTAAAAAAGTGCATAAATATGCATCTAAACCTCTGAAATAAAGAATATCATTAATATTTGTAATAATAAAACAATAAATTAGGAAAAAAAAAAATTAAATTATGTTCGTTGTAGGAGTTTCCTTCGTTATAGCATTCTCAATTTTATAGGTAAAACCGTTCGTTATAGGAATATTCGTAGTAGGATCCGTTCGTTATAGCATACCCCACTGTATGTTTACTTGTAACCTGAATAATTTAAGTAAGGGCTGATATGGTGTAAACTTAACACTTTGATGCTTTTCAGATTGCACAAAGTTTACTGAAATTTTTAAGGGAAGATAAAATAACCTACATACTGACTGACAGTGTAGATACACCAGAGCTTAGTGCTATCTTACACCCACATGTGGACATATTGAAGTTAATCTCACGTAAGTGTTGTTGCTCTTGTACTATTCTTCATCTTTTCTAATTATAGACAAGAATTTCAATACTATACTAATAGACATTTTTATATGTGGTAGAATATTTTGCTATAAAGGGAACATACTGTATGTTTATGAGTGAAATTTAAAATTTTCTCAAGTGCTCAGTAAGGAATGCTATAATTCTTTGTGGCAATGCCTTAAGGGATTAGTTAATTAATGTCACGAGAAACATTTTGTATATTATCTTCGAGAATATGCTTAAATGATACCCTAATATTAAAATGTAGAAAATTAGAAAAAGCACACAGTCATCACTTCTAAAGGTGTGTCACACAGACCAAGGATATGGGCTGACATGGATGAGAATACAGTAACTCTTCATTTTACTCTGTTTTGCTTTAATATGGTACTTTTCCAGAAGTTCATTTACCCTTGCCGTAGTTTATTTTCTTTGATATTCCAAAGATATACGATTATCAATGGTTGATGGTGCAGGATTCACTTAGTATATTGTTTGTATTGGGGTGAGGAAGTGTGTATAAAGTATTTTTACTTGGTGGTATTTCAGGCCATCTTATTTATTTCTGCACTTTACTTGCAACATCTCACATAATTCTTCCATTTCTTAAGGGTAAAGTTATCATATATCAGGGCTGCCCAATCGTTTTGCCTGCTTCGCCATGGTGAGGGAAAACTCCTTATAGTGAGTCAGATTTAAAAATCACTAGCCCATCAGGTAAGTGAAAATTTTGACTCATGCAAAAGTGAAGGAGATCTCTTAAGTAGACCCTACAATTTTAGTAGGTTTTATATTTACTGAACACAATTTGTATTGAATAGTTCTACAGTATAATTCACCCGTTTCTATATAGAACTACAAGGGGTGTAGTGAAAACTATGCTGGTAGGTATAATAAAAATACATGTAGAGATAGGTAATGTACACGAGAATGTGTGCATATTGTTTATGACTTGTCAGCTGATTCACTGAGGGAGGCACCACCAACACTCAGGAAGAGATGGTGAGGGAACATGTAATTAATTTTATACACAAAAAGTATGTAAAGACAGGTTAATATAGAAATGTGTTAAAAATTAAAAACCTGCTTTGCGAGTGATGACAGGAGTGTGTGTGCATACATTTGACTCTTCAGCTGACAGCCCAAGCTTTAACAGTTCAACATGCATTCTGCCACAGAAAAACGGTAAGATTTTAGGTAAAATAATTCAAACAATGGTGATGTTATTCCTTCCGTGAAGAGAGCAGAGGACCAGTGTGTGTATTGCATCATCCATGTCATAGTCACTCACACACAGCTGGTGCACTCCAGCACCACCACAAACTTGGGCCTGTTAATCATGGAGCATTTTATATACAGTAAACCAATGAGACTTACAATGTATCCATTTTGTGCAGCATCCTGTTTCTTTCACGACAAGTTTTCACAAGATATTCTCCCACATTTTGAAAACAATTATGGGCAAGTGAAAATTTCTGTGGGCAAGTGGGTTTATTAGCCCATTGAGCGAGAAGAAATTGTTTAGGTTCAGCAGACCTGGATATAAGTATAGACAGATCGTAAATATGACTTAATTTCCCTACAGAAAATGGACCACAGCACTTATATCAAGACTCACATCCAGAAACTGATAGAAAGAGAAAGATAAGAGGAAAGATGCCACTTAGTAAGTTACACTTTTATGACTTAGATTGTCTTAGTTATATTTTTTTAAACCTAATAAGATAATTGGAACGAAATATAGTATAGATACAGGGTATATTAGGATTAATTTACTGTATTCTGCATTCTAGTACAGTTATGAGTTATGTTTACACTACAACTTTGATAATATATTTTCTTTCATGTGATGTGTTTGATATAATTTACTTTTTAATATGTGGAGCCTAATGAGGTAAGGTTAGAGTTAGTTAAGGTCAGTGAGTAAGAGAATTTATTATTTTGAAAATACTGTACAATACTCTTATATCATAACCCTAACCCTCGTCAATTCCAACCCCAAGTAATCCATAACCCTACCATCATTTGGTCCCATTTATATGGAACATTGTGTGAAGTACAGTAGTCTGAAATTATTAATTACATATTTTGTATTAATTGTATTTAGAGTCTACTTCAATACAGTGGACAATTGACAATGTAAGTATTCTGCTGGAAACTGTGAGAGAATGGCAGCTGTTGTGTCATGATGATGAAGAAGTGGCAGAGACACTGGCAGTTGGTCAGCCTCTGTGGCACGAGGTTGCCTACAAGCTCAGTCGACGCTTGAGGAAGTGCCCTGATGTATGTCACATGTTCTTTGTTCATGTAAGTGAATGTGAAATTGTCATTTGCTTTTGAAAGGATATTTACAAATGATCTTCCTAATTTTAAACATTTACAGTATTACTTAGCTACCTCTCTATACTGAAATAATTGATGAGCAGCCGGTCCAGATTTTTTTTATAAAATACTGCATACACCTCACCCTTGCTTTATGCTGGGGATACATTCTGCATAAACCTTGCATAACTCAAAATCGCATAGAGTGAATTCTTAATCTTATGGGGAAAATGAGGATGTGTTTCACAACCATTTCTGGAGCTCCCCCAACCATAATTCTGGCACTTTTTCATAACTAAGTCACACTAAAAGACAAAGGTAATGCTATAAAAGTTGTGGAAAAATCATGGCAATATTCTAATGTTTCTTAGAAATAAATGAAATATAAATGTATAAAATAAGAAAAATGTCAGCATGCCATCTTACAGACTACCTAATCCCCAGTTTTCCCCTTCCCATATTTTGCACAGAAAACATAATAGCAATTCTTTTCACATTAAATGAATTTTGGGTAGAAGTGGGGTACAGTATAGCAAGTGCACTTAAAGTGAGGGTCAGGTATAGTTTGGTAACACAAGATTTTAATAAATACTAAATATCATACTTAATGCATAAAAATTACAGAAACACATATATATATTGTACAAAAAATAGTTCCATATTACATAAACAGCTCCTTCCCTGGCTACTGGCTGGCCGATAAGCTTTGTACCATAGGTAAACTGTAATGGTTTCCATCCACAGTTGTGTCAGGACTATGCAAGGTTGGAGTTATCAGGACCTACACCCACAGTCAGTGGTGTGTGGTTCAAAAATCAGAAAATTTGTGATCTGCTGCGCACTATTGTCTCTCCAGTTAGATCTTGTGATGCAGAATGGGATGTTCGAGGTTTGTAAACTAGTTGATTTTTGTTGTTGTTGCTAAAATGAGTCATATACAAGGTAACCCACCACTATTGCATGCTAGGGATCAGACAATCAACCCTTGACCAGCCACCCTGTATTGTGAGTTGGAGCAGACTTGTATGAATGAAGAAATGGCCCTACAGTATTAAAATAAAAACTTATGCACAGTACATGCATTATACCCCAGAATACAGTACATGATACATATATTTATAAACTACTGTACTGTATGTAACTTTATACAGTACATTTCCCTGTATTTGCCTGTCTATTTAGCTGTACTGTATTTGCCAAATTTAAACAATATTGGTTTAATATTTGCTCATCAGATGCTTGGTGGGTGAGTGAAGCTGGTGGCTGGAGCCGGGAGGAAATAATGGAACTTCTCTTCACTGTTAAAGAACTGTGGTCTGGAGAGCAAACTATGGATTGGAAGCTGGTAGGAACTGAATATTGTTTGGAATACGGTACTGTAATGGTATAGAAATTTGCTGTACCATCTATAGGGTATTTCATATACTGTACTGTACCGTAAGTGGAACAAAAGTGGGTGGGTTTGGGGTTAGTGAGCATTAGTTTTGAAAATTCTTTTATTTCATCGCCCTAGTCAACTCTAAGCTTAATACCCTTTACAGGTATCCCCTACATTACGGAAACTCAGGTTGCGGAAATTTGCCCATAAAGAATTTGTAAATTTTGACCACTAAATTTGGGATACAGCCCATAAATTCGACCTTACGGAAATGGGGTAAATTTTCATGATTTTCAACACAAAAATTGTGATATAGAACAAAAAAATTCATGGACATTATAATTTGTTTGGTGTTTCCTATAATTTGTTTGGTGTTTCCTACCACCAAGTGTGGGTTCACAGTGTACCTATGCCACTGGACTCAGTTTGTTTACATCTCCCACATGTATGCTTGATCTCTCGACCCCAGCCCTTGGATTTAACACTTACAGTATATTCGTATACTATTCAAGACTGTCCAGTGTATTACCCCTATTCAAGATGAGTGGAAAAAGGCCATCAAGTGCAATTGAAACCAGTGGTGCTAAAAGAGTCAGTAAAGGAATTATGTTGGATATAAAACTTGATGTTTTATGGAGGTTTGATGTGTGAGGAAATCTTAGCCAGATTGCAAAAACATTAGGGCTTGTTATGTCTCCCAATAAGTCCCATTGCACCTCCTCACCTCACACAACACTCAACATCATTTGTGGTGAGTTAAATTAAAGTGGTTTGTGTATTTATTACAGTATCATGTTACTGTATATCATAAAATAATCATTGTATGTTTAAAATTAATTATTTTTCATTCATAAGTGTGCTTGTATTACTTCTTTTTGCCTATAAAGTTTCTTTAGGAATGCTTCTCCAATTATATACCTGTAATGGAATTCAATGGGAAAAGTGGGGTTCACATAACGGTCAACTTTTCAAATATGCATCTCTTCCATAATCCAAGGAATTTCTGTACGTACATATAAATAATATCTCGTTCTTAATCCACACTAACCCCTAACATTACCCCATTTGGTTCCATTCTACAGAACGTCTTGTATAGTTTCTGCACTTTGTTGAAAATCAAGTACGTAAAAGGTTTTGCATACTCCGTTTAATTGTTTAAGGACCTACTGTGTGCAGAATAAAATCTTACTGTATTTGATTCAAGACCTGGATGCTAGAGTGGTCTGTTGTTAAGTAATTAAAAAAAATATCATTGCTCACATAAATCTCTTAACTAAATTGATTATTTTTGGACTTACCTGCGTAATCAACTTCAGTCAGCCCTTAAGTACACCAGCAGAAGGAATATGTTTTACATCAAGGTCTCATTTTCCCAAATTATTAAATATTTGTTTTTGTTTTTTCTCATATACCTTTTTAATGATCATCTGTGTTCTCTCACATAAAATAATATCTCACAAATTTGTGGTTTTCCCAATCCATCTTCACATTTCACTCACTATACTTAGTAGTAGAAATTATACTTGAGCATGTACAGTATACGGTATTACATTTCCATATGTCCTTTATATTTTCCTGGACACTGAAAGCAAGAGTTATTGAAGTAAAGTTATAAAAGATAATAGTATTCTTATTAATATGAATAACAGTTGAAATTAGTATTGACAGTTTTCATCTGGTATTATTATAGTAACCTGTACCTCATTTTAGGGTACAAATGTCTTGTTTTATCTTATAATATCTTCTATCGAATTTATATGATTGAAGCTTTTGTACACAGATACAGAGTGTTTCCTAGTTAATTATAAAAGGAATTTTTCAGGTGAATCTTCTGCTTAGTGCTGGAGGGTATCAGCGTGGGGCAAAATGTTTTTACACTAAGTTTCATCAGCTTTACAGTGGATACCAAAGAGCATTTAAATATAATCAGGAATGTAGCATACGTGAACGGCGAAGACCACCTTTCTATTTCAAGATCCATTCTCTGTTTGGCTACCAAGAAGCTATTCCAGGATATCATAGTGGTAAGTTGTGTAAGGAAGCACATGTTTGGATGAACTTGCTCGAAGATCATTATTGCTTCAGGATAACTATGTAGAATAATATTAATCATAAACACACACAAAAAAATTATTTGAGTTGTGATTTTTTTTGTTTCCCGTACAGGAAATTTTACTCAACTCAGATCATTCTAAGTTGAAATCTAGTAATGATTTCACACCCATAACAATTAATATAATTCTAGTATGTACTGTAATTATTTCATATCCATAACACAACTAACATAAATCTAATAACATGACACAACTAATATACAGGGTAATTATACTTGACAGAACCAAAGACAAGCAGAGATCAAAAGTTAGATATAGATGAGCAGGAGGTGATTGAAATATTGCTGGCTGGGTTGAAGGACATGAAGAATCTTGTATGTCACAGCATTCCTCGCCAACCTCTCCTGCTTTCTCTGGCTCACTACCTTGATGAGCAATACCAGTACCTACCTGCCACTTTCACACAATTTCAGTAAGTTATGTTTAGTCTTTGTATAATCTCTTAAGAAACTGTTCAACAAAAATTTTGTTAAATGTGATAAAATGGAAATAACTGACAGAAACATTGTGTCTTAGGTTTACAGAAAATAAAGCCATAGTTTTTTGGTTTTACTGGTTAACATTGGTTTGGCACCACTACTGGTGTGGACAAAATGTCCAAGAGATATTAACTTCAAATTTTCCGGGTTTGGAACCTGGGAAATTTCTCCACACCATCCATGTTGTTTGCTGAACTGCCACTTTTGTTTTCATGTTACCGGTCTGCCATGTTCCCCTCAACACATTTTATTTGCAATTATGATCTCCCATTTAACCCCAACTACAGTATGTCTGCAAAGAAAGGAACAAGTGTTAGTTATGGATCATTCCTTAGCATTACAAGAGAAGGTAAAGCTTTTGAAAAACTTGATAGTGATGTTTTGGTACGAAGCCTGTGTAATATATATGGTGGGGGTTCGTCCACAATACAGAACAGGTATAAGACATAAAGAAATGGAAAGAAAAGATATTTTTTACCTTTAAGTGTTCATTATAGGATTAAGGGCCGTATTCAAGACTGTGGAACAGAGGGCATCCCTAAAAGGAATCACTCTGGTAGGGAATGCCTACACCATCAGTGTAGTGTGTATTCTTGATAGCTCAAACTGTGCTTCTTTCTCCAGGACTGCCAACAGGGACAGTCTTTTTGACATTTGGTATGCTTCTATCTCCATTATTATCAATTAGCACAAGAAATGCCAGAATTTTGTTTTATTCAGAATGAAATTCTAAATAAGAAAAACCTATTGTCATTCTTACTTAATGGTTTTCTGAAAACTTTAAATACTTTAGTTATCTGGTAAAACTTTGAAATGGGTGTGTGGGTTAACCCCTTGTGTGCGGTGTCGCCTCCGAGTTGAAAATTTTTTTTTGCCATTGGCCAAATACAATATTAAAAGTGATATCCCCATAGTGAAGGGGTTAAAGAGCAATATTATGAAACTATTCAGTAGAGGAAAATTCTTCCTTTTCTCATAAACATTCCAAACATTGTGGAGGACTAAATTTTTACTAAACAAAACCTAACAACTCACATACCGTATATCAGGATGCTTATTGAACCTAACTTAACATCTCAGCTACATAGCCTCCAGTCTTCCCAGCTGGTAATTCCTGGCTAAGTAACCACTTTCAATTCAATTAATTGGTGTAGGTCATCCATCTTGGTGAATAAGATAAATTTTGGTTCATCATTTTGGAGTTTTGGAAGCTGACAGCCTCAGCATACAGAAATTGCTCTTCAAGTAGCAGATGGTTATCTGAATGTTTCGGTAGAAGAGTTAAAAATTAAAATGCTCTGATAAATAATGTACAGTACAGTAATCTCCCTATTAGCCGGAATCTTCGATTCCTGGAACTTCCATTACCCAGAATCTCTCTGTCCCTGGCATTTGAAAGAATTTCCGAGTGATTGCATCATGCTTCGATGCATGGATGTGTGTTGGTCATGTGTTGGGCTGCTTGGGTAACTTAGGACATAGGCTCACGCACTGTGATTGGTTACTAGTACAGTCAGTTCTGCTATAACGCGATAGTTGTGTTCTTGTAAAACATCGTGTTATAGAAATTCGTGTAATAGAAATAACAGGGCTTATGGAGAAAATAGGGTGAGGTGCAGATTACTACTCGAAATCGAAAAAAATTTAGTAGTTAGCCTAACACAAAGGATAGCACAGTCTAAATAAATGTTACATTCATATCTAATAATGAAATCATACAGTAAATGTAACACTTAACCTTGAAAAAATACGAATATAACTTGATGGGGGAGAAGGGTGATTTTGAGGTAGATAACATCGAGCTTCTCTTCAAGGGTTATAGCCTTTCTTTTACGATCATCACTGGGAATGCGATCACCAGAGCGCTTCTTGCAGATATTCTTCTTTACCATATTCACAGTTAATACCACAAAATTGGAGAAATAGTAAGCAAAAATCACGCTACAGCAAACAAGCGTTCACGTTATACAAATATCGTTCCTCTATTCATAAATCGCGTTAGAGCCAATTCGCGTTGTCAAAACACGCGTTATAACAGAACTCACTGTACTGTCATATTACTGCATGGGATATGTTAACATTTATTTACAGTTAGTTTGACTCTTATCCTTATTAGTGGGAGGGCAAAATCCTTGGTCCAGCATACTGCTTGTCCCAATGATGCCAGAAAATTGGTTGTAAATCTGTACCGTAATGAGATCTAAGTACAGTACTGTATTTGTGTTATGTGTTTTGCAGAGTGTGGCATCTTTTAGTCCAACTCCACAATGCTCAACATGAGACTGCCCAGGAGGATGATGAAGGACCTTTTGGAGTGGACCTTGATGGCCTGTGGCAGCATCATACCAGTCCATTAGTGGCTTATGGCCTTCATGCTGTACCTCTTCCAGGATGGCAGTCGGTACTTAAAAGTTTATTTTCTTTCTCACTTTTCTATTCCTATTTGTTCCCAATGATAAACTGCCAATAGTCATAAGGTAATTTCTTCAAGAAGCATACTAATAAGTTAAAATTTTCTGTAAGAATTTAATTTTCAAGGTTAATCTGCAACGTATATATTGGAAATTATTTTACATCTGCATGAAAATTTAGGCACCTATAGTTTAGCCTATTTGAATATGCTAAAACTGTGGACATTAAGGATTTTCCAGCTGATTTAAATAATCAGTACATTATTCTGGATGTCTTTTATTTACTATTGGTAATTTGCTGTACATGTAGTATTAGCTAGACTTTGTAATCAGTTATTTTAACAAGTTTATTCTTATGCCTTTTGGTAATCATTGGACAATGTATGAATACTGTATACATTACCGGTACCCTGTATACATCATACAGGTATCCCTTGTTATCCGATTGGGTTGGGTTCCTTGAAAGCCATTTGGATATTGGATATATGGATAGCAAATAATAAAATGTATGGATCAGATCCACCCCCCCCCCCGCAATATATATATATATATGCAAGTAAATCACTGTGGGTGCGCGTGATCCAGGTATATGCTGATAACCACAAGGAAAGAAGAAAACACGAAGTTCCCAAGCTCTTTCGTGTAATTCACATCTTCAGGGGTGAGCACAGACTAAGGAGAAGTACAAAACAAGGTATATATATACAGAGGAGGGTGAGATCAAGTCCACAATGGTCAGGTATTAGGTACCGGGTAATGACCCTACTAATCTTCAAAAAGCCCCGCAGCAGTTGGTAGTCAGGTCAGAGGGTAAGCTGACCCAACCTTCTCACCTGGTTACAAATCTTCTTAATTACAAAATTATCCAGAGTCAAACAGTCAGTATTTTCATCAATGTTTTTACGTGCTTCAAGTTGTGAAGATAAGCAAAGTGCTTTAAACTCACAAACCACCTAGAACTGGCCTTAAATCATTCACAGTGGTTGGCTGCTGAGGTCCCAGTGTTCTAAGCCATTTAACTGCTGAGTCTGTCTAGGTTAATGAGGCCTGAACATTTATATTATAGAGGGTTTTTGGTAACGAAACCCAATTGTCTGTTATCCTTTTATATAGGAACTATTGAGGATACAGTTCCAAAGTGTAGATCACCGTAACTTATCACTGTAAGTATATAATTCAAATGTAATTAACCCATTTATATAATACACCAGTTCCATACTGCAGTGTTCCCACAAAGACATTTTCTCCTTCATGATGATAAAGGTGGACAGAGGGGTGCCACATAACATCTGGTCTTCTATCCACAGCTGGAGAAGATGCTCCATGTTTTTCTTCACAATCATGGGATCACATAACCTGCATGCTCCTGACCACATGATGTTCTTTGCTGCATGCTTCACCTCCTCAGCATGCTTGAATACCATGGCAATGGCAGAAGCAGACACACCTAGTTCTCCCAATCTTAGTTGGGCCTCTCCTGTGTTCATGATATTTTATGATCTCAAACTTGGTTTCAAGAGTCACAGGCTTGCAACTTCTCTTGGCAGTGGTGGGGGGGTAGCAGAGGAATCAGTACTATGCTTGGATGTCATTGTGTACAGATATACAAAGGGATGGCATGAATACACACAGATAAAGAGAGAGCACTTCACTTGCACTGAACAATGAGCGAATGGGACTTTTGGGAGGGGAGTGGGGGTGATGTCATGCATGCACCTTGAGCAAGAGTACATTCCTGTGTATCTAAGAGCCAAAATGGCTAACCCCAGCTGACTCCCAGGCCATGTCAGGTGCACAATTTTAATTTTTGATCAGACCAACACTTGGATAAGCAAATATTGCCTTTGAATAATGAACTAGAGATGTAAGAATAGAATATCCAAATTGCAAATTTTCGGATAGCGTGAGATAGCTACTGTATATTTATATAACTGACATTATATCCAAATTGGAATTTTTATTTTTATTTGATTCTTAAAAAATAAAAAAAATAATAACTATAATTTCTGTCCCCCAGATATGTGATTGGAGTATGGAAGAATTAGATATACTAGTCAAGACAAGTGTTGAGTGGCAGTTAGACTCATCAAATGACAAGTCTATGGATGAGGTAAGCTGTGAGGCACTACAAGCTGAGGATTACACCAAGACAGCTGTACAGTGCCGGGATCAGTGGCAGTATATGGTAAATACCATCAAACATGGTGGATACCAACAGTATAAACACCAGATAGGTATTTTGTACTTACTCCAAAATCAAAATCAAAATTCTCTCAAGAGGAAAGGACTCGAAAATACTTCATGTAAACGAAGAAAAGGTGAGAAACAAAGTTGTCCATTAGATTCTGGCAATGTGAATTCAAATAAAGACAATTTTGCTTCTCAACACTCAAGCCAAATGATGTGCGATAATTTTTCTCCAAAAGAAGGAAAACTAAGAAGAATCACTTCAGCAACTAATAAGGAGACACCAAAATATGCTGATGTCCAAGTAGGGAAGAGCAATCATCAGTACACTGACACTGCTAAAAGCAATAAAATTCGAGTAAAAGTCTTGAGTATCGTGGAAAAAGAAAATTCTAAAGTAATAGAGTGTCAGGCACAGGATGTCAAGCCTGACAGAATTATAAAACTTCACTATCCTGTCACACATCCGATACCTGCTAACATTAAATATATTAATATCCCAAAGATGCTGGTTTATCCCTCTTACACAACACAAGTTCCTCAAGGCTTGCCCCCAGTAAGAATTAGAGATAATAGTAATGTATCGTGTAAGAGCAATTCAGCATTAAATGTAAAAAAACCATGTAATACACTTGCAAAAAGTATTAAGGAAAAGCTCCATATAAAAATACTACACAGACTTGAAGATACTTATAAGAAACCACAAAATATGAGAATTGAATCCTTTGGACCAGTGAAAAAGAATAAGAGAATATTATCTCTGCCTCAGTTGACAAGTAAGAAGGATTCTTCCAAGACAAAACTGAAAATGCTTCGAAGAAGATCTCAGTTACAATTAAAGAAGTCAAGAAAGCTATCACAACTGTTAATTAGAACAAGTCAAAGTGAATCTCCCCAGGGACAGTCAAAATTTTTTACAAAATCTCACCCAAATCTGATAAAGAAGAGACAACAAGAAGCTTCAAATGTATCATTCAGAAAGTTAAACAATTCTAAGATAGAAATAAAAAAATCAAGAAATTGTTCTCAGTTACGACCTAAAACTGAACAAAACCCTTCATTTCAATTACCAACTAAAAATGGATCAAAAGAATCTTGTTTTAAACTATTAAAAGAATCCCATCACCGTGTTAATAATTCACGAAAACGTTGTCATAATGCCGAGTCATTTCTTGATATCTCAGAGAATACAGATGTGGACTGTCTTGTAAGTACTGCAATAAATATGGAAGTTACGGAAAAGAAGAGAGAGAAGGAAGAGGATAAGGGGACAGTAAATAAACCCAAGAAGATAGAAGAGAGGAAGAGAGACCGGCATGAAGAGATGGATGGACCAAGAAGAGATGCAATGAATATTTTAAACCAGTACCATCTCCAGTATGACCAACAAGAAAAACTTCTTGGTATCATACAAGACAACAGCCAGGAGGAGAAATTTGTCTTCAGTCAAGTCATCTCTCTTATTGAAGAAATACATTCTCATTTTGTTTTGTAAGCTATATTTTCATTGTATAAAGGATTGCATTGTGCAGAATCTTTTGTAAATATTTTTTAGTACACTTTACATCTGGATATTATTGTATATTAACTCTTGAATATACATACAATCAAAGAACTTTAACTGAATAAACACAAGTACAAAATTAGGTAATGAAAAGAAGCTTATATGTATGAAAAGAAAAACCAAATAGAATATTCATCTAATAAAAACAGTGCTTCCAATGGTGTACAGGTATGGGACCATTTATCTGGCATGCTTGGGGCCTGTGGGCTACTGGGTAGTTGTTTTTTCTTCAGAATTTAGAGCCAGGCCTAAAATGTAATAAATGTACAATAAAACCTCTGTAACTGCCTGTGAGGACTCTGTTCAGATCAATAGCTTCACCCTAAAAGTGACTTTGAACTGTACACTTGTAACATTAAAACATAAAATTGTAGATTATGTACTTGGGGATGCTGGCCACCTCGATGCTCACCTTAGCAACCAGCCTGGCTGGATTCCTTAGCAATGTTGCTCTATGCCAGGGGTGGGCAAAGTGCAGCCCGCGGGCCACATTTGGCCCGCCAAATTATTTCTGTGGCCCGCCACTGCATTTGGCAACCAGAAAAAAAAATTTCTTATTAATTACAGAAAGGACAATTTTGGAAGTTGGGTGGACATAGCAGCAATACTGGCTCGTCGCTGTTAACCTGTGGCGCGCGAAGTGTGCCACCATTCATGAAGTGGCCCTCCATCAAAAATAATTGCCCACCCCTGCTCTATGCTGTTGACCCTTTGACCTCCAACACTGGCCATATGGCTTTACAGTGAAATCCCACACATATATAAAACTGCAGTATACCTAAGAAAATGATTTCCTTTTTGCACATTCTGTATGCTTGTACCTGAGTAAATAGGTAAAGAAAATTACATGTATCTATTCAAAATTATGAGTTGAAAATACTACATACCTTGTAATAATTATTTCATTTTTTCTACGTTCTGTATGTAGGTCTTTGTGCTTAACCGAGAAAATAAATAGAAAGTTATACAACTGAATATTTACTGTACAGTATTTGAAATTACAAGTTGAAAAATAATCATTACTAATATAGTGTACCTCACAGGTGGAGAGTGGTTAGAAATTTCTCTGCTCGGCCCAGGAAATACTTGGTGCTCTTACAGTACTTTTATACTGTAGCTGGTTTTTGTAGTGTTCAGGATACCAGGACGCCAGATAAACAGTCCCACACATATACAGTATTTTATCCATTTTAATAAGTTGTTGAGAAGCAGAGACTTTGAAACATGAATAATAAAGAAATTAAATATATATGCAAGTTTGATATTTCCTGAGGTGAGAGTTGCTTTAAGTTGGCCAGAGCACTGGTTGTCAACTAACTGGTAGTGGCTCCTTACATGTATGAGATCAGTTTATCTGTTATTTGTAGTAAAGGCAGAGGGGCTGTGTAACTAGTAGGGTTCCCCAGGGATTAGTACTGGGTCCACTCTTGTCATAATCTACATAAATGATCTAGATACTGGGATCAGCAGTGACATAAGCAAGTTTGCAGATGACACCAAAATAGGGCAGCAGATTAATTCAGGGCATGATGCAAATGCACTACAGGAGAATTTAAATAAATTGCAGGAATGGTCAGAAAAATGGCAAATGATATTCAACACCAGCAAGTGCAGCGTACTTAATATTGGAAGAACAAATACTGTCAATGTATACAGCCTTAACAAAATCAATCGAGAGAAGTTGACTTGTGAAAGAGACTTAGGGTTACTTGTAAGCCCGGACCTTCGGCCTAGAAAACAGTGCGTTAATGTTCAAAATAAGGCAAACAGAGTACAGTATTAAGTTTTATATCTAGAAGTGTAAGTATAATAAGAATGTGGAGGTCACATTGCAATTATATCTTGCGTTAGTCAGCTGCATCTCGATTATGCTGTTCAGTTCTGGTGCCCTTATTATAGAATGGATATCAATTCACTGGAGTCGGTGCAGCGAAGAATGACGAATATGATTCCGGGACTTAGAAACCTTCCATATCAAGAAAGATTAAAGAAGCTAAACTTGCATTCCCTAGAAAGACGAAGAGTGCGGGGAGATATGATAGAAGTATTTAAGTGAGTGAAAGGACTCAATAAAGGAGATATATAGATAAAGTTCTTATAATATCCGAGCAGGATAGGACTTGTAGCAACAGATTTAAGTTGGATAAGTTTTGGTTTAGGAGGGAGAAGGAAGAAACTGGCTGGAAAGTTTTAAAAGGAGGCAAGATAGATTCATGAACGATAGCGAGTGGTAGTAACTCTCGACAGGAGCTGCCATGCACAGGCCAACCGGCCTATTGCAGACTCCTTATTTTCTTATGTTCTTATTTAAAGATATGTGAAATATATTTTAATATATAACTTATGACAAATTTTCTCTTATGCTTGTATAGGGTGTTGTGCTTAAATGGAACCGGAACTGGTTTAGAATTAGTAAGGATCAGGAAATAAAGAGTATTTATTTATTTTTTAACATTTTCAAATTTTCTAACCTTACTCTAACACCCAGTATAAACAAATAAACTGACTTATTTCCTAATCTAAACAACACCCAGTATAAACAAATTAATCCTCTATTTCCTAATGCTAACCCAACCAGTTTGGTTTCATTTATATGGCACACCCTAGAAAAGTTGGTGAATGACATTAACCCCTGTGCTTCGGGCTATGGTCGGCACCCCACCCCTACCACACGGGTGTATTAGGGAACATTTATAAAACAAATAATATGCAAATCTAATCGTGCAAACTGGTCATGCTTGATATAAACAGGAAATAAATTAACGTCCGGCTCTTGTATTAACAAACAACATTACAAAACCTATTAATTAACTTATTATATTAACAATAACATTGGGCAAAGCTTTAAGATGTATATAAAATGCTAGATATGCCTCTTTAAGTACTCATGACATAACACTAGCTGGTACTGACCTGCGCATATAAGATGCTGGGCGTCATTGATGGCGATGGCCAGCGTCTCACGCCGACTAGGCCTACAGGTGCTAATGCTTACAAATCACCATATCTTTATTCTGGCCCCCACACATACACTTTCTTCTATATAGTTACTTTATGCCTTATTCTGTATGTATGCTACATTCCCCCACACTTTGCAATTGTTTAACATGTTCAAAAAATTCACAAACCATTACACTGTTCGTCACATGGGGTAACTATGTGTATTAAGCTCACACCAAGGTACATAAGATATTTTTCTTGGAGTATAGTTTATGGGTCACTTCCAACACTTCACTTATGTCTGATACATTCATCCTTTTCCCAAATCATTGTTCTCATATATTTTCATCTGATACCTTAGGTAACCATGTTTACTAATCGTACACAGACGTAAATACCATGACCTTCAGACACGGTCACACTTATCCATTATAATCACTAGTCCGTATCAATTGAGCACTTCCTAATCAACTTATAGGTACCTTGAGTTCTCCGTTAATACTATCAGTATACTGTACATACTTAAGATTTTATGCATGGACACTGGTATGATTCGTATAAAACAACATACAGCATATGAATTACCCCTTCCAAATGTTTATGTTTTCTGTGGCGCTACCCACTAGCATGGTGAGTTTGAACGTTATGTACAGTCGGAAACCATAATCTCTAGCCCACCTGGGTCGGTGCTGGAGGTTAGTACAGCGTCCTTTCTGGATGGGGACCCACTCTAACTATCAAGAGGACTGTGTGTTCGTGTGTGTGTTACCTCGTGATAGTTAGAGTGGGCCCCCCATCCAGAAAGGACGCTGTACTGTACTAACCTCCAGCACCGACCCAACTGGGCGAGAGATTATGGTTTCCGACTGTAACTGCAATATGAATCAAAAGAGAATATAGAGACCAATACTAATGTACACAGTAGAATGTGACGTGACCCGAAACTTTATGGAATAACATCAGGTGTGATAGAATGGTATTTGGGAGAAAGTAGTTTGACTGTGTTAAAATATTATTTAGGATGTTTCAATTGCTGGTAGCCCCAGCTCAAGGAAGAGAGAAAGGAAGAAAATTGAACTCCCCTTAAAACCTATTATTTTCTTCGTGGCATCCAATTGAGGTGCGACATCATAAAGAATGTTTTGGTATTACTGTAGAAGGTGTCCCTTACATTTTATAAAATCTTATAATTTGTAAGGGCAAAATAAGCCATAATTCTGAAAGTTGTTACTGAAGTTGAAAGTTGTAGCCAAAGGATATAAACTTACCTGTGAATAGTGAGGTGTAGCAAACAAATGATGGTGTGAAAAAAAAAAGTATTAATGTAAATTTAATGGAAAAGTATCATCAGATAACACACTGGGTGGGAACTGTTATTTAAAAGTCCCTTTCTTCATCAATGATATGCTTGAGGGCAAACTTGAAGAGCTGTGTATTAGCTGCCTGAAGTTGGTTGATACTGCTCTGATGATCATTACTGAGCTCTGACATTCCCTCTCCTCCTGTATTTTGTAGGGCACTGAAGAAAGGGTGGATTAATAAATAAAAGCTAAAATTATTCCCTAATGGCCAATAAGCATTATTAATTTTTCTACTAATTTACATACCTATAAACCAACCAAAGAAACAGGAGACAACCTTAAAGATAAAATTTTATACAGGAATACCTTGATATTTGCAACTGACATTTTAACACTCCTGTTTGATATTGGCACACACAAAAAAATAAAAATAAAAATACAGTACCCTACAGTAATACAGTATTTCAAACCAGGCAGGTTAGCTATAGCTATCATATTCCACTGTAAAGCCTGCTTCACATAAGCATGTTTTTTCCGCACATGAGGACCTGCACGGTTCAGAAATTAATGAAGTTCAATGGGACTATTCACAAGAAGCACGCACACGAAAATTCATGCGACAGATATCCTCACCCTTCTCTTGTACCTGTACTTTCAAACCGCGGTGTGGGGTAAAAAGAAAAGAAAAAAGGCTGAGCATTCTAGAATTCTTCATATGGTAATGGTAAATGCTAGTTTAAATGTTTACTCTAATTTACAGATGTTGTACACACACACACACACTCACAGTGTTCTTTTGTATTGTTTTTATGGTATTGTAGTTATTTTAATGCATAATGTGGAGTGTACCTGAACATCGAAAAATATGTTGCTATTAAATATGAAGAGCATGGGTGTGTATTTGTGGACTTGGCATGTCACCAATTTACATCATACATTTGTGACTGGCATTTACTGAGATCAATACAAAAAGTCATCAAAAACATGCATGCACATACAAACTTTTCAAATCACAGTGGAAAAGGTAAGCACCAAAAATATGAAAGATGGGAACTTGATGAAAAAGGAACACAGGGTGGATGATATGTATACAGGTATGAAAGTGAATTTACAGAACAATAAACTAAGTGTTTATTGAATGAGAGAGTTCAAGATATGACAATTCACAAAATTTTGCAACGTAACCAGGATACAGCTCCCCCCCGACTTATGACGGGGTTAGGGACCCAAATCCAGGTCGTAAGTCGAAAATGATTAAATAATACATAGAAAATCTAAAATGGGTCTCTTTTTCTTCTCAGCACCACTAAACTCTCACTTTTAAGCTTGCCAGCCATTTTAAAGTGAATTACAAACGAAAATTTTGTCAGTACACAGAGCAATCACTGACGTTGGGACTCGAAAATACGTAATTTGCAAAATTTTGGTACGACTGAGGCGGTCGTATGTCCGGGTGGTCATAAGTCGAGTAGGTCGTAAGTCGGGGAGGAGCTGTACTACCAATGAGTGCCACAATATGTTGCAAAGGAGTGCCACAATATGTTGCAAAGTGATCAAGGAACTGTACTACTTTTCTTGGGAGGAAAAAAAAAAAAAAAACACTTTCTGGTTTACTAACTGATGCATTAAATTTATACTGAAAATATGGCATTCTTAAGATATCGATAGCAGGTGTCCTCACCTTAATCCTGATGAAAAATTAAACAAATCAAATTGTTGGTGATGCTCCTTTCCCCGTCCTCGAATTGGTACAATTATGGGTGCATCTAATGGGGAAGAATGGTCTTGACTGAATGGGGCAATAATCTCCTTTGAGTCTACTTCTGTAGCTGTTAGAGCCTGTTGAAGAATATGCCACAATAGCATTAGATAATAAACACATGAAACACAGAAGGAAAGTATTGTACTTATAAGGACAAAATAATATAATGAAGAAAAAAGAGAAAATGCAAGTAACTGATATCATATTTCTGATGATACACTTATGAATTTTATCTAAAAATGCAGTACAAAAAAAAAATATCTAAATACTAAAGAAAAAACAATGTTATTAAGACTGATTATGTAACTAACCTCTCTATGAATGTGCAACAAGGACAAGTTAGTGATGGGCCCACGGCCATTATGGACTACCCTCTGTAAAGCCAAGTGTGGATCATGAGCTTTGGTATTTCCAATAAATCCTGCAGCCTTATTGATGACAGACCACACCTTAACTTCACCGTCATCTCCCCCAGAGACAATACGATTACCAGAGGCTGTAACAGCTAAACATCGCACAGGTTTTGGGTGGCATTCAACTCCCTTACTACTCACCTGAAAATACAAGAAATAATATCTTAATTCAATCATATGATATTTCATTAATTACTTGGGTTAAAATAATTGGACAATGATAAATATACAGTAGAATAAATTACCCAAACATTTGTCATTGTTTAATCATATTCTTGCCATCATGAACATAAGTGCACTCACATTTCCATTTCATACACTAAGATTACTGTACTGAGGTTATAATGCAGTCCTGATGCAAATGCTTTAAAAACATTTAAGGTAATATAGGTTTTCCATTACTTAACACTTAATAAAGTTGACCTCATTAATGACTACTGTACACAAACGATCCACAGAAGTAGTTTACATATATGAACTAACACTTGCCCCTCCCTCACACTAATCTTCCCCAAAGGAAAGGGCAGGTGTTTCTGCTCCTCCCTCACACTAGTTCTTAAATTCCACCACATTTCAGAACCACCATGGAAATTTTTACACTCCCATCAACAGGTGTTACAGGTTGACAATCCTTTGCCCAAGTGGAAGAATGACAGATCTAGAAATGCCTGCAAAAGAAAATACCACATGTGGAAGAAATACTGAGCACAGGGCATTAAGCAGATTACATAGTATCCCTGTATGTGTATACAAAAGTCTTAAATGTGGCCAGTCGGGAAATTAGATCAGCCAAACAGCACTTTAAGATGAAACTAGCCCAAAATATTAATGAAGATTCCAAGTCCTTTTATACATATGCCAGGAGTAAAATCAAAAGCAAGGATACTGTCGGCCCTCTAAAGGACAAAAACAATGTGGCTCTGGAGGATAACAGACAAACAGCTAATACCTGTACCTTAAATGAATACTTTGCATCAGTATTCATGCAAGAGATGATGGATAACATGCCAATACCTAAGAGTATGTATACCTCAGGGGTGGAATTAAATTAAGAGACACTTAAATCCCAGGTGACGTAAGACCCGCTGAACCCCCACACGGGTATATTTCTGGGCTTATTCCACTCTATATAAATGATGTCGTTTAGAAATAAAGAAAATTATAGTATAAAACTATTAAATAAGAAAAATGAAGAGCATGGGTGTGTATGTGTCGGAAGTGAACGGGTGTGTAGGTGATGGCTAAGTGCATGGCTAACTCACCAGTCAGGCTGCTGCGTTTAGTATTACATTACTTGTAATGAAACTATAAAAGTTGTGGGAAAAATCATTATAATACTGTACTCTGATGTGGGATAGAAATATGGAAACTATTACATAAAATTATAAAATAAGAAAAAAGAAGAGCTATAGGGGAAGACTGAGCACAGTCTTATCAACACATCACAACAAGGTTTCATGGAAAGAAAGTCCTGCCTGAAAAACTTACATGGATCAAGGCTTACCAGTGGATGTGTTGCTTTGTACATGGATTTCTCCAAGGAGTTTGACAACATCCCACATGCATGACTAGCTTCTAAGATCCAGGCACATGGCATCACAGGCAAGATTTTTATGTAGATTAACAACTGATTTAAAGACAGGCAACAAAGAGTGGTAATAAATGGAATATATTCTGAATGGAAAAAGATTTTAGTAGAGTAGTACAAGAGCCACATTATCAAGTTTGCAGATGACATAAAGAAGTTTGGGAAGATAGCAAGTCAAGACGATGTTGCAACAATGCAGAAAGACCTGCATGAACTGTTCAAATGGTCTCGAGACTGACAAATGCTCTTAAACATTACAAAATGCAAGACTCTACCCATGGGATACAACAACCGTAATCACAATCATTCTGTTAATAACGCCTTCCTGGATACTGTCAATAAGAAAGATATAGGCATTGTGATAGATCATTCACTGAAAGCAGCACAACAAGTGAGAGCAGCAATGAGAAAAGCAAACTGAGATTTGGGAATTATAAAGTGCCTTTACTTGAATACAAAGAAAGGAAAATGCTCCTTCAACTGTACAAATTTCACTTATGGATTACTGTAAACAGGCATGGAAACCCTACTTCCACAAAGACCTAACATCCCTAGAAAGGGTGCAAAACAGAGTGACTAAGATGATTCCGGAACTATGTCATCTCGATTACCCAAGTAGAATGAGACACTCAAGACTAACAACCCTTCAGAGAAGAAACAATTGGGCAGATCTCATTGAAACTTTCAAAATCCTGAAAGGGATGGAAAACTTGAACCATCTATTTGTGACATCATGCACGAATACCTCGAGGGGACATAATTACAGACTTGCCAAGTTATCATGCAGAATGAACATAAGGAAATATTTCTTCACACAGAGGGTGGTAGACCAATGGAATGGTCTACTAGCCCAAGCTGTGGAATCAAGAACAGTACTTGGCTTCAAAATAGCCCTTGACAAAGTAATCAAGAATAATGGAGGGATCCTACAAAAGCTATTGGCCCCGTTCCCTCAGCTTGACCACCTTTAGTGGATAGCTATAAGGTAAATAAGACAAATAGGGTATCGGCTACTAATTTTGACATTTTCACAATAAAATAAAAGCCCAAAAGCACAAAATAAACAAAAATACTGAATATGAATAAGGCTAGTGTGTCTGGCTGCAAACAGCATTGACAAACAATGGTCGGGTGCATTTGGCTTCAGTTCAAGTTAGGTGGGTGACCAACTTCACTTGGCGAGTTTACCTGCACCTTCAAGAATTTTCTTAGGTTTTCAGAATTTTATGGTTTGGGGAATTTCGGATAAAGGACCTGTATAGCACCAATTGTATATTGTACTAAAATGCACAATTAAACAATCCTGGGACTGAATTACTTTTTCAATTTACAAGACAGGTATACGATGTAATTATTATGAAGATCATCACACAACCTGGTACAGTCTATCAATGTGCATTAAATTAAATTATTATACTCTATACAGTACGTGTGTTAAAGTTTTTATAAATTTTTATGTACAAATACAGGTATACTGTACATGCAGTATTTGGCAGATAGATGGGACTACAGTAATCTCAATATTCCATCACAAGAATTGCAAAATATTGTACTAAGATTTTACTGTATTAAGACACATATTAATGTTAATCAACTGCTACTCAAATTGGCCTCTGTCCTAGTAGGCCCATGATTAGGTTAAGTTAGATTAGTGTTTATTAGGAATTGAGTCAATAAAGCCAGTCACCTGTTTATCTACGAAGGAAAAACCAACTTCTTATGCTTTAGCTCCACTTACTTGAACATCCCCATGAGGAGGAGCTGGTAACAGGTTCACTACATTAACAGTACCATCAGAGTGACCCAAAAATATTTGTGATCCTAAGCTGTTACAAGCCACAGTGGTTACATCACTAGCAGTAACAAGGTTGTACATGGAACGTCCAGTCAACAAATCAAACAGTCGAGCAGTATGATCCAATGATGATGACACCAGGAATCCCTTCATGCCTGATAATGGCATGGCCAGGCCTGTTACCTATAAAGACCAAGAGTACATAACATGATTAGATAGAGGAACTACATGAAGCTGATGGCAAAACACTGTAATAATTATTTACAATAGGTACAAAGTTCAAATTACAATTCAAGTAACTTATGCCCTTGTGATCATAGTACAGGTTGCAATATTCTTAAGACTGAAAATCAGTTTTTCCAACATGGCTATGAAAAATTCAAATTTCTTAAAAAATAAAAAAATTACTCTAAATCAGTAATCCCTTCATAGTACAGACCCCCTCAAGAATTACATAAAACCTTTTCAACTTTTATAACAATTTGTGAGATTTACCTTATCAGAATGTTGACCAAGGATGAAATGTGGTTGCACCTGAGGAGCATCATGTTTATGCAAGGCTTCAATAAAGCTGGCCAAGCTCCAAAGATAGACAAACCCATCCTCTCCTCCAGAGGCAAAGTAGTTACCACATGGAGTAAATATCAGTTGGGTGATTGGCTGATAATGACGGGTGGAAACCCCAATCAGGCGACCAGATAATAACTTGTATACGTACAATTTTTCCTTAATACCTGAAACAAATATAATCACAATAAAAAATTCAAACTACACATATTTTTATCCATTTTCATGATTTAAGTCATGAAAATGTTAGCAATACAAATACATATCTGTACTAAGTGGTTTATTGGATATATGAGTATGGCTTGTTGAGAAACAGATGGAAAGTAAACAGGTATACTACTTGTATATCAATGACTGAAAAAATTTTCTTTTGAAAATGAAGCAAGATGTACAGGCACAGCCACAAGTCCTGTGCCAGGAAGTTTTGGCTAACTCAGTTATGTGGCAACATCAGACACACACACATGACGTATGTGAACAATCCATTATATGGCGTCTCTATGAACTACACAAATTACTGACGATCAATAGTAAAATGGTAGAGTGTATTTTATACTGTATTACTTTTAACAACATTACCAGTGATATTGGTCACTGTCAGTCAGTAGCTAAAACACAATGCCTCAATCACTTTTGTTTACCTCACCACACTTATGAGTTTTAATGTAATACAGTACTTGTAACCATGTAAAGCAACCGTGCTGCCATGCATAAAGAAAGGACATGAAATGTTTGTGGTGAACATTTACCGTTTCATGTCATATTACATATAAGTATGATGATAGGAATATAAAATGTTATGTCTTAGAAGAAATAAATTACTTATATGTTACAAACACACTTTTAATAAAAAAAGATCACACATTGTGTCTGCTAGACACCTGAATAATGGGAACAAGCCAATTTAGAGCGCATCTATATGCTCCACCACTTATCGGTGATATTACTCTTATGTGAGTACGGGTAGGACAGATATTATATAAAACTATATTCATACAAGAGAGGTTCATAATGGAGACTGGTGGTGGTCGGTATACAGGGGCAGATCCAGTAATATCAAAAGAGGGGGTCCAAGAAGTTGTGGGTGGGGAAACATGGTGAACCCACCCAGCTGAGGGGATGTTGGAGGGCAATGTAAGCACCCCGAGAATTTTTTTTTAAATGTAACCAATATCATGGGCATTTTGAGGCCATTTTGAAGCCATGTGCACTTGACATTAGGAGATATTGTGAGGTAAATAATAATTACTTTTTGCGATACAAAAATGCCAGAGTACAATACTGCATTAAATAAAAATTTATTCTAATTTTCTCATGAAAAGGGGCGTCTGTACCCCCAGGACCCCCATGGTACATTATCCCTCTTCTATTAGTTTTACTGAAGTTATTAATAGTTTATTGTACAGTAATATGGAAATAACAATTCTAGGGACAATTAATGCCATTCACTTCAACCTTTAGCTTATCTGAGGTTGTAACGTGGTCATACAGCATCTGGTCAGTCATCCACCAACTGCTGTACAACCATGGGAGACCAACACTATAATATCTCCAAGAGAGGGATATTCATCTGCATGCGTAATGCCAGGTTAAGTATCAACAATATCGCAAGGCAGATTGGAATCTCGAGATCGACAATGCGGTGTTGGTACAGCGCTTTGAAGTATCTGGTAATTTAACAGATCTTCCCAGATCAGGACGGCCTAGAATGAGCAGAGTAGCAGACGATGCGAGGATTGTGGCAAACATTCACGACCATCCTTTCACCAATGCGGTGGGCATGGCGGAGTGGCTGCCCTTGGAGGTCTCGGCTAGGACAGTTAGCCAATGACTCCATGGAATTGGGATCCACCACTGGGTCTCTCTCCTGTCAATGAAAGGCTAGAGCAACACCAGGTTAGAGGACTGATCATTATATGGGAGGAGGACATAGACTTCTGAGCAACCACTGCCGTTCTCAGTGCTGGAGACCTGATAACACCCATTACGACCAGCAGTATGTTTATCAAGAAGCCAGGAGTGGTCACATGACCGTAAACATGTGGGGCTAGATCAACCTTAACAGCATGGGCGAGTTGGAGGAGATAATATGTTTTTTCCTTCTACTGTATTTGTGTTTTAAATATAAAGATGTACTGTATACATTTTCCTTAGAGGTAACATGTTTTCTTCCTATCCTCTTGGGAAACATCTTTATTTCACAAAATATTTAATACTCAACTCGACTTAAAGTGATGTAACATAGTTACTCGAACCAATGTTACCAATTGGAACGTAGTGCACACTCCCAAAGAAAGCAACGCTTCAGCGGTATGTATGTGTGTGTCCGTCAGTCAGGGGGGAGTGTCCACATCGTGTTTTCTGTTCTCTTCCAAACTGCCACAGAACCCTGTAATATGTAAAGTTAATATCTCAAATGTGGCATTTGATTATACTAAAAATGGTAGTAAGATTGTCAACAAAATGTGACACTGATGAGTAGAACGAGAGGAAAAATTTACTTGAGAACCTCACTCCTGCTGCCTGGAGCCATCACTAGCCCTCTCCCCTATCAGGAACCCTCTCAGCTATGACTTGAAATAAAGTATCTATGCAACACTTTTTATACCTGTCCTCTTGACACTCACATAAGACAACTCATATCATCGATACATGGTGTAGTTCAAAGAGGGTGTGCATATACACACCATAGAATGGATTGTTCACATGATTAAGGTGTCTAGCAGACGGTGTAGTTCAGCGTGTGTGTGGGGAGGCCTTTCGTTTGTGCTCCCAAATACATTGGTTCTCGTCATTTAATTTAGGTCAAAATAAATATTAATGGTACTCATTGGTTTGTTCCTGACAATGCTGGCAACATGTTCTAGGCATGAAATGCACCCTTTAAACCAGGGTGGTGCTTAAATTATGGGCCCTGTAGTTCCACCATGTGCGTTCGTGTGTGTCTCCGACGTTATCACATAACCAGGTTAGCCAAAACTGCCTGGCACAGGACTTTTGACCAGGACTGTACCAAGAGCCCATTAACAGCCACTACCAGGGAGCTTGTATTACAGAGCAAAAGAACACCACTATCCACACACAAGCAGCTGGGCTCTCTCCTGATAGAATCAGGAGTCAAATTCTCAATTCAGTGGTTGTTTATTTGACTAATGGGACTTCATTTCAGTGGCAGAAACTGAGAATGGTTCACAGATCTCAACATCCCTCTAACTATATGTGCTTCCACTGTAAACCTCATCAGGTTCTATCAATTATAAACCTTCAGGAAGAAGCAAGGGAATCCAGGTCACTAATTTTCTTTCCTCAGCTGTAAAAAAGGATTTAAAATTTCTTTCCTTCAGTCATGGCCTACAAGCAAAGGGGGTGGAGTGAGAGGTAAGAAGGAGCATGTAACCCTCCATGGAATTTCCATATTTTATTTTGACAATGGTAAATGCGCCAGTGCCCAAAGGGGTTTACATCTTAAAAATACAGTTGTGCTTCAGAGACAAATCATCTGGATCTGACAGTAGTCTTGTGGTATGTACCCAACTGGAAAAAAAAATCTGCAAATACCCATACCTACTGTACAGGTCTTCATGGGAGATCTGCCATATCTAAATCAGCTTAGGAATGAGAGGAGGAAGTCTTTCATCAGAAGAACCAATTGAATGCAACACAAATTCGGAGGCATCCATACCATAGGATTACCTTTGTTTGACTTTCTATCAATATGCTACTTATAGCAATAGGATCTGGATTATGAATTATCACTGCAGTTTGACACAGTTGGTGTGCCAAGTGTTAACACTATTTATGTACAGTCACCTGCACTTATACCTGGTACAGTGGCTGGCGCATTTTGCAAGATGTGGTAACTCTGTGGAATAATTATCTAGCATTCTTAGTCTGGCTACTATTGCGAGGTTCCTAAGGGCCATTCCGGAAGTTTTCACATGAAGTAAACAAACACAGAGATGCCACATCTCCCAAAACATGCCAGCCATTATACCAGGAAAAGTGCAGGCAACTGTACATACTAATGTGAAACGATAAGACCATTTTCCATTAAAAAAAATACTGATCTTTCCCACATACATATAAATACTGTATAATATTGCACACAACCATATTTTACACATACAGTGATCCCTTGGTCAATGAACGCCTCGGTTAACGAAATTTCGGTTAACGAATTCCCTTCCATAAGAATCTTCAACTCGGTTAATGAAAAAAATTCGGTTAACGAATTCCTTACGAATTCTCTCAACATGTTTTCGCCAGCTCACCAGCTGGAGTATTAGTCCGCCAATACAGTAATCGGTTTTAGGGCTTAAATTCGTTACCATTTGAGTAAATATCAAGAAGGTTGTACTATTCAATAATTTTCCAAGTCTTATATTAAAATTTTTAGTCATTTAACAATTATTTAACATAATTGAAGTACAGGGAACTACTGTAGTTTTTAGCGCGCCAAACAGTCACTTGACTCACCCAGAATGGCGTCAGTTTGTGTCTCTGCTCAGTGGAGGAAGCATCTTGCTTGAGACTCTCTTGAACATAAACTATTTTTACATTTTTACAGTACAATTATTGGTCATTCTGAAATTTATTTTACATATTGACAATATATAGTGCAGTGTTGATTTAAAGAAAATAATCTTGAATTACACTACGTGAACTTAAAATTTTATGGGTGAAATGGCAGCATGAAGCAGGGGGTGACTTCTCTTCCACCCCACTTCCTTTTCTTCTCCCTTCTCCTCCACCCCTACTTCTAATTCCCATCATCATCAACCAGGAGCCTTCTACATACACACCTCAAAGTAAGTGTACTTTACTGCATTTATTTTTAGTTTGTATGTAATTTTCGGTGAGCTGGAACCAATTACCCAAAATCCCATTGAAACAATGGTTTCGGTTAACGAACGACCTTCTGGAACGAATTGTGTTCGTTAACTGAGGGACCACTGTACTGACATACAGTATACACTTTCAAACACAAACACTTGGTCCACAGACTACAAAATAACAAAATACTATACTATATACAGTAAATAGGTAATGACGAACTATAGAATTGTTTTGTAAGTGTAAAATGTTTATGTAGTATTAATATTGTATATAAAACACCTACACAGTACAGAAGTTCTTCATTATTATGCAATCTGATACAGGTTGGGTATCCTTTATCCGAAATGCTTGGGGCCTTAAGGGTCTCGGATTTGGGAATACCTATATCCTGTTTACAGAACCTGTATAATGCAGTAGCTCACCCAGCAGGGATGGGGCCGAAGTCTATGCACAAAATTCATTTATATTTCATTTACAGCATATGGATACATACATTTTGCAGGTAGTTTTATGAAAAATAATTTAATCATTTTGGATACAAAATATATGATAAGATGTATACTTAAGACCCAGAAAGGTAAGCAATTATTACCAACTGTTTGGCATCGCCATGACGCCTGATACTGAGGCGCTAAGCAGCCTGTGTCTTACCTTCATTCATTACACATACATACTTACCCCAGTAAAAATTATGATATATGCCATATTCAGTGTATCATCTACCATAAATATAATGAAATACTTTCGGATTTCACAGCGTTTGGGACTTGGGAATTTTGGATAAGGGATACCCAACCTGTATGATGAAATTACATCAACGTAACAAATGAATACAAGACTGTTTTTTTTTTCAACACGGGCATATGTGGCTTCTGTACCATAAACTTGCCTAATGCTCCCAAGGTGAGTTGCCAATACATTGTCATTAATTACAACCTAATCTACACAAAGTCTTGGGCCCCAATTCTTTCCTGCAGTATCATATCTCCAGTTATATATTGGTCATCGATGATTAAGTAGGTTTTCTTTTACACATTATTTCAAGATGCCTAAAACTTTTCATGATTCCATCCACATGTATTTTGTAAAAAAAAAGACTTAAGGACAGGAGGAGGAATACATGTGAGATGGTGTCTTCAATGATAATGGTAATATGGATATATTTTTGGAGTGAGAAGACTCTGCATAACACAATATAGACTAAACAGGCACAGACAAAAGTTATTAATTTCCAGGATTTATGGAATGTGCATAAAACATTCCTTAGTTTGCCACTACGTATCTTTCTATATAGTAGTAAAAGATGATGCAGCAAATGAGCCCTGAGATGCCTAAATTTATCTAACCTAAACATCAATACTGAGGCTCAGTCCTGGTGCCCCATTATTATTGGTCTGGTTAGATTGGTGTATAAGGACTGGGGCCCATTTGATCAGTAAACAACCATAGATGTACAATAAATACTAACCAATGATACAGTATTTAGGCCCTGTGGAATTAACTGCCATTGCATCAACTCTTCCTGGGACAACAAGCCTTATCTGTAGTGCCTCATGATGGTGGATGGCCCAAGCCTGTAGGAAAGGTTTATCCCTCTGAGCAGTCACTATATGAGCTCCCTTTCCTGCAAAATACAATATGTACTGTATATAAATATGTTTTATAATACATAATGGAAGCAGAAAAAAATGCATGTTAATTGCTATGGTGTTCCCCTCTGATTTATCCATGTCAATTCAATCCTCACATCAGCAATAACAGCAGCACATCAACGAGTATATTGCTGTACACTAACTCTCAACATCATACATTTCCATCATATATGCACTCTGCTTCTTCTAAGATAACCACTGCCCTTCCACCCTCTACCTCCCTCGTCCCAGTCTTCCATCTCTTCCTCAATCATTTCATGTCTTTCTTTTCTACCCATTACTCTTGAATTATCCCTCTTTTTCTTTATCTTTCATTTCACATTCTCCTAATTATTGTACTGTACAGTATATCTATATCATCTAAGCAAACCCTCCTGCCTTTAGGTTCAACTCTCTGTGCATTTCAACCACAGTACGGTATTGTACCTGAGTTCTTGTACTTTGCATTCTACCCACATAACATACCTTTCAAATACATCAATTCTACTGTAAAAGAAAAACACTCTTGACTACTTACCTACCAAGCATAATGTAGAGCGTGCAACAGGGAGTCCTCGGTAACTCTTCAGCTGAGTTCCAGTTGCACCATCATAAACCTACAAAATTTAAGCATTACTAATGTTTTGTAAAGGACTTTAAGAAGTCAATTACATGGCATTTGATTATTTCAATATCCATAACTCTGTTAGTGAACATATAAAAAAAAAAAATATATATATATATATATATATATATATATATATATATATATATATATATATATATATATATATATATATTACATTCCGTGTTTCCACGTTTACGCGGTACCCTGCCGGAACCCGGGATGCTCACATTCCGCGGTGCGTGTACCCCTTTACGCGGAGAGCGGCTGGCGAGCCGCGCCATTTTTGGATCCAAACCTCCCGCCATCCGCCATGTTGTGTAAGCGGCGCAAGCAGGGTGCGCACAAGGTCGCCCAGTCATCAAAACATTACCGAATTCTTCACTCGCCACCCACCACAGCCGGCCCAAGTCAGTGATAGTGATAATTATAGTGAGGATATGGACTTATATGGACTTTGAGGGGTTTGACAAAGAGGCCCTGCAAGCCTCTGTGGTGGATAGTGATACAATTGATACAGGTGCGGACCAATAATCTGCCCTCTGCCTCGGAACCAACCCCCCATCCCCGCGTGCCCAGCCATCTTTTCTACTAATGTAAGTGTTAAAAAACCTAATATTATTGATATTTCTCTTAATTAATTGTGTGTGCATACCATCATAAATTAAGAAGTTATTTTACTACAACATAGTTGTGTGTCACAAAAAGTGGAGTTTGGGGTCGTCTGCCCTACGGGTATTTCAATTCAATCCTAGCTATGTTATGTTGTTCACTTTACGCTTCACTTTCCGCGGGTACCCCTGTGGCTGTATTAACCGCAAAGTGAGGGTTGATTGTATATATATATATATATATATATATATATATATATATATATATATATATATATATATATATATATATATATATATATATATATATATATATATATATATATATATATATATATATATATATATATATATATATATATATATATATATATATATATATATATTCGATAAAATCACACGGGAAAATGTAAACAACGGAGTACCTTAGCTTTCGTCTTTATTCAAGACATCTTCAGAGGCAACTAGATTACATGGACAGAGAGAGGCTTAAATATACAGGGTGACCTAAAAACATGAGGTCAGGTCATAATGATGACATCCACTAATCCCCACACCAACACAACCGTAGAGGAGCTTAAGAGAAGGGTGGTGACGTGACTAGACAGGTCAGGTCAGAAAAAAGGGACCCACAAAATAACTGTCATACATCAAGATCAAAGGTTTTCAAAGCAGTTTTAACCTTGGGCCACTGACAAATAAATTTATGTAACATATTATCAGTTTTGAACTGACCATCACTAAGGTATATAGAAAGCCCACACAGGTAGACAGTTTCATTCACTTTTTATCCAATCACCTTGAGTCTACCAAAATGTCAGTTTTTTCTGCTATGTTCCTACGATGTCTGCGTATTTGTGACTCTGAATTTATTGACGACGAATTTAAACACATTCGTTCTATTGCACAGAAACTTGGGTACCCTTCTGTGTTTGTTGATCGTTGCTTTAAAAGGGCTAAAAAATCCTTTCATTCCTCTGTAACCAGACAAGTTCCTACACTTAAGAATATTTTGACTCTGCCCTATCGTGATGAATTTGTCCCTTTAGTTCGGTCCCTCAAGCTTCTAAATATTAATGTTGTTTTCAAGTATGACTCAACCATTACCAATATGTTAATAAGGAATAGCCCAAGTTTGAATGTAAATGGAAGTGTTTATTGTATTCCATGTAGCCAATGTAATTGTAATTATGTAGGTCAGACAGGAAAAACACTGCAGCTCAGAATCAAACAACATAAGTATAATATCAGAACTGCATCTGAAAGCAGTGCCTTGTTCGTTCATGTTAGGAATAATAATCACCCCATTGCTTGGGAAAAAAGCTTAGAAGTATTCAAATCATCTTGTGTCACAGAAAGACTTCTGGTTGAAGCTAGTTTGATTAAGGAATTAAAATCAATAAACCTTAGTGATGGTCAGTTCAAAACTGATAATATGTTACATAAATTTATTTGTCAGTGGCCCAAGGTTAAAACTGCTTTGAAAACCTTTGATCTTGATGTATGACAGTTATTTTGTGGGTCCCTTTTTTCTGACCTGACCTGTCTAGTCACGTCACCACCCTTCTCTTAAGCTCCTCTACGGTTGTGTTGGTGTGGGGATTAGTGGATGTCATCATTATGACCTGACCTCATGTTTTTAGGTCACCCTGTATATTTAAGCCTCTCTCTGTCCATGTAATCTAGTTGCCTCTGAAGATGTCTTGAATAAAGACGAAAGCTAAGGTACTCCGTTGTTTCCATTTTCCCGTGTGATTTTATCAAGATTTATCTTATCCACGTTTTCATTGTGGATTTACATGAAATATATATATATATATATATATATATATATATATATATATATATATATATATATATATATATATATATATATATATATATATATATATATATATATATATATATATATATATATATATATATATATATATATATATATATATATATATATATATATATATTTATATATATATGTATATATATGTATATACAGTGGGGTATGCTATAACGAACGGATCCCACTACGAATATTCCTATAACGAACGGTTTTACCTATAAAATTGAGAATGCTATAACGAACGAAACTCCTACAACGAACATTATTTAAAAAAAAAAAATTATTTTTTATTTATTTTTTTTTACTAATTTATTGTTTTTTTATTACAAATATTAATGATATTCTTTATTTCAAAGGTTTAGATGTATATTTATGCACTTTTTTACAATTTTTTCAATTTTATATTATATTTTTCAGTGTTAAGTGGTTGTATTTGGGGGCCTGGAACGGATTAATCCTATAACGAACGAATGCTATAACGAACAAGGTTCTAGAACCAATTAGATTCGTTATAGCATACCCCATGTGTATATATATATATATATATATATATATATATATATATATATATATATATATATATATATATATATATATATATATATATATATATATATATATATATATATATATATATATATATATATATATATATATATATATATATATATATATATATATATATATATATATATATATATATATATATGCAAGTAAATCACTGTAGGTGCACGTGATCTAGGTATATGCTGATAACCACAAGGAAAGAAGAAAACACGAAGTTCCCAAGCGCTTTCGTGTAATTCACATCTTCAGGGGTGAGTACAGGGGTGAGTATATATTACAGTGAACCCTCAACGATCCGGACTAAAAGGGGGGACCACCTGTCTGGAAAAGCTGACTGTTAGAATCTTCCGGCGTACGTACAAAATGTATAAAAACAATAAAAAATTATATAAAAAAACACCAAAAATACAGTACAGTATATATTACAGCAATATCTCCGTTAGCCAGTATCCTCCAAACTCGGAATTGAAATTTTCTCAGAAAATCGTTCCCAAGAAAATTCCGGTTTTGGGAATGATTTTCCAAGGGGCACATTTTCCGGAAAAATTTGAAAAATTTTTCCCAGTACCTGGAAAATTCAGGGATGGGGGAGTTTTTTCCGGGTTTGAGAGATGATGTAATGAACAATTTCTGGAACTTCTGTGAAAATTTTTCCGTTACCCTGAAAATTCCAGGGATGAGGGATTTTTTTTCCCGTTTGAGAGAGTCGTCTCATTTCCTGGAAATCTCTCATTCCCGGAAGTGCTCTACACCAATTGTTCTGGATAACGGGGATATCACTTGTATATTTTTTAACTTAATGCTCTTGAACTTGGCAATTTTTTTTCAACAGATATTTTCCAACTAAAAGCAATACTGTATAACATACCTGGATACATTCAGCACCAGCATTTAGGGATGAAACTAATAGAGCATCTACTAGGGGTTCCATTGTAGTATTATCCTGAGAAAAAAAAATGATGTTACCTTGAATCCAACACCAAGTCTTGAGCATAAATCATAGAAGTAACATTATGAAAAGAAAAATGAGCAGGAATTAGGATAATGTTTGCAAAATGCATAAATAATCAACACATGTTTTAACTGTAAACTATTTCTTACCCTATATACAGGCAGGTCCAAATGAAAAGGTATTAAGTTTACTCTTTCCATGGGTGAGGAGAGTTTGTGTCCATTTATGTACTGTGTTACCCATTATTTTCTTGTTCTATATGCCAAGACCTTTGGAAAAAGTCTGGGTGTCAAGCCTAGATCCAGTCAGGTAACCCTACAGCTCCTCTAAAACATTTCTCATTACCACCTTTAATAGCACATCTAATTTATTTCTGGTACTAACCGTGGTTTCCAACAATATCAAACCTATTTTCCCTAGAACTCTCCGTGCATGGCAACTTCTACATATTTACCCTACATAATTTTCTAAATGTTGTTCCTTCTTACCAGTTGGGCTTTTCATAGAGCAAGGATAATAGTGGAGCAGACAGCTAACACCAGAAGGAGTTGTTCAATCTTGTTCATCTGTTCCACAGATGTTCTTTGGGTGATAGTAATAAAAATGACTCAACAACTTTATATTTTAATTATTAGTATTTTTTTTTTGGTAGGTTTTCTTTGACTACAATCATAAATCACCTGTAGTAGGCAGGGCATGAAGGATGAGGGAAATTGTGGGGTAAAAACACGGCAAAATATTGATCATATGACACTTAAATCAAGTCTCTGTCACTGTTTTTTGTATGTAAAGAAATTTATTTTTCACTATATATAGTCCGCCGAGAATTATGGCCTGTTGGCGCATAATCTCACCCATTTTTAAACAAACAAATTCAGATTCTGGTCTCACTTAAACTATCAACAAATGAGGGAGCATCATATCGGAGATTTTACTTACTCTATTATGGGCTTGAATGCCCTTTTCTTTCTTTTTTAGGCCTTCACTATCCATAGTCGTGTGTCTATAACTTGCGTAAATTCCATATAATTTTTTCTTTCCGCTCAATAGGTTCTTAAACCCATTCAATTTATAAATAGTGATGATCATATTGTTGGAATAGAAATCCACATTGTGGGCTTTGATTAATTTCAGTACCATGAGAAGTGAACTGTATGTTTGTATACTTATTGTTCTTCCTCAAAGATGAGGACTGAGAGGGTCAGGGAGAAGCTATATTGTTTATCAGTGGCGTCCTCATCATGTCCATCAAAAATTTAAAATTACACCATGCTGCTTCAAGACAACATAGTTGCTTCCATTGGTACCAGATATCAAAGTAAGTTCTTTCTGCCTAATATGTTGAGGGGTCTGGTGCTAGGAAGTTAGGTAAGGTTAGGTAGGTTTCTTTGGTTATGTTGGTTAGGCCAATAAGCCCACTGCAGTTTCCTCCATTCTTACTTACGGTAAATATTTACGATTTTACCGCCGCTGATTTTTCATAGAAAAATAATTTCAAAATGCTGAATTTCATTGTCTTTTATAGTGGACACTGTCATCGTTAAGGAAAATGAATTAAACAGCATTTATTTAAAAGTTCAACCTAGCCTAACTTAACACCTGCCGTGGGCAAATTTACTGTTGCTGAGACGGGGGGAAGCTTCGAGCCACAACCTGGTGGAAGTGGTGAATGACTGAGCTGTGGTCTCGGTTTTTCTATTACAGTTAACCCTCACTTTACGCGGTCCCACATTCTGCGTTTCCACGTTTACACGGTGCCCTGCCGGAACCCAGGATGCTCACATTCCGCGGTGCGTGTACCCCTTTACGCAGAGAGCGGCTGGCGAGCCGCGTCATTTTTGGATCCAAACCTCCCGCCATCCGCCATGTTGTGTAAGCGGCGCAAGCAGGGTGCGCACAAGGTCGCCCAGTCATCAAAACATTACCAGTTCTTCACCCGCCACCCACCACAGCCGGCCCAAGTCAGTGATAGTGATAATTATGGTGAGGATATGGACTTATATGGACTTTGGGGAGTTTGACAAAGAGGCCCTGCAAGCCTCTGTGGTGGATAGTGATACAATTGATACAAGTGACACAGGTGAGGGCCAATAATCTGCCCTCTGCCTCGGAACCAACCGCCCATCCCCGTGTGCCCAGCCATTTTTTCTACTAATGTAAGTGTTAAAAAACCTAATATTATTGATATTTCTCTTAATTATTAATTGTGTGTGCATACCATCATAAAGTTAAGATACTATTTTTACTACAACATAGTTGTGTGTCGTCAAAAAGTGGAGTTTGGGAATCGGCCCAGACTCCATTTCAATTAATCCCATATGTTATGTTATTCACTTTACGCGTTTCTCCCTTTACGCGGGACCCTCCGGGTTACATTAACCGCGTAAAGTGAGGGTTAACTGTACACTGGAATATATTAATGTCTGGGCAGTAAACACAGGGATTTCCACAGTCTGGGCATTCTCTTTTGAAGAGAAGGATGCAGTGGCCTTTGAAAAACTGAAGGGTGAGATCGTCTTTCCCCCGGAATTCATAAATAATATCCTTATACGATCGGCAACACCCTTCACATGCCATAGTGAAATTTGAACTGACCGAGCAGAGAGCGGTATGATTAGTAGTGTATCGCTGCATCACCGCCAAGATAATCAAAATGTAGTACGCGCCAAACAAAGTAGTGTGCACCTAGTCACCTAATTATCTACCAAACAAAGCAATTTCCCCCCAAAATTATTATCATACTAGAACTCACTGACGAAAATATAGTAATATAAACATCAAAACAAGAAATGCATTGGCTGTGAGGTCACCTTTATTAGCCTTACTTACTATCATTCAAAGAACATCTATGCAAAAAATTAATGAAATCAAACAACTTCTGGTGTTAGCCATCTGTTCTACTATTAACGGTATTATTGCAGTTTCAGCTCCAACTCGGTTAGCGCAGTTTTGTGCGTGGAGGGGGGGGGGAGCTCTGTAATTAATCATCTGCGACAGAAATGAAGGTCAAATTCTAATGAATCAGACCAAATACCATGGGAAATAAAAAATTTATAGTTAAACAGTAGTTGGGGCAAATTAAGTATAAGCGAGATATTTAACATTTTATTATGTTTGTTCATACATGGCAGTACACACTCAGATGGCGGTACACACGCATAACATTGAATGACTTTGGAGCTCCCCAGTTTGGTTAGGTTAGGTTAGGTTAGGTTGGTTGGGTTGGTTAGGTTAGATTGGTTAAGGTTTTGTTTTTCCGGTGGTTTTCGATGTGTTTTGACACTTTTAACCTTGATTTTTAGAGCAAATCTCTAGATTCTGAGATGGAAGTGGGGGCTAATCTCAGAAACTATTGATTTGCGACAAATTTATCTATAACACATCAAAAACCATCGAGAAAACATAGTTTCAAATTCAATTTTGTATAGTGGCACCAAGTGAAATTTTACCCTAAAAAGTACAGTATTGTACTGGCAAATTTGTATAAGTTGCCACCCACTGAATGTCGAGAATTTGGTCTTTTTATTTTAGTACACCGATTTATCTAACATAACCTAATAAGGGGGCTCTGACCCCTGGACCCCTCTGATTAGGTTAGGTTGGGTTATGTTACGTTACGTTTGGTTGGTTTTTGGTGATTTTCTGTGTTTTTTACACATATTTCCAATACCCAAAGAAAGAACGGTGCACTGCTATAAACTGACCAAGAATTTTATCTTTGCAATCAAGTTCAGACAATTCTAAGACTATTTTCTTCTATGATGTTTCCCTCGCAAATGACCAGACCAGACCTGACCTAACCTAACCTAACCTCTTAACTGCATATATAAATTATTTGCAAGGGAACAGTGTCTTAGAATTGTCTGAACTATTAATTGCAAGGCTAAAATTTTCGCCATTCAGTGGGTGGTAACAAATACAATAATACCAAAAACTTTGTTCCTTTTTAACTTACGAATTAATATTGTCCTATTGTGATTCCTAAAATATTATACTATAACACCATTTCAACTGTGTATAATTTTCGCCTTCAATTCACGTGGTCCAGAACGTTTACTTTTATAGCGACTGTGAATATAAATGTTTACTTGTTATAGTGCAAGGAACTTAATTATAACATTTGCTTTGTATCTCTAAATATTTATATACATAGTCATAAAATATTATCCAAAAAAATTAACACTGGTTTAATATGTAGACGGTGTACTTATTGCTGTAAAAAATTGTATTTAAGACATTTTCTATTAAGGCCCAAACAAAAGAGCGACACAACATTTTTTAATTTTTTTGCACCAATTTTTGTATCAAAGGAGATGGGAACTAAAAGGGAACTAAAGAAGCTATATTTGGTTTGAGAATTTTGAGGAAAGGTCCTTAGAAGTCCAAAAGAAGATGTAGGCATATCTGCTTTCCTGATTTTGAAAAAGCTTTTGATAAGGTAAACCACAATAAACTTATAGGGGCCTTGGGGAAAAAAGGCATTGGTGAAGGTGGTATTATAATTCTAAAAAAAAGAAAGATTTTTTTTTACTGTCAACAAGAGGCTTGCAGTGTTAGTAAATGAACTTACTAATTGGCACAAAAAAAGTTAGACAGGTAGTAGTCTATCTCCAATATTGTATAATATATATTCAGAATTCTTAGTGAGAGAAGTTTGAGGGAAGTTATAAGAGACAATGAAGGACTTTAAGTTAATGGTAAAGTAATATACGCTATGCAAATGATACTGTTCTTAACATGGATAGTGAAGAGGCGTTACAAAAACTGGTTAACAGTGGAAATAGGTGAAGAATATGGGTTAAGAGTTCATGCTGCAAAGACGAAAATATATTTTTTTTACGGGGATTAGCCCACCAGGGCACAGGTCACTGAGCACATCAGGACCTGGGTGGCGAAAATGTAATAATAATAATAATAATAATAATAATAATAATAATAATAATAATAATAATAATAATAATAATAATAATAATAATAATAATAGTAATAATAATAATAATAATAGTAATAATAATAATAATAACAATAATAATAATAATAATAATAATAATAATAATAAATAGAATTTATAATACAAAATTTAAAATAAAATAATAAATTAACAATGATAATAATAATAATAATAATAATAATAATAATAATAATAATAATTATAATAATAATAATAATAATAATAATAATAATAATAATAATAATAATAATAATAATAATAATAAAGAAATACAAAAATTAAAAAAGATCAGAAGTAAGAAACAATATATGTATGTTGTGTTGTCAAAGGTAAGAGAAACAATTGAGACCCTGCAATTGTGTGTAAATGAGGCAGAAAGTCAGATCAGCAACCTGGGACTTGGTCACAATTTTCGTGATGCCATATGGCAGCAGGGTCTACCATTAGACAACACATTATGCTTCCAATATCTTCCCAGACGGTAGAACCCTGTTTGGTAGCTGCCTACTACCCAGTACCTCACAAACTGGAAATAAATCCTAAAATAAAAATTGTGGTAGGCAACACAGAACTTAAAGTAGATTTTTTTTTGTATTTGGGGAGAAACTTTGACCTTTACTTTTATCCTCTACTGTATGCCACTGATAGGCTCGTTAGCCGCGTGGGCGGTCGGTCACGTCTCTGTTACGCACTGTTGGCAAGTACCCATGCACCGGCTCCTGAATGTATCTGAACCTGTTTCAGTGTTGTTCAAGTCTGGCCTTAAGAGAGCTGACACCCGGTGCCATCATAACACTCTCTGGCAGGTAGTTTCAAAAGTTCACAATTTTCACTCCGAAAAAAAAAAACCCCGCTTCTTCGGCATTGAACTGTGACCTCTTGTTGGGCGAGCGTCCGCCAGCTCCAGGTATGGACACTCGACTGCGTAGTGCCCTTTGAGATGTTTACACACCTCAAGTAGGCCACCCCTTGCCCGTCTGTAGAGTAAGCTATGCCGTTGCAGGCGCTCCGATCTCTCAGGGTAACTGAGGTGCCCAAGTGCCGGCACCAGCCTAGTGGCCATCTTTTGGATATTTTTAATCAACTGACAGTCCCTATAGCATCTCTTGGGGATCAGACGGGGTGACAGGTACTCCAGGCAGGGAAGCACCTCACTCTTGAAGATCGTTACAGGGGACGGACCATCTGAATATATGGACGACCTTCTTATAAGACTTACTGTAATAGTTGTTTGATTCACCTTCTTCTCACAATGGCCCGAGAACTTCAGTTGATTGTCAACATACACACCCAAGTCCTTTTCACATTTGGTCTCTATTAATGCCGCTTGGGCGATCGGTCACGTCTCTGTTACGCACTGTTGGCAAGTACTGGGCAAGCACCGGCTCCTGAATGTACCTGAACCTGCTCCAGTGTTGGTCAAGTCTGGTCTTGAAAGAGCTCACACTCGGTGCCGTCACAACACTTTCTGGTAGATTCTTCCAAGAGTTCAGAACTCTCACTCCGAAAAGGTTTGCCCTCACAGTTTAAAGGACCTGCGGCTTCTTCAGCCTTGAGCTGTGACCCCTTGTGGGGCGAGCGTCCGCCAGCTCCAGATAAGGACACTCGACTGAGTACACTGCCCGATTCTGGGGTCACTAATTTTGAGGGGATAACTTAACTCTTCTTTTAATTTTAAGGTCGCTGCCACCAGACCCCCCTGGACAGTATGTAGCTCGTTAGGTAGCGGGCAGAGTAAGCTAGGCATTGGGTCGGGTTTTTCATTGACCAAATCGAGAGTGGGAAGAAGGGTGAAACATCAATCATGACTTAACTAATTTATTCCTCGTAAAAACATATTGCACCCAATCGCAATACAAAAAGAGCTGGCCTTCATCAGAAGAACCACTATTATGTTCATTACACTTCACATCAATATACGTCCTTCATCAAATAACTACTATTATCATCTTCATTCTTCATAACAACAAATGACCTCCTTACCTCGGTCATTCCTTCTTACCATAACACCCAACACATCAGACTGCACCACCTGTTAGAGTATAGCACCACATGTTATAGCACCACAGCTTGTATACACTCCGCACCTACAAGTATGGAACTCCTTGGTATTCTTAGGTACACATACCAGGTACCTCGTTCAAACTCTACTCTTGCTGGGTAGATGGGATACTTCCCAAGTAATCATACCAGTACTAGTTCCACGCCTGGTATTATTAGGTCGCTCCACGTAGCGACCGCGAAACTTCTCAAATATACAACTATTTTCTCCTATCCTGGGTGGTGATATGTAGGGTATCCACAGATTCACAGTGGAGGTGCATAATGGCCGTAAGCAGACACACCACATGTTATCGCCGCTGGCTTTTTTTTTTTTTAGATTGCCCCGGAGGGGGTTAGTTTATTGGGCACCCCCTTACATCCTGTGCAAGGTGAAGCGCAGAAGCGTTTACAATGCCCATCTGGGAAGCATGCTAAGTTCATGCTTGCCTTTATGACTCATGCATTAAGGGCGTAAAAGCCTGAGGGGTCATAGGTTTGGTTTACCTTTTCGACTTTTCGACAGTTTTGAATGTATGGTCCACGATTCGATTGCGGGGTAATTATTGGCTGTAATGACCTTTGGATAATTTAATTATATATTTCAATGCTAACTACTCGCCAGCTATGGGTTTCCAAAGTACGATTTTGGTGTTTATGTGTTATTCTGTAAGTACTTAATTAGTTAAACCCTTTAAATTTCAATTCTGTGAAAAAAGTATATAAAGTGACAGAATGATGAGTGCAGTGCCGGATTTAGCCCTGTGGAGGCCCATGGGCAGCCGCTTTGTGGAGGCCCCCCCCCTCATTATAACTACCCAAGAAGGTGGGGTGGCGAGTGAAGCAAGCCTAAACATCTGGAAGTTCCGGGGGGCGCTGTAAGCCCCCCGGGAAATTTTTGAAATTTGATCACTTCTTTGGAGAATTTTGAAGCCATATGCAGTTATATTGAGGAAATTAGAACATTGAGAAATTTTTAATTAACTGTATATTTATTGATAGTGTACCAATTCCCAACACACACACACACACACACACAAAAGTGAAACATGACTGGAGTCATTCATGTGGTTTCAAGTCGACCAGCACTGATATGGCTACTGCCGCACATGTGGAGGCCCCAGATTGTGGAGGCCCCTAGATTGTGGAGGCCCCTGGGCAGCCGCCCACTTTGCCCACTCCTGAATCCGGCCCTGGATGAGTGTGTGTTTATGGCAAAGCGTGGCAGGTCCCTAACAATATCAAGTGCCAGGTCTGTCACTAGGAGCCGCTGGCTTCAACTACAGTGCTGGCGTTGCCTTACCCGAACAAACATTAAATCCCTCAGCCTGCGACCACGTGCGCCCCCCCCCCCGCGACCTGTGACCTCGCCAGATGTGGCGGATGGGGGGTGGGGGGTGTTTACAGACAAGAGGCCCTGATTCTGCTGAGTGTATGGTTTTGTTATCGTGGCCTGTAGTATATGCCAGGCAAATTCAGGCGCTCCAATCTCTCAGGGTAGCTGAAGTGCCGAAGCGCAGGCACTAGTCTGGTGGCTCTCCTTTGAACATTTTCAATCAACCTACAGTCCCTACTATATCTCGGGGACCAGGCGGGGTGACAGTACTCCAGATGGGGAAGCATTTCGCTCCTGAAGATCGTTACGAGGGACGGACCGTCTAGATATCTGAACGACCTATATATGATATCTGATATCAGACCTATATCTAGATATATGAACGAATTATAAGACCTAATAATTTATTTGCCTGATTCACTTTCTTTTCGCAATGGCCCGAGAACTTCAGCTCATTGTCAATATACACACCTAGGTCCTTCTCACATTCAGTCTCAACTATTGCAGTTTCTTCATCCCGTTGGTACATATGATACGCCCCTTTACCGTTAGTACGCCCCAGG